TCCAAGCGGAGTGGTCGGCGTATGGCGCGATCTTGCTTTTACGATTCCACTTTTTGTGGCCGTTTCTAAAGCCCACCAACTCTTGGAGGACAACCAATCCAAGCGGCGTTCTAAGGGAACGGTCGCTTGGTGGAGCGGGTGGGCAAATGACGACCGGAAAAGCGCTAGCCCATAACAGACGGAGTGCCTTAGGTAGTGGTCGCTGGTTGATCCTCCACACACTATCGTCGCGTGAGCTAGTACAGCTTGCCAGCGCACAGAAAAGAAGAAAGGCCAATCCGTTGGAAACGGACTCGAAGAGTAGCTCGTATCTAAACGCTGAGAGACGGCAATGGCGTTACCTACGCAGTCGTTCATCCATTCGCTAAATCGACTCAACCTGAGCTGAGTCGCGTCGAAAATTACTGCGGAAACATAGTTCGAAGTATACTGACTTAGATTGGGGTGAGTTGGCACTGCTTAGTTGCGTGAAAGTAGCGACAGACGCGCAGGTTGGTCGGTGGGTTGGTAGGCGCTCGCTAGGGACAGCTAGACGAGAGCGAAGTAGAGAGAAAGAAATGGTCCTTACATACATACGTAGGTGGATAGGTCGCTTTGACTTGGCAGCCCTTTTTCAAGCCTTAGCGTTCTTCTCCTATAACCCAGTTTACAAGAGCCTGATCGTCCAGCGCCAGCCTTGGAGCTGTGGTGAATAGTGCTGCGTCTGTTGTTGCTTTCGCTGGACAGACGTTTAGAAAGTTGAAGTAGGGAAACTGGTTGCCTGACAGCCAGCAGGCATTCTGAGAAGCGCTCTCCTTTGCGACGACGATAGAAGTCGTCGTTATGGCGGTGGCGGTGATGGTAGTCTTAACCAAGCATTACTCACCTCGCTCACTGCCTCTCAGGACGAACTCACCTGGTAGTTGCGTCCTTAGCAGTACTGCAACCCACCTGGGGTGCAGTACTGCTAAGGAGCTGGGGTGCTCCCTCGGGAGGAACAGCCTGAGCTCCTGGCTTATTCCTGCTGTCGCTGCTGCTGTTACTTCTTATCTGCGGGATGCTCCCCGGGGCTATTACAAATGGCTCTCACAGCCGACAGACAGACATTAGGAGGTGGACTCCCTGACTGACTGGCTGGCTGGCTAGCAAGCAATAACAACCAGCGAATAGTTGAACCCAACAGCCAAAGTATGGGTCGTAGCATTGCATGCAAGAAAAGGAAACGAACAGACAGATACAGCTTTAAGCAGTGAGAGAAACAGCTATAGAAAACTTAGCCCCATAACATCCTGAATCACCTCCGAGACCAATTCACAGTCCAGAGATGTATGAGAGCAGAGGCAGGCGAGTAAACGAAAACGCCCCGCACCAACACGTACCTATACATGCATACACATACTAGCGGCGGTCAGTCAATCGGCGGCCCTCATTACAATTTTTATCACGAGACAGACATAATGGTGCAATGTACTTTCTACAGAGGTCGAGGCAGTGATACTAATCGTCAATTTTGTACTTGCAGATACGTGGTTTGTATTTGTAAAAGTGGCAAATAAAAATGAGCAATGAAGAACTGCTTATAGGTGTGCTCCAGTCTATAACTCTTGTATAAATTTAATGTATATATGCAGTGGTCTATGTATGTTCGACTTGGCATCGAGATGGACGGCGACCACGTGTCGTAGTCCTTGGACGCTCATGCGAGCTTCCTGGTTGGCCGTTGGACGACGGTTGGAAGTTTGGCGAGTCTCCATGACCCAGTTCCTTCTCCAGCATGAGCAACGGTCGTATAGTGGGACTGACGGATCGACAAAGAAGCAGGTTGCTTGCCATTAACTGTTGACTGTAATCTAGCAATTATCCAGGTACCCGCGCTGTCCATTTGCCGTCGTCATCATCGGCTAGCTTGTTCGTTCGTTCATTCGCTCGCTGTCGCCTAGAGGATTATATAAGTCGAAAGCGCATACTAGCACAATCAGCGGCAGCACCGAATGACGCGGCGGCAGCAGTCGACGCGATTTAGCCGACAGCCAGCCAGGAAAATGCTGATGGTGCTCACTTTCCTTATAGCGGCATCAACAGCAGGACAGTAACAGACCGACAAATCGCGCGCTTATATTATTACCAGCATCACGAATATCACTACCAACTACCACGGCAGACTTCTGGTGCCAAGATGTGTGTCAAGACCAACTAACAGTAGTGGCTCGTCTAACTGCCGCTGCCGCTGTTGTCGCCAGTGTTGCGTTGTTGCAAGCAGCAGTAACGGCCCCCGCCCCCGCCGATACGCACGGTACCCGTGCCACGCTAGATCAACTATTGACGATATTACTAGTGCAATGCAAATACTATTAATAGATTGTTCTCGCTTAATCGTTTGAGTACCTTTATGGCAAACGGTCCCGCTGCTGCTACTGCGGCGGCATCTAAGGCCGCAGCCCAACGTCGGCAACGCCGCCAGCTGAAGTAAGGTTGAACGTCGAAAATACGATGAAACGGGTCCAAAGTTAGCATCCCTTCAATAACTTTTGACTTTGCTGCTATATGAAGAGCGAGCGAAGCTGCATAAAAGTAGGTGCAAGAATAAATAGTCGTTTATGACATTGTAGCTGCTGTCATCACCGGCGCAACACAACAATACGCACGCATTCGCATAAAAGCGTTCATGGCGCCAATTAAATGGGGTTAAACAAACGCCATGCAAAACCGACAACTCGACTCATGACCGTCGAGTTTGCAATGCGGAGCCTGTGCAAAGAGACTTCGCTTGTGAGCGTTCTTCATAGCGCCGTAGCAATAGGCACAACGGCAGCAGATCGCTAGGCCCTTAGCTGTTCAGGTTCATGCAGGACGCGATTTCAGTCCAACGGACAGTCAATTTACGTATGCAATTCTAGTCGCAAGGAATGTGATAAATCCACGACGGCTGGTCGTTCCCATGTCAGTCAACCATCGTTCGGGCCGTCATCCTCGTCGCTACCGCCGCCGCCTAGTATCGAACAAGTCAACAGCAACCACTGCAAATGGACGGACCTGAGCTAATAGTAGCCGATGATCCGTCTGTCCAGCAGCAGGGGGCCTCTCCCCCTCTGACTGTGCGTGCTCCATTATACGCCGATGACCGGATTCGGTAGCAGCAGACAACAATGTTGGCTGAGGATATCTGTTCGGGCAATGCTGTATCCGTTCACACGCCTCCGTTGAACGTCCCGTTTAGGATGCTCATACCGAATTGAAATCTAACGAGCTATATAGTAGCGAGCCTGACTGCTACGAGCGAATGCTGACTGCATGCACAAGTTTAATTAAAAATACTCATTCTATCTAAAATGGGCCTTTCTTCATACCTTTACTTACTATAAGCGTTACCACTGTCTATGCTGAATCATCGCTTGTACTTCAAAATGACAACAACTAACTTCGTGTACAATGAAATAGAATTACGACACTGTCTCACGTTGAAGTCCGAGACTAAACGCATACATATAGCGGTTCTATATAGATACTATACATATCACAGGATCCGTGATATCGCTAGCTACACAGTCAGTCTTCACCAGCGCCAACGTCGCCATGTGACGATGATGATGTAAAAGGAAAACACTGACGGTTAGTTGATGCGTGCGGAAACGCGGAAAGCGAAGCTGGCTCGTCCGTTGCCGTCGCCACTGCCGCTGTTCTAGCTTTGCGTAGTATCGTGCTGATGTTCAGCTGCAACGGCTATGACGACTACGATCCGGACTCTGCACGAATGCTGCGATCGCTTTGGCGCTAGTGTTGCTAATGCTGATGGCGGTGGGTAGGCGACGACGCTGTCGAGCTTTCATAACCGCCGCTGCCGCCGTTACAACAGCGGCGGCAGCAGCAGCAGCAGCAGTAAACAAGAGCTGCGGCCGCTAAAGCTTTCGTCACTGGCGTCAGTGCTGTGCGCGGCGCGAGGTTCACAAGCGGCACTCTAGTTGCGGCTGCTGCTGCTGCCGCCGCCGTAACGAACGCCAGTCGCTGCAGCATTGCGCGAGCTGTTCGGGTCTCCTGTGAGTCGCAGTACTCAACAACAACAACAGCCACCGTCAGTGTCATAGGCGTTGCGCAGTGGCCATCGACCAGCAGTCACTTGGTCATACGCAACGGCTCAGAGAGCAACCAAACAAGCAATTTTCAATAGCACTTCTTCAACTGCTTGCTTAACTCTTTTATCGTCGTCGTCTTGTGCAAAGGGATTAGTGTCTGCCTTCAGAAGCGACACGACACAGTCACCGATCCAGCAGCCGGTTTCGAAAACGTAAGCACAGGCCAAGACGATGATGACGGCAGTGATGACTACTGCAGTAACAAGCGAAACGAACCGGCCGACGGACCAACTATTCGCAGGTCAAGCAAAGCAAAGCAGCTATCAGTTGTTCGTCAATCAGTTCGTCAAGCATCGCAGTAACGGCGGTCAAGGCGGCGGCAGTAGCAGCAGCAGCGTCGGCATCCACTATAACTGTGACAACAGTAGCAACGGCCAGCCAAAACGACCAGTCACTTTCTGCTTCTTCTTCATCGAGCTCCACAGCGGCCACCCAGCTAAAAATGATTGCTCGGATCATTTTTAGCAAAAAAAATTTGGAGCTATTTATAGGCAATACATAAATACGCAATGCAGGCACGTTCACAGTGGCTGACCGGCGCGGATGTGTAAGTACAAAAAAGCATAGCATGGGTACAATGAATTGTTATGTAAGATATGGCGTTCGAACGCATTGGCCTAAGGTGAGAGGAAGCACGGAAGCTTTCGAAAAGCTGCGATCGTAGTCACTCATATACATCATTTTCTAATGATTTTCATGTAAGACATATTTGAACTTCGTTATTGTAGGTAAACAAAGTACGATTCATATCAACTATCATGCTATCCATGCACCTAAATTCGTGCCATTAGCATGCCATTAGTGCCTTTTCGCACATAGAGCAACTGGAACAGGATACTCTGAAAAACATAACTTAACAGTTTATCTAAAGATTTAATTATTCATTCGCAGTTGATGGCGGAGATCTTTCCCGATCCCATAACCGACACAAGCATCAGGCTGCGGTGGATTCGGACTCGAAAAACGCCCTTCTCGTGCACAGCCTCATGCTCCAACAGCAGCAGCAACAGCACCAGCAGCAATTCATGGCTGGAACCGGTCTCTCCTCACTGCCGCCTTCACCCGCCGACTCAGGAGTATCTGATGTCGATTCATCATCCGGCCACCTCTCAACTGACGAGGCCGCCAAAACATCAGGGGTGTCACCCTCATCGTCATCATCATCATCGTCATCGTCATCGTCGTCGTCGTCGTCGTCGTCGCCGTCGTCGTCGTCGTCGTCTTCCACCTCTTCTCCTCCTTCTTCAACATTAACAACAGCAGCGACTTCATCCCGCTTGCATGGAGACCTCGGTGGTACGAAGGCTTTTCTTCTTCCATTATTATGATTGTCGCATCAGTGAACTGCAGCTCCAATTAACAGTCTATTTGTACCAGTTCGTGTAGCTACGTGTCTATACATAGATGGGTTAACTTGTTTATTGCATGCATTTTTCCGACCATCGTCGATACAGACGGATGACTCACTCTTAAGTTGGTACGCTGATGCAAGCAGCCGTTGTATATCGCATCAGCGCAAACTACGTTAAACTCTAGAATAATAGTAAACATCATCTTCATCACTCCCCACCGTCACCATCATCGTGGTCATTGGTGCAGTGTGTATTCGTGGCGTGTGTACGTAGACAATTCGCAAGAGTTCGTCACTGCTTGTCCAAACAACAACTGACTGCTAGCTCGTCGCTAGCATAACAGCTGTATGGCTATACGATACAGTATCATAGATAGATTGAACTGTACGGTTGCTTCGTTACCTCAACGATGCCACAAATTACTTTACGATCAGAATTTGACCGTGAACGGACGCTGATATACTAGCCAACACTGTAGTAATACGCTTGGCAAATTTGAAATCGTAGAGACCAAATATGAGTTTTTCTCCAACACTTCTAGACGGCATGTGCGTTAAGTGGAGGCTTCGATATTTGTTGTACTAATAATAATAACATTATATACTCAAAAATTCACTGTAGCCGCATCGCCCTGAGGAGGGACGATGATAACGATTATGCAATGGCCCCGTCAATAGCATTGACGGACAACGATGCTGTTCATAACTAACTATAACCATTGTGTCCTGCTGCTGACAATGCAACGAGGTGCTACCACTGTAGGGTCCTTATCACGTTCATAATCGACCCGTCCCTTCGTGGTCTTGTTGTTACTCGTCGTCCCCTTCTAGTGCTTGCTATCGCCATCCTGAATTCATGGCAGCGACCTGAGTAATCGTTCTACCCTCACCATCGCTGCTGTTACGCCTGGCTAACAGTAGCAGTTGTAGCGCAGAACCAACCGCGATGGCGCACTCGGTAGCGTGTTTACCTGCTAAACTTACCTAAGCGACATGTGGTGGTGCAGGTTCAAATCCCAGCGTGGCCACTGGCAACAATCGAATGTTGTCGCTACAACCACATACACTTAGATATATATTTCCACGTTGGTTGCGTTAACTGGGCGCTGCCATTCGTCGCTGACGCTTCGTTGTGGCACAGTTGCCAATGGCTGCTAATGGTATTGCGGGACTCCGAAATGGGACTATTGCATAATCGACCCAACGAGAAGTAACAGCGCCAGCGTTGCGGCCGCTGAGAACGCTGAAGCACTGCCAACAGCAGCAGCAGCAGCAGCAGCAGCGGCAGTGGCAACCGGCAACGCTTTTGCAACAATAGCGCGTCGTTGCCGGTTGCTGCAGCAACTAAAACACCGAACAGTCACCGGACGCAACGCAACATGGCGATATGGAACGAACGCGTTGCATTACAGCCGCAAAGCTGCTGAGGAGATATATATATAGAGAGAGAGAAAACGGTGATTATGAGGATACTGTTTATGTTATTTCGTCAGTGGTAATGACTTTGAACTTGGAAGTCAACAACAAATTAAACAACAATTTCTCGGTGCCCTGAGCACACGGTTGTAGCGCTTCAAGCAAACGGGCCGCCACCGTGCCGGTGACCCAATAGTTGCCCGCGTAGGCGCTCACTATGATCGCACGGAGCCGCTATGATGCCGCCCCGCCAAACATTTTCGTCATGGTTTACTTGAAATTTGCTCCAACTGATATCAGTCCAATATTTCGACATTTCCGATCCGCTTCACCTGTCTGTTCTTTCTTGAAAATTTATGTGCGACCATATGCTGCTGTCGGCGATCCCATTTCTGCAGACGATCACATATCGTCATCGCCAAAAACAACGACATTGCGTAGCTATTTCCAGTAGTTTTTGTCGTGACATACCGCAGACGGGTCACTTAATCACCTATTTACTCTCGACTCGGTCGCTAGCGTCGCCATGTTGACGGACAATAGACGGAAGCAGTAAACCGCCTACGTCAAGTGTCTACCGCCAGCTTGGGGGTCGGCCGTCACTGCGCTGTAAATGATGCTGGCGACTGCGAGATTTCTGCCCGTCGCAACGGCTGATAGGAAGCCGTGGCACACAGTAGCGCTCACTGAGAGCGCGGTACAGAGTGGGGTCACAAGGTGAGTTGCCGCCGTTGCTGCTATTTCGCACATTGATTGGATCGAAGTTCAACCTCCTTGTCATCATCGTCGCCGCCGTCGTCGGCGCTACTGCCAAAATGGCTAGGGCTGCATCGGCCGATCCCTGGTCGAAATCTGATAGGAGAACGACGCTGTCTGGACAGCTATTCCGAGTTCGTATTCGCTGAATGTAGATGTGTGCGTATGTGCGTGCTTGAGTACGGGAATCAAACAACAGGGTGTAAGGGCATCGCGTATGACAGCATTCAGTGTGGAAATAGAAAGAAACGTCGTAGAGACCACAGCATCAGGGGAGCATACCAACCCGGCTTTATTTAGTATTCCCGTTCAAGTGAGATGTTAGCAAGCTGACAAAATTGAGAGAAACGTGGAGAAAGATTGGTGGAAAGCTACGCCACTTCTGGATGGATCCGTAATGGCACTCTCTTTTCCTTTTCTTTGTATCCATTTTCCTATCTTTCCTCTGTTTACTAGGCAAACACCAGGTTCAACAAGTTGGATTAAGAGCCTGCTGGCGATAGTGGTCACACTGAAAATGAATTCTTCTAATTAATAAACAAAGCGCTATCTCGTCTCTCCTCTTCAGTTACGTATACGAGACGAAAAGGTAGAGTAAGAACGCACGGGCGTTGGCCTATATCATACTATGCTATAGATGGCTAAAAAACAAGCGAGGAACCGATGAGCGTGCTCACGAACGTACATGTATGCAGACAGTGGCTGCCCTGAAACCTTACCCGGACGCATTCACCCAGAAACACAGACTCACATCCAAGTCTGCACACGCGCGATACAGTGAACCGAAAGGCTTCTACGATGAGCCTACAAAGGACCATTTTCTTCCTACAACTAACGCTGCACGGTTGGAGCGGAATTGAGGTGAAGGAGTGCGGGAGCCCCACACCCACCGATGCGATGGTCCCCAACGAGAGTTCGTCAGCTACCTCTCCCCACGCGTTAGCTTGCTCGCGCCCCCAGCCATCCCCTTCCCCAGCGTCAGTCCACTCGCCCACGAGAATCCGGGGGAGCTGGGCTAGAACCACCCGTAACTCTCCATTCCCTCCTTTCTGTGTCTTTGCCAGTCGCTCCCGCTGGGGTGGCGACTTGAGGGAGATTGTGTGCGTGAGCAGCGCGGTGTCGAGGAAACCAACCGACCGCTCGACAGCCAACAGCGTCTGGGTTTGAATCGTCAGGGAATCCCCATGGAAGTAGAGGGCCAACCAGCGCTAAGGGAAGCAGGATAGTGGAGTACGGGAGCCTAGCAAGCAAACGCAGGTCGAGCGAGGGTCGATAGAGTGGTTAGGGCGATATGGGGGAACAATACCTACTTTCGACACCACCCACCAATGCCGCTGCGGCCGCCGCCGCCGCTGCTGCTATTCCCCGTTTGCTACCTCGGCTTCTTCTCTCAAGCCAACCCACGATCACCGTCACCGCCATCACTTCTCATCGCATGCCCAACGCTCATTGAAAGTAGAACGCGTAGAGCTGCGACTCATACGGATAGCTCAGCAGCGTGAACCTTGATAACACAAAGGAACAGGAAGAGCGTCGAAAACAGGAATGCCGCCTCTTGGCTGTAGGTTCTCTACCTTTGCCATGTCGATGCTCGTGGTATGGGGCATTTTGGGCGACGCTTGCTGGCACAGATACCACAGTACAGTGGCGAGCTGGCTGCACCAAAGAACCATGGTGGTTGGCGCCGCGCATGCGTCAGCGTTTCAAGGTTAGAGGGTCAGTAGTAGGAGGGAGTGTGGATGGTATCAGTGTGCATGAGCTCGCGTCTGTCTGTTCGCGTCAATGTGTATGCGTGTCTGGATGCATCTGGCTGTGATGGGGAGCAGTTGTGGCCAGGCGTCTATCAGGGGACAGCTTCTCTGGCATTAGTACCGCCATCGCCATCGTCTCTCGGTACGGGTCCCACTGGGTATCGGCGCGTCTCTCAGTCGCCAGGTCTGTTGTCCCTCTCCGATGGTCGTGCTGATGCCGTCAGTACGGGTCCATAGCCGGCTACCTAGCAGCAGCAACCACAGCGGTAGCAGACAGCACTCGTGCCTTCCTCACGCGCGTCAGCAGCAGCGCTGGCGGTATGGCCAGCCGGCAACCAGCAGGCGACCCGATGTTACACAGTGTTACGTAGGAGCTAGATGGCACGGCCAAGCCAGCAAAACCGTACTATCAACACTACTGTTACTATAGCAGCAGCAGCAGCAGCAGCAGCAGCAGCACATCCTCTACGACATAAAGAGGGCGCTCGCTGACTAACTTGCTGAATGAGGTTTACTGCTGCTGCTGCTGCTGCTGCTATTAGCCTATTGTTTAAATGAGTGAGTGAGAAGAAAGGCAAGCGGAAGAGTCCTTCCTGGATGTATATGTACATTTACATATATCCTGATCGCCCATGAAAGAGTGAACGCTTTGGTTGGCTACAGTAATGTTGATCGTGACAACAATGCTAGGTGCTCTGTATGACAACGCCAGCATTGACGTTGTGGCAGAAGGAACCATTGGAGTGCCTATAGCGCTAGCATGAGCATAGCTAGGCAGACAAAGATAAGACGTGGCATTCCCAAGCTCTCGCATGCTCTCATAGGTAAACCCTGAAAAAGCTTGAACTTGAACCTTGAATAGCGAAGTGAGAGGCCCGACAGGTGAATTGGAAATCACTGTATATTGGAGGACTGTAGGTAGGCAGGAAGGTATAGCTGCTCTCTACGAAGGAGCAAAGAAAGAAAAGATCGAATGAGTAAGCGGCCGCGGCGGCGGCGGTGGCGGCGGCGGCCGCAGGAGAGAACCAGTGGAAGGGTTACTTGGTCGATTCGTGTGATCAAGGTCGCAATGCTTTCTTTTTATCTTTCTTGCTCGCTAGTTTTCGTCGTTTCATCGTTTGATTGTAGGAGCGGCTAGGTATTCACTCAGGGTGATCCACCCCGCTCACTTGGCCTATAGATATCAACCACCACAAAGCAATGACAATGTAGAAAAATAGCGACTTCCTCGATCGCGAATGCGAACAACTGAGTTGCATTATCATTATTGTGTTGGCTCATGGACGTAGAGAATAGGTTCTGAGAATAGTTGCTCCCATCGCGTCAACAAGGAAAGAAATCAGCAAAAGTACACAAAGGTTATGTGAGAAAAAAAAAAAGGAAATAGGGGAGTATACCATGTGAAGCCTGCTTTTCACATTGGGGGAAAAGAGTATTACAATCTTGCATCGAATATGGGAAACTTTTCTTCTGTAGGGATTAATTTGCATCTGAGTTGGCCGATTGCTCAGCCAGCAGGTTAACCGTTTGGTTATCAGCCGTTTTGCGAAAGCTGTTGTCACTTTCTCTTTGAAGTTTGTTTAAAAGGTCAGAACAAAATTCTGCGTTTCACGTTTAGCTCTCACTACGCTCACCGCCATATTCGTTCGTTTTCCGGTAGCGACGAAATGTAGATGTGTCACTGCCTTCGGTACCATGTAGGCGCACAGAGGGAATAGGGAAAATAAACTAGCCTGACGGAAGTATAATAAAGGCATAGCGCAACAACGAAAAGGGCTACAACGACGATGGCGACAGCAGCAGCGTCTTGTCCGGTAGCTTGGCTAGGTTGGCGTCTACTCCAGCCCGAACATATGTCGTGACTAAAGCATCTTTGTAATTCCAACAGCTCACGCTTGTTGGCATGCCAACGGCAGCAGCAGGAACACAAAGGAGGCACTACGTCCATGGAGTTACGTTTGTTAGAGATACGCTGCTCTGTTGCTGGCATTGGCAATTGTGATAGTACTGGTAATAATAAAGGCGGAAGGGCTATATTAGCTGATGCGCGATGTTTGTCGTTATCTTCCTCTTTCTTCGCCTGCGCGTGTTGTGTAAAAGAGAGCACCGTCTAAAGCATGTTGTTGACAGAACTAAAACACTCTCCAAGGTCCAGCAGACTAACCTGGACGTCCTCGTGGACGGATTGTTATTCTTGTTGATGCTGCCGCGGCGGCTTCTGACGTAGCTGTTGACCATTCGCTTAAGCGGCTGTGCGTCGGCAGCTTGTTTGAAATGTTCCGTTCACGCTGTGGCTACTCTCTGAAGCAATAGCAGCACTCACCGTATTTGTTAGCCTTTCGTAGTAACAGCAGCAGCAGTAAAGTCAGGGGCGAGAAAGAAAAGAGAACAGCAAGAGGCCCACCTCTGTTAGTGGCGACGCCATCGCGTTATAGCTAACGGCATAAATGGCACAGACAGCAACCGAGTGGGTGCATGGACCACGGCAGCAGCATATCTGTTGTTGTTTTGGCGCCCCCAGGGCCCCTCAAGGCTCATCTAATTTATCAGAATATATATTGGCACAACCACAACACACACATATATATATATATACATCAAGCTTTACGCACTTGACTATCACTACAAGCATTGGGTGAAAAAAAAGGCAATCAAAACACGATGCATATGACGATAAACGCTACATAACGTTGTCATTTTTAAATTCACAAGTTCTATTTAGCTATGAAATGCTAACAGATCTAACTTTTAGTACCAGATGATTCATCAAAGCCAATGCAGCTAATTTCTCCGTCTATGTCGTTATGTTTTTCGTTCTCTTCAGACTCCGATTTAAGTGGAATCTATACCGGCTCCACAACACTCCCCGCTGTCCAGCAGCAGTTTATGTACCGCCAACTGCACAGCGGAGGCCTACAAATTACGCCGACTTCGTCACAAAATCTACTCGGTTCATCAGGTTCGTTGCCATCCGCTTCGTCGCTCAATACCAACGGAGGATTCAGTCGGCAGTACGAAGATCAGAAGCCGTTCCTGCCACTTGCACTGACCAAGAATCTTCCTGCCTCAACACAGATCCTACCAGCGCCTGCCGCATCCCCCCACAGTCCAGGGGCGGGTTCGCCCCCTGCTGGTGGAACCAATAGCAATGGAGGCGGCAGCAACAACAGCTTCTTCCCCAACTACTATTTCACTGCCGGCCAGTCAAACGCTGCTAATCTCAGTAGTTTGTCGCCCCAGCAGCAATACTACCAGGAGGATCTAGGCTACTATTTCGCTGAAGATCTATCGACTGGTGGCGGCCTAAAAGCGAAGAAAGCGCCGGGTGCTCTTGGGCTTGGCGGACTCAGCCCGAAACGACCAATCAAGCCATACGATCCCAGCCAGTCCCAGCCCCTGAAGCGCAAAAGCCGCGAAGGATCGACCACATATCTGTGGGAGTTCCTCCTTAAACTACTTCAGGACCGCGAATGCTGTCCCCGCTTTATCAAATGGACCCACCGCGAGAAGGGCATCTTCAAACTGGTGGACTCCAAAGCCGTCTCTAGGCTGTGGGGTCTGCATAAGAACAAGCCAGACATGAATTATGAAACCATGGGTCGTGCCCTCAGGTGAGTATAAGTAAATAATAAGTCTATGTGTGCTAATTTAATATTAACTGATTAGCAGAAGTACGTATAGAACCACATACAATACACACACGTCCCCGCTTGAGCTAGTAATTTTCCAAGGCTCTACAAATTATCAATAACACTCTTATTTGTTGTTTCTCCTTGTTACTTGTTCGCAGGTATTACTACCAAAGGGGCATCCTTGCTAAAGTTGACGGCCAGCGCCTGGTCTATCAGTTTGTTGATGTGCCCAAAGACATCGTCGAAATCGACTGCTCAGGAGCCTAAGTTAGCCTCGAGGCACCTTCAATAATAATAATTAACCACTCAAGATGTAACCCAAAAGATCAAGATGCAACGTCGACAGCACCCCCGACTGAGTTACCACCGACTCGCCGGCAAGCAGCCCTTTCGCACCGTTCGTAGTGAACTGGTTCCGGACCTGTCAACCAACAACGAGGACGAATTTGGCATTACCATTGTTTTTAGATCCAACGAATCCACTCGAAGATATCCACCTGCCGTGGATTTTTCTCATACACTGCTCAGAAGCATGATAATTTGAAGCCTATATCTTGCCCCACCTGGCAACAGCGCGTCAAATACATACGTATATGTATCGGCTCTAGCTTAAAATTCAGGACAAAAGCCCCGTAGATAGATACCCCTAGTTCCCTTTTCCGCGGCTTTTTCTTCCTTTCTCCGCCCCGCCGGAGATCAAAACACTAACAACAAAAACGAGCGAGCGAGTTGACTTGCGATTTGGAGCGCCGATTTTTGTGCTGTCTATTGAAACAAACAGAGAAATAATGTCGCTGAAATATGTCAATCAACTGAACTGTGATTCGAGGTTTGAAATACGTCTTACGTGGGTGCGACTGTAGGCGTTCCGTTCACGAGCTATCATTGATCGTTTCCTGCCACCCTGCTCCTTGTAAATAACGAAACGACCACAGACCTGTTTGTGTGTCGTCGATAAGACGTCACAACAGATATAAGGTGGAAAGGATGCTGATAAAAGTAATTGAAGAGAAGTAGATAATGACGCTAGCGAGCAGCATGGCGATTTTACAGGAAAAATAACAACGGTGATGAGGTACGGCGTCGGAGTACCGCAAAATCAACATGGGGACACGATATAGAATGCAAACGACAAGGGGGAGAGGGGGAGGGATAAGTAACCGACACAGAGATTTCAACGTGACAACAGCGTAGAGAAGAACGAACAGCGCAAGAGACACAAGTGAATTAGTTGACTAGCCATATAAATATACATAGCTATAAATATATGATAGCTTACAGGATAGACAAATGCAGTAGAGTAATAATGATTGAGATGAAGAAAATAAGAAAAACCCGACAGAAAACAAAGATTGGACAGAAAGATGGTATATTCATAACAATAATAATAAGAATAATAATAATTATTATTATATTGATAATTGATGGACATTAAAGACGACGGTGATGATGCCACCAGGTAGAAGGCTAAGGATAATAGTAATGCTGATGATAAATATTATGAAATGAGATAATAAGAATACGAAACTAAAAATACACACACACACACAGACACACACACACACACACACACACACATACACAGACACACATAGATACACAAATACATGCAATTGATACCACATAAACAATAATTAACGTTTACTTATAATAACTATAATGATGGATAAACAATGAAAGAAAGCTCGTATAAATGACGAAATATAACTGTAATCGATCACTATTATTATTATTATTAATATTGTGCACGATATAAAATAGACGACGTTAATAGAACGGTACAACAGTTGTGTAACAAACTCAGTTAATAGTACAGCGGAAAATGGAGTGAAAAAGAATAAGGCACAGGGAGAGAAAAGTAAGACGATTGCTAAGACGCAGTTAATGAAACAGCGACACACACGCGCACGCGTTCAGGGAATGATTATAACTTAGAAGAGGACACCGCGTTAAACAAAAATACAACAAGAACGACAACAACAAACACAGATACAGACGTGAAGGTTTATTATATCGACAATACGATGCTGTTCTATTTGCCGCATAAAACTGTGTTGCGTTCTCTAGGAGAGAGACACAAGTACCGTGTAGTCAATATTATTTTTGTAGTGACATTTGAAAGGCATCAAAAAGCCGACACTGAAACCGATAAGCACGTACGAGTACATGCGTATTTAACACGCCCAGATGTCTGCCCTCTATTTAGAATCACCCCCGAAAACGCTCATTTTCAGAAATCAACGACATTGGCAAACAGATACATAGAGGCATATCGAATCACTCAACCCAGCACACAATCAGACAAGTAACCAACTCTCTTTCAATTAGGTGCTGACGTGATGACATTTCGTCGCATGTATCTTATAGTATAATAACTATTCTTAGATGAGAGTGCTAAACAGGGGAACAGAACATCAAAAGGAAAATAAAGGAAAAGTATAAATAAACATCGATCATCTCGTCCCACACTTGCAGAGTGCTCAATCAATCTTACACCTACCACACGTGAACATCTCATAACAAATTCAGGATTGTCCAGATGATCGTCACAGATTGATATTGTACTGATAACACTGATGACATAATATAATGATGACTCTTCGTTACCTTTACTACTTTTCGTATAGGAACTGTTTGTTCTCTCCGCATAACCGACCGACTTGCTAATCTGAAAAGTTCAGCGGGGATGGAATATATGAGTAATATAAATATATGCATACATGCGCGACGGATACAGAAGGACATAAATCATGGAGCATTGCAAATAAACGGGATGTCGTTAGAAGCAGATGCCGAAAATAGATTAATATAGTGACGATGACGACAATGGCGACGATGTATATGGTGGCGTAATCTTTGTCTCGACCTGTTTTCACGGCCACGACGACGACAACAACGACGACGATGACGACGATGATGATGATAGCGATAATGGTACTCTTCGTTTTTCAAGAATCTCTGTCGATACTTAATGAGATAATACACTCTTCCCTATCTATGGATGAACATGTCGTTCTATAACAGTCTGTCACGTATTTATCACGCCAGCGCAGCGGATAGCAGAAAACACTACGAAAATGGCGCAGAACGTTATAAAGTTGTTCAGAAGAAAAAGGAGAGGAAAAAGAGATAGAGATATGCTATACTGTTGCTGAAGTGGCCTTATTTTTGAAAACAACAACTGCTATTACTACTGCTACTACCATTACGCTGTACTACTCTGACAACAATATTTTACTGACGTAAATACATTATCAACCAACGACCACCTCACTCAGTGAACATCCTCTGACACATTGACATAATACAGCTATTATATAAAGCAACGAGATTTCTTGACAATTAATAATAAAGTAGAAAGTTATTGTATTATTCTATCAAAAAAACTCGTCCCCCGACCCCAGTCGATGCGACAGTAATACTTACATGCCAATATCCATAAACACGCAGACACTCGTGAACGGCATCTCAATGTTGACAAAGACGTTTTGTAGATTGAAGCTGAAGTGACGAGAAGTAGTCAAACAATGGCCAGCGAATAAGTGAGAACAGAAGCATACAAATTACTTACAAGGTGATAATAATAACGACCAATCATGAAGAAAAGTCGGCTAACATAGATATATGGAAATAAAATATAAAACTATGGTAACAAGTTATACATACTACAACCAATATTGTTGCCACAGGCAGTAATGAAAAATATGACAGATACAAATTGTTCATTTATTTATCTTCTATTTATCAAATGTACTCGAAACATATTTTTACTACTTCCGCTACCCCATTTCAAAAAATGTGTCCCCATGTCAAAACCTGTAAACATCCAAGTAATTACTACATTGCTACTGATTACACAGAAAGCGAATAACGCCAGACATATACATAGACAGGTATACACAGAGAATCACACAGTCGCATCAAAAACAAAAGAAACACATACATACATAAATATGACGAGGGAATGAGAGCAGAAAAACACCCATACAGAACAAATATAAACTTACATACTGATAAGTACGCACGATTCTAAATAAATGAAAATGGGTCTATAAAAAGAATGTTATATAAGAACGAAGTTGGTTAACGTGATGGTGATGATAAATAGAAAGAAATATGGCATACTTTTTGGTGTCCACGTATTTTCGTATTGATCCTGGCTGAAAACGAAATGAGATGTTTTTCTCACTTGTGTACATTACTTGGACAGCTGAAAAAAGGACTGGCGAATTTTGCGTAAAACAAAGTAAGCAAAAAAAAGAAAGAGAGAATCAATACGCTCCCGTATTTCTCAGGCGCCCCAAATTTTGTAGACCTTTCCTGCGCCATGTTTTAGTGCGCTCCCGTTTTTAAACGAATTTTAGACAAAAATCGAGAAAATAGTAAACGACGGCGCTGCTTGTACTGTACGGCCCGCTAATCCTTATCCATTTATTTGGTTTCCTACGACTTCTACCACAAAAGTTGAATCAACAACATAAAAATGTACTACATTAAATAATACAGTCATCAACAAGTAAATGGTGTTTAGAGATCATTCGTTACCCGTCTGGTCCCGTCGTGAAGACTCTTTGTATTATTATTATTATTATTATTATTATTATTATTATTGTTATAAATTATTATTATACCACGCTTACGTCGTGTGAATCTTCTGTGCGCGCCTTGTGCTTAGCCGCACTTTGTGCCGAAAGGTTAGTCGGCTGGCTAGATTCCCAGGTCAGATCACGTTCTGTGTAATAGTTTTATTTTCGCTATCTTAACTTTCTTAAAAAAAAAATGGAGCAGTAAGAAGACACTTCTCCAGACATCGAACGAGGTAAAAAAAAACCATGATGTCTAGACAGATTATAACAACAACTGTAATGATGATGATGATGGTGATTATCATGTCAAGGATGATAACCTGCGCTCTCTGACGAGCAGAGCCTTAGCTGGCAGTACCCCACCTCGATATACCTTCGATGGGCGCACATATAAACAGAGAAAAAGCACATGGGATACATTTGGCGCGGTCAATATGCCTCCTGCGCGCTGTAGAGAAAGCCTCAACTCAGTTTGTCAAATCTGCCGAGCGCAAAAATCACTGTCGCCCGCTTCCTCACACATACAGGAATACACATAGACACACACAACACAGATATAACCTGGTGTGCTACGTCGGGTTGTACAACTTATCAGACGTAACGGACAATGTGAACCGATTGAACATCGTGTGGGCGGCGTGATTCAATTTGCTGCCTGGAGAATAGAAGTTCAAGGGGGAACAGGATGCGTAGGATCATAGAACGGTTTCCAAACGACTCCACCCGCCGGCCAATGTTCTCCACAAAAGAAACAGTTTGTAAATACGTGATTTGGCGTGGCAGGCGTTGAGGGTGGCTCTTTTTCTGTAGGTGCCCTGTGTAACCGTGACCGACCACGAGGAGACAGTCAGCTAGTCATAGCTCTAGGTGTTTCTGTTGACCCAAATTGCGACGGCTGGTAGCTTCTTCTCCTCAAATAATGTCCCGCCGCGACACCGCCCCCGACGCCCTCACACACCAATGTATCTGTACATAATATATTAATAAGCATATGCTCTATATATAATATTATGCTCACGAGGCAGAAAGACTATATTAAATAAATGTTACAATGTCCTTGCTTTGGAACCCGTAAAATCCACCGATGTTTTCTATATTCATGGCGAATAGCATTTAAGAATACTTTCTTCATATATATATATATATATAGTAATAGAACTTGAACAAAAGAGCAGAATTCATATTATAGAAGTTTTAGCAGCGGAGGTGATGGGAGTAAAGCAGTAAGATGACCGAAATTGAACATCCTTCAAAGTATAATACACAAAAAATTAGGGTTGCTTCTTTGTTGTAAGTTCTGAGTTCTCAAAAGGATGTACGCTAGAAATATCAGAAGATGAGCTCGGCAGCAGGTTTACTTTGGCTATTCATTCACACGATGTTTTCCGATCAGTTCATGCGATCAAACATAATATGTCATCTTAAATCAGTTTCTTCTTTTACTGCTAGCTAATTTATCTCTAGCACCGTTGTTGTTACCAAGTTACTGAAATGTCTAGACATTTGCTGATGATGAGTATACGTCCTAGCTAACGCGATCCGATAGTCTCGTATAGATAGATATTAAAACAGCTCGCTGTCGTCCAAGATACTCTATGGTATCACTAAAAGAGAAAGTAGATAAAAGTATCCACCTTCGGTATTATGCAATAGCAATGGCAGAGTCTATTGAATCGGGAATTGTTAGAAAAGGCTTGCTAATATAGATATATATATATATATATATATATATATATACATGCCTGCCTTTCTATCACGCTTGAACGGTTTTGCGATGATGAATAGCTTGTTTTAATAGCCTCGTAACGCTAGAGACGCCGTCGCTCGATCATCATCATAATAATCATTCGACATCAATGATAAATGCTTATACACACTTTACAATGACGAGCTGTGTATGGGTACGCAGAGGCTCGCCAAAACATCCGTCCCTTATCGTAGTGTTTTTGTGTCAAGACATAGACTCCAACTTGCTAGATCAATAACGATAGTCAAAAAAATATTTTGTTTTTGGGCTTTCTTCTGCCAACATTTGGAACACACTAAACTTCCTAACTTACTTTATTTGGGTTTACACAACCATCCTTACCGTTCGAATATCATACGAGTTTCTTCCAGAATAAAACAGTCTTTTGCAAAGCGACTGATTTATAGATGCATCTGAAGACTTCTGCTCATCTGTTCTGTTTCATTTGCCTTAAAAGGAATGCTGCTTAAATATGAACAGGTCTTATTAAATAGAGCGAAATCTAAACTACAGCAAGACGCAACCAAATTTAGGCCCCGCCAAAACCTCTAATCAGGTTCCGCGTTTTTTTTGAAGATTGTCTAGAAAATTACTATTCATTCTCGATCTAAAGGTTGTCTGAATGTAGCGCCTTTGGTTTCTGGTATAGACTTTACACTAAGATGAGTTTGTTTTCTGCGATGTGAGCAGTGCTATAGACACATACACCTAGTCGACGATGAAGTTTTATTGTATTCATTCGATTAAAGGCAATCAAAAGCTTTTATTTTATCTGGATCTTTTTAGCAAAAATTAGGTATGTGTCTTTTTTTCATAGTTTACATAGGATGGATATAACACACGTAATAATATCACTGAGCCGATATTTTAATTTCAAAACAATCTACAACAAAGTTCTCTTTTTTTCTTTTAGCAGTAGTACCACTTAATTTACATATAAAACGCATTTACTCTTTTTTTAACCGACAATGAAAATATTTGATGACGCTTTTTGAGCGACAACTTCATTTAGACATTAAACACTTTCTGCATACATTGTATGCGCCTACACTTCCAACTATGCTTAATCAATTTGTACAAACTATTTTTTTTCGCTACCCTAAAGATGCCCCTGTGTGATTTGGGTATTGTTTCTTCAAGGAGCTGAGTTGACAGTCAGTCAGAACACTAACTCTATATACCATAGGTATCAAACTGCTAGAACGAATGTAACGCTGTTGGAGTTGTTTAAAGACGCTGTTTCAGTATAACATTAAGAAGCCTTGATAAATGCTTTACAATATATATATATATATATATATATATATATATATATATATATGTCATCCATACAGATATGAATAAGAAAACTCTTGATAACAAGTCACCCCATTAAGTATATACATTTATTGGCTTCCACTGATGTTTACCAATATATGACTTATAGGTGACGGTTCCAAACACGCTATAACCAGTATTCTAAATCAATTTGATTTCATCATTTTGTACATAATATTAATTTATAGGAGGGTATCTTCGCACCGAAGATACTCGCCCACATCTGCCTGATGGAAAACGACAATTGTCATGGGATCGGCCTTCCTACACTCGGCTGTAGCCTTAGCTGCGACTCCGAAACCAATCGGTAGATCTGCCATGTTGTAGACCACAATTCCTTGATAACGCTCTACGTTTTCGGAAATCTGCGACACGCCGCTCTTGAGCACGTTATGTCCATAGAGGAACTGTTGTTCAGCGCTTGGCTTAAGCCATACTTTTCCTTTCGCATACGGCGCAATTTGATCCAACGCTGTTACTTGTAGCCGAAATTTGCCTTTGGGATAGAAAGCATAATACACACGGTAAAAACAACAAATGCTATTTTTCGCTACGATCGTTGTAGCTTTAAATCCACGTAAAATTTTTATTAATTCTTGTACGCAAAGAGATCCTTGTTTACAGTCGGTTTCTTAGATGATACAACACTGTAAACTGCACGCCATCGTAACTTTATACGTATATATATATATATATATATATAAACTCAGAAACGACAAGTCAGATCTTGGTCATTTGAAAGAGCAGGATTTACCTGTCTATGAAAAAAATTTTCACGGAATACTTCAGGCCTCGTACTCTGAAGATACAGCGGCTTAGGCCGTTCTGTGTCGAAGTATTGAATGGATGAGTAAGGTTATTTGCTTATTTCACAAGCAGGAACTGGCTTAAAAAACTCTTTAAAAACGCATTAAATAATTACAGTAAGGAATCTTGCAACATTAAGAAATGCAAGTCCTATGGCTCACACTAGCCCGTCAGCTACAAAATGTATCCGAAAGGCTGTGTCTACTCTGTTGTCCTCAATTGTATGTTCATTCAAGTAAAATCTCCACCACGCCTTTGCAGTGATGCCACTGCAGTTCTGCTGGGTTGCTTCCAATTAATTTACATCTTTTGTAGTTTAGTAATAGTTTATAGCTCAATCCGACAGACTTAAGGGAGCTAGAATGCGAGCAGCACTTGACAACTTACCGGATTTAGTGAACTTTCCAAAACATACACCCATCATCAGCAGTTGCTCTCTGGGTACGTTGCAAGCCATTTTAAGTACACTTTCTGAAATATAAAACACCCTGTCCTTCTGTATACGAAAGCAGTACGTGCCATCTTTCCGGTCTATGAGTAGTTTCACTGATGCTCCGATGAACTTGTCTATCTTTTCTAGGACGGCTTTTGTCTCCTCGTCTGTTAAAGGCCTCATATTTGTCTTTATAAAAGTAATAAGCGCTGCAAGAATGAAATTGTTATGTTGTCCAACAATCTGCGGACTTATTAGTCACAACGCACAGCGATGATAGCGCTCAAATATATGGCTGAGGTCCTGCGAAATCGAACGTATGGGTTGTGTTTTGATGCAGCACGTGTGTCCAACCGACACAGACCCTCACATGTCTAGTGTGTCCTGTATTTACACAGTCAAGACGGAAACATTTGATGATTTATCGAAATTTTTTTTTTAACTATGTATCTACTCTTTTCTTTACAGACACATATACCTGTTCTATGTGTTTAACCATTTTTTGTATGATATATAGGATTTACTTACACTTTACTTTTAATAAATATCATTTGTGATCATGTATAGTCACCTAAGAAACAATAGAGGTATAAATTCACTTTTTATTACAAAAAATTAATCGTTGTTCAAGCGTGTTGTCACGGTCATCTTAGGTATATATACCTAAAAAATGAAGCAAATCTGCTCAACTTAAATTAATATAGATTAAATAGTTAATGGGCGCGATTAAATTAACTCGGGTTCTTCTCGCTAGGTATTTATTGGTCGTTAGGTTAGTACATGGGAGTACATAACATATATTTCTGATTCAAACACCTTTTACCAATTTATGTGAATCAGTAATTTTTTAGAATATTTTTTAGAATTTTTTAGAAAATTTATGTGAATGTTCTCAATGGTTAATAGTAGTATCTTGAACTACATATGTTTTTGGTAACAACATATTACAGAAAGGTAGGGCCATATTTGGGAGGCATCAACTCGGTAGCACAAAAATGCGGCCATAAAGTCTGATACTTTGATGCTCCTATGAATACTTTACTTGAAAAACGTTTTAGTGGTTACGAATGAAAAGGATAAACCAAAGAGGATCTACCCCGCGCCGTAGCCTGAGGGGCTAGTGCGCAGCTCCTAAGTGTATTGCCATGGTACCCATAACTAAAAGGCGTTCTGCCACGTAGCGAAAGGATTGCCATATATTAATAATTCGGAGAATAAGAAGCTACAGGAAAAGAAATAATTAGGAAAAATAAAATATAGGGCTCAATAGCTGCTTGTATAATTAGCACGCCGTTCCATAGGTTTATTGGAAAAACCCCACATAAGTCCAGCAAGACCCACTTCAGTTAGATTTTTAATGGGGGTGTGTCCTTGGATATGGACCTAAAAAAAGATGATTCCGAGTATTTTTTCGTAGCCTCGAATTAAAAAGAAACAGGAAACATCCAGCAGAAAAAAGATCCATTTTTGACTATTTTAGCATATTCCTTAACTAATAAACATTAAACTTCTAATAATCACAGGGTGTGTCATAAACCATTTCTCTAAATCCGATCGAGATACATTCGAGAATGCGTACATCCGTTCCTTTTAAATGTGATGTAATTCCCAAGAGTAATGGAACGTATGCCAAAGGTATGATACTGCCAATCGATGAAAGAACCGTCCTTCTAAAAATAACAATTATTATTAGCCTATACTTAGTGTTTCTTCGAATTATACAGGTAGATCACTTTTACTGGCTGCAGTTTGTGTATGAGGTTTACGATCCCTTCTAAGAAAATACGTAATCATTGATGGCTTGAGCTTTCTTTAAATACGTAAAATCGTTATCTAAACCCTTTTGGTATAAGCAGTAAGGCTAATAATGGCGGACTATCTCTATACAATTTACACAACAGCCGCTAAGCCAAGTAGGCTTGACAACATGTAATTGTTTATGCTGTGCATTTTCCTTGTTACGGTATGTCTCGGTACGTTTAATGGCAGCCTTCTGGATAAATTTCCCCATGAATCTCCGCCGAACAAACATACCTAAGTGGTAATCTATTTGCGACGTGTTTTCTAGTCAGAAATGTATAATTCAATGATAGTATAGTGCACTTTCTTCATATGCTCTGTAAAAATCTCGTCTTCATTGAGGTACAGGGGTCTGCTTTCCACGTGGCTGATGTAGATTATACGAGGCGCGTAGCAATCGCTACCTCATCAACTCATACCCTGAAGTTTCCTGGCAAGATTCTTTTTGAACTTCGATGTCTTCTCCTTTTTAATACTCTTCTTGAGCTTCTCACGCTTCTGTTTGCCAAATTTGCCGGCACATTTTTTTAATCCTTTTTGTTTTCGTTCCTGTTGCTGGGACTTTCTCTCCATTTTCTTCTTGTTGATTCGTTCTTTAGAGCCCCCCATCTGTTTAAATGTCGATGACGAAAAAAGCTTAGTCTTGCAGCATCAGTATGCAGATTAGTCAACAAGTATATTATTGTAATTAATATGGCGAATTTAGTCTATTATACAGCAAACATCTGTGCAAGTGCAAACATTTACGGAGATTATTACCTGAATATTTTTCGACGCTGCAACTGTTCCACGAGCGTCTCCGCTTTGCTTCTTTTTTTCAATCGCGGTCACTCGAATGGTGCGATTTTTCAAAACTTTTCCCGAAAACTCTAGAGCCATCATCGCAGCACTTGATTCCTTAAATACAACAAATGCTATCCCCTTACCATTACCTAGAAACAATGTATTTTGTTAAATTTTTCAAGTTGTCTGTGGCTGGTTGATATTGGTCCAATGCAGTATAACAACGATTGCAATTAAGAAATCGCCATAATTCTTAATAATTAACCTCCCGTTGTGTTCCTCTGTAATATACGTAAATTTGAAAACTTTTTGAAAATATTTTTGTTCTCGGTAATTAACTCTCACACATATATATGGGGATACAAATCGGTAATTACTAATTTTTAGCCGGTTTGATCAGAAGTGAGCATACCCGTGATACTATCCCTGATGACCCGCACATAATCGATTTGGCCTGCTTCACCAAAAAATTCCCAGAGTTCATCGTCTGTGACATCGAAGGGAATGTTTCCGCAGAAGACGCTTCTCTTTGGCGGAACAGTTGACGCTTCACGCCTGTCAACTCGAAGATGGTGGCCTTCGAACTCAATCCCATTCAGACTGAGCGCTGCTGTCACCGAGTTTATATCGGCAAATACGACATATGAGCATATCTGTTAACGGAACGTAATGTTGTATTGAAAAGTTAGTAAGCAGAATAATTTAATGCGGTGGAAAAATGATATAAGGGCATAATAATGCGAATCGCAGTGCGCTACGATGTCCTGCGAATATATGCTAGTTCGTGTAGCTGGTACAATAATGCTAAGTTATAACTGATGGGTACATGTAAAGGCTGATACACTAATGCTGACGTTTCAGATTGAGCTCCGTGGGGTACGGCTTAAATATGACTGTTATTTAATTGATACTATAAAAGCTTGATCGCTCTGCATCATTAGCTGAGAAATTAATGTTGAAGCCTGTATGTTATAGTAAATGAAAGTGCACACCGTCGTTCCTTCCTTGATAAGAGATCGTTTCTTGACCGCTGCCTCGGCTGGGATAGAAGACTTCGCTGGAATCGCGTTTGTGAATCGTACAAAAAGAATATCGCCGCATTTCCCGAATATTTCCTTTATCTGTTTCCTTCTTGTCTTTGGAGGTAGATTCTTGACAAAGATCGTCCTGGGTATGTATGTAGGATCATCCTCGTAATAGCAAAAGTTGCGCTTGTTATCTTCCTCGTTCTCGACACCTTCGGATTTCACCTTATCTGAAAGAACATCCATGCACAGTGGCTTCTGTTTAGCGCAAAATAATGTTCTGTGTTATTTTATTGCAAAAGATTACGATGATGATAAGTCTAATAGTCTTTAATGTTTGCCTGTCTAGTTTAATTGAAAACATTCGAAAACTGCGATTTACTCACCAGTATCTTTATGTTTAGCCGTTTCTTTTAGTTCACTGTCTTGTTCTTTCTTCGTCCGCTTCTGTACTTTTATGTCCCCGCTGTCATGTTCAATTGTTTCCGATTTTGCTTTTTTTTTGTTAATTCGAAACAGAGCGGCCTCTTTGTTACTCATGCCTTTTCTAGGACTCTTTAGGGTTTCGCACGCCTTCGGAGTTCTTTCGTTAAGCTTCTCCGTCTGTGGCAATGCGTAAACAAAGCGGCCCTTCTTTGCGGTAATATGAGCGGCCTCAGAGGACTTCCCTTCGGCCAATTTCCGTTTGACGTCTTGCTTTTTAAACTGTACTTGCTGATCGCCCAGTTCTTTGCCAACTTTCGTGGGCGCTTTACGAGGCTTGAACTCCTCATACATTTGCTTGACGTGTGTCAACTTAACAGGTTCAGAGCCCTCGGCGTTATTAAAGGACGATTTTCTGCCAAACAAAGCAGACAGCGCGCCCGCTACGTACTCGGCCATATTTTAATACACCGTTTGATCGCTAATATCCTGCAACGATAAAAAAAAATTGATTTCCTGTGAGATTACTGCTGGTGCTTCATGGAATACAGGCTATGGTCATTTAGCAAGCGCATTATTTTTAATACAACGTTATGTTATTAAACAAAAAGGAACAACTGATATTCGGCTGGTACAGTATGGTCAAAAACACGCTTCTGTTACACGTAACAGTTGCATTTTAACAATACCTGCACATATAAGTCTTATCGATAACGATTCATAAATTGAAAAAAAATTGCGGCTATAATTCGGTATGCTACATATTAAATGCACTATAGTCAAATTGGCTGAAGTTCGACTGCGTCTGGGTATTGATCAAAATTCTACATAAAACACTAAAATTTTGACCACAGTGACTACGAAAAATTGCCGCGTTTTTCAAACTTGCCGGCATTGCCGGTTGGCCCTTGTGAGATTCACAACACTTATCGTCTCAAATTCAACGGCCAGAAGTTTTCGAGATCTACGATATTTGCAAGGGCAACCTTATATCAGACAACAAAAAACTTGACTGCATTTTCGTTCCATTATACTTTATCATACCCCGAGTATTCTGGCTACTGAAATGCTACTTAATTTGGTTAAAACTGTCAGTACTTTACGTGCTCGCGAGCTTTTCCTTTCTTTGATTTGAGAATTCGTGTTTCTTTGTGCTCGAATTCGTTGTGCAAAACACTGTTGCTGTGCTAAATGCTTCCAAACACACGGGCCAGAGCGAACCGGTCCAAATACGACGATATTCAATTCTGTTTAAACCCTCTATCCAACTGCGAGTATCAAAACAACATCGGCTTCCGCCTTTCGCGCCCGCTGTTTCGAACTAATGCTAATTCGAATGCAGTTGACAAAGAACTTGATTCTGTTTAATCGCATCGTGTTTCGGTTTGCATATTATCTAGGCTTTTAAACCGTATTTATTTGTTCTTTTTACTTTTGCAAAGATGAGAACGACCGACCCTTTGCAATTCTCAGCAGCTGATGTCCTTCATAGTAGAGTCAGTTGCCGTAATCCGGTTGTTAGAAAGATACCGTTCCGGGAGATGCTACCGATGCAGCTTAAGGATAAGGTGTCAGGAAAAAAAGAAAATTCAAAGGGTAAGACCATTTACGATTGTTGTATCATAACAAGTTTCGCGACAACTGAAGGAAGGTAACAGTAGTTTATATATATATATATATATATATATATATAAGAAAAACGAAGCATGATTTTTAAAAACGAGCAGGGTTAATTCTGGTTGGATTTGCCAGCTACTCTTAGGCGTTATAATATTGTGGTCTAGATTCGAATCCGGGCATAGACACACAGTTCGTTCCGCGCTGAGAACCAGCTGTCTGACTGAATGCCTGCCGGCGATGCCGGACATAGAGCTCGAAACACAGAGAGGTCTACTCGAACTAAAATTGGGCCCTAATCCAATGGAAGAGATTGCCTAAATATTAGCGTTTTAATAAGAAGCTACGACTGTTTTAAATCGTTATCATTTTTTTTTCAAAATTAGTTATATGGACATCTTCTTCAGGTGCCTCTGTCTTTTCAATTTTTCAAATTAACACTAATTCATTGCTGCTACGGGCTATTGCGCCAGCGACTGGTTTCAAGGCCCGCAATCTACGTGCAAGGCAATTTATTGTATTGTATTAAGTGATAAGATACTAAATACCTAAGCTTTTAGGTAGTCAATTTTTACAAATTTCAACATATGATTCTCTTTTATTATCGGTCGTGTTTTTTTATTGTTGCTGAGATAATTTAAATGAAGACTCTGGCCACTTTTATTCAAATGATGAATTGATGTGCAGGTTATCCCAAAGATGTATACATCGTTTGAATGGTTGTAACTCCGGTTTTTTTTTATACATATGTTGAAAATTAATTGCAAAAGAGGCTACATAATATGTGTAACCTACCTTCTTACACCAAATGGTCAAATTTTTACTGTTCTGATCAATATTGTGCTTAATAACGGGCTATTGAGATCAATAAACATGGTGTTTGTTTTCGGTGTTTGGTATTTCTTACAAGAAAAAATCGATTGGCATCTATTTGGGCAACGAAGAGGGTGTTCCATGGGTTTTATTGTTTAACCTATTTGTTTGAAAAATTCTTATCAGAATGTGTTCTTCTATGAAGATAATGGTATATAGGGGCTCTGTTTTGTCAAAAATAAAATTTATCATTCTCATCAAAATTTTTCCTAGTAAATGGCAAAGCAGTTTTGCACTATAACCAGAAAATTTGCACCAGTCATTGTCCTCTGAATACAGAACGGCCGTTGACCCTTCGCTTGAAATATCGCCCGCCTCTATAATTCCCGGTAAATATACAAGGTTTTCTCATGTAGCATGTGAATTTAAAACTGCCCAGTAAATGCAATTATATTGATTAATTGTGCCATCTAATTCAATGTGGCTTCATCGCTTCAAATAATTTTCCGTAAGAACTGCGTGTTGCGACAATTTACAAAGTTTTATGACTTTAATTGATAGTATGTTCCATTGACCTTCCATGTATCTTTTTAGTCGACAAAGGTTTAAAATGTGAGAGACACTTGATTTGCCGACGCAAAGGGCACGACTTTACCGTCTTGAAGATTTTTGGCATATTTCGTAATAAATTTCCAGCACTTTTTTTTGCTTCTTCTTGAAAGAAAATTTTTGGTCTTTCAATGCGTTGTCTGTGAACATTCTTATTAAACTCATCTTAAACTCATCTTTAATCCGATTAATTGTAAGCCACACAGATGGATTTGCCTGGGACTCCCTGCGAAATTATATTTCTATTGCTGCCACATTTTGGTACTGAATATCAGTTTAAATAAGTTTTCTTTGTTTAAAAAATTTATCTTCTCATTATTTTCGATTAATTACACCGTGAAACAGGAGCCAGCAATCCGAAAGTTGTGACTCGTTAAACAACATATGGAGACGCATCGCATAATTACTGATTTTAGTGTATTTGTCCCGCATGTTCAGTATACTATTTTGCAATAGTTTTTCTACAGTTTTCTTGATTATTTACTATATTACGTGCTAGCAACTTTTTAACAAAAGCTAGCAACAAAAATTGATTCCAATATTATATCCCATTATATATATTTCAATATATATAAAAAAAAGACCACATTTAGTATTGTGGAGCACATTATTTCTTCCAAGATATCATTATCATATAATACTTAATTATTATCTGATAATATATCATCGGCCCTTTATAGATTATTTACCTTTGCTAAGATAAAAATAGTAACAAAAATACAACATATGGAGACAAAAGTTTCTGCCAATTATCGATGTGTATTGGTCAGATTATTATTTGTGACGTCTTACTCAAAGAACATTTTTCTCAGCTAGTTATTTTTGGCAGCGTAGATGTTAACATGCAAAAGCAAGCAATGATCAGTTTTTCTTTTTCTTTTGTTAATTACTACAGAGTGTATCAATTTTTGCCACTTGCGTGTATATTGGTATTTGTATTTTACAGGTGTCGCTTGTCTTCCAGAGATGTTTACGCTGTTTACCTGTTTAAGCAAAACGGACTTCGACACTCTGAAGTGCCCCAATGAAGTTAAGGCCTTTCAACTGTGCTACAAGAACCATACTGTATGTATAGCCTCCAACAGGTGCTTCTTCTTACCTGTTCTGTCTTGTAATAATGTGAATAAGTAATATATATATATATATAATAAAAAATAAATAAGAATGAAAGTGGTTGTCGTCGTGAACGCAAAAGCATTCATTTATCGTTCAGTGTCAATGACATATGAAGTAATGTTCATGCCGACAAGACAATGCGTATTTCAAACTGTAGGCCTATTGTTTATCAGTGACATGGATTTTAACGCGTTCCCTTTGAGGATATCTAAAATGTCTATTTTCTTAATAACGTTGGTTTTCTTTTTACAGGCGAACGTTGCTGAGTACAAAGCTAAAGGCTCCCTCGGAATTCTCGTTCCCGACCAGAAACTGAATGACATGACCTCACAACAAATCAACACCCTCCTGAAAAAGTACCCGATAGGGCAGTTCATGAAGAAGATTCGCTGGTAGTCGAAGCAGATAGAAGAGACGGTCTCTTTCGGTTGCTAACCATAGAACATTTAAATGAACTAATTTAAACAGTCATCTAATTTTGCTGTAATACACGTGTAGTAAGAAATCGCATTGAAAAACAGAATAAACGCTTATAGCTTTTAATGGAAGTGTGTTTATTATGACCCGGCTCGATTGTGTATGGCACCTTTTGTTCTAATCCTTGCTCGCTAATTTTATCCAATCCACAATCATTAGTGCACAACTCCACCAACAGCCCGGCGTCTGTTTTATAAATGGGAGAAGTGCATGGTTTTAGCTGTGAATGTTTCTATCTTATGGGAGCCAGCCCGGCTAAGCACATTACATTTTTATTTCAGATGCATCATACCTTTGTTGGTATCCCAGTATATAGGATAAAACTTGTAAAAGAAGTTCAAGGGCATTTTTTAACGGCATTAGTCTTGCTTGAAAATCACAGGACTTCGTTGTGGGATCAAAACATGCACTTAACCTTACTTAATTGTTTCCTCAGCAAATATTTTTCAAAGCAAGTGAAAGTCATATTTATGGCATAATGATATTTGTTAGACTGAGTTTTTAACCTGATCGGTTGTCTCCGAACGCATGACCTCCTGCAAGCGTCTTTGTGTGTCATGGTATTGTCAACAAGGCCTATGAATGTATAAGTATTTATATATTCTATGACTATACTATGTTTTTTTCTACCTCTGTGAATAAGAAGGACTGTCTACCTGACAGTTCGAGGTTTCAGACACGGTAGCAAACATGTCACGTGAAATGAGCATTAGGCACCACGAAAACTTTAAAGAAAGTTATTTTTCTTAACCATAATCAAAATATTTTGGAAATATTTGTTTTCTATATTTTTGTGTGCAAGCTTTAAAACATTAATTTTTAGATGCATTGCTGGGTCGAAAACGATTGCTTATCACTAATTATTGTTTTATCTGGCGCAAAAAATAATCACAGAGCGAGTTTCCCGCTTTACATACAGTAATCATGTCTTTACTACCCATCACGTAGTCCAAGCACCATTTTTAGAGCTGGCATAAGAACTATTTTCCTTTAATCCTTACGTTTAAATCAGCGAAATTATCGACATGGTCCCTATCTGACACATTAACACTTTGTCTTGGATTGGCCATTTGTTGGTAACGCGTTGCTGAATGGTATTGGGTCTTAATGATGTTATTTCGTCTGAAAAGCCCATTTCAAAAACACTTGTCTTGTTAATTCAAATCCACATATGGCTTGTTATACATCAGCCAACGAAAGCCGTTTTCTAAATTGGTACATTTTCAAAATTTTTTAACTAATCTTCAGAGACCCAATTACTTTTGTGTGATGTTAATTGTAATAGAAGTTTGGTAAAAGTCCTTGGGTGGGTCGTACTCCTACTATCAATAAGTCAAACGTTTATAATTAACTAAGCATTGTTGTTTCATGTCACCGTTCGGTGTCGGTAACCATTAAATTGAACGTAATTTTATTTTTTGGGTTCAACCGTGCGGGATGAGCTATACTCTACGCGTCTCTAATTATGCTTTCCTAATGTTATGTTTTTACATTTACATGCAATATTAAATAGAACAAAGCTTGCGCACTGTTCTTAGGTCTCTTATCTGACAGTGTCTATTTTTGACTTACGTAGTTATAGTTTTGTGCCCTCTGAATTCATTTAAAATTATTGTAATGGTAAAAAAAAATCAGTTTAAATCCTACGAGCTCAACTAAGCCTCACACCTTAACCTAAATCTGAAACAAATGGATATAAAGCAGTTTAATCGTTTAAGTGAACCTCTGTTCTTTCATAAGAGATGGATTTATTGGTAAATTATCACCATCATTTTTATTATAACCCAATGTAGGCTGATAAGGAGCATGAATGATTGTCTCCACCTAATCCAAATCATAATAGTAACGAAATGTAATAGTGTTGGCCGTGCCCTTTAAGTAACGGTAAGTGATCGTACCGCAAACTTAGTACAAGTCGTAGGTATATTTTTTAATATAGAAAATATGGCGAGTTTTCGACATCTCGAATGAATATTTCAACGATTTTTATGATACTTCGAATGGTGACAAGACTTCAATGGAAAACGTTATGGCGGGAACAACAGATATCGACAAGTACGGTCCACACTAAAATGAATGAAAAGACAATACTCGTACTCAGTTTCGTTTCCTGCCCAAAAAACATGACAGCGACACATTTGAATTAGGCTAACTAGATAATACAAGCAAGCCGACGAAGTTGCTTAAGCTATACCATGAAATTATTAAAGCAGTAAAATGGAGTAACACAAAGATAACCTATTGACTTGAACAATGCGGTGGACTTTGGCAGAAAGTCTATCAGATCCGTGGATAGCGTAACAACATAAACTTTTTCAACGATTGCAGGCTAAAAAGCGAGGTTCAAGCTAAGCAGACGGACGTGCTTTGGAATTAAATAAAAAAACTAACGAAGCATACACTATATATATATATATATAGATTGAGAACAGAGTCTTCACTCCATATACACACATCTTTTATATATACGCACAGAGTAGCAGATCATAAGTTAGCGATTACAATAAGAAGCAGATTTAACGAAGTGATGCATTTGTGATACAGGCACTTTAATACCATCACAATACTTGCCATAGGGTTAATATATGCCTAAACTGTAACAACTATAGGCTGTGTCAAATGCCTATATGCTGTTTCGTTTCTCCCCGTGTTTGCAAACAAGTAAAGGCTACCAGACTATTACGCGACTACAACGCAGCAGCATTTGCGGTTTGTTATAATTTGGCTGCGATAGCAGCAAGTTTGAAGCGCGTTTGTTTTTCATAGAAACCTGTCGTCCAAATGAGGATCAATCGCGGTGGCAATCCGCAGGTGCCGCATAGAACATGGATGATACTTCTCGTTACCGAAGGCCACACAGAAACATTAGATCAAAAAAAAAGAAAGGCTGACTTACCGTAGATAAAACGAGGCCAGGAAGATCCCGAACAGATCGCAACTCAGCTGCAGTACAAAGCAGAGTACTTGCCGAGCCAGTGACCTTAGCCACGTCATGCTCCACAATTTCGCCAAAAACGAGTACTGGGAACATACCATATTTGTGAAGTAATTGTTAAAGTTGATACTAAACGATGCAAGACCTTAGTTGAAAATTACGAGAAACAAATCGATTAAGCGGTTCTTACAAGGCCATTTAGCTGTTTTTTATCTGTGGTGTAGATAAACGCCGAACGATGAGCTAACACAGTTAATAAAAAGACACACAAAAACTCGTGTCTGTTTTCCATTTCGAGAACATGTAGATGGAATAGTAGCTTTTGGCACATCCTACAACAGTGACTACAATGGTCATTCAAACAGTTTTATTGACTGCTACCAGAATAGTACCATTTAAGAACCTACTAGAAACTATTTTTCAAACTATATTGAAGTACGACGTCAAGTAGGTAATATAGATAATATCGTGATTCAATGTACGACAATCAACGACAAGATGTTTTCCAACAAACCAGGAACCTTCGACGGTGCTTAGTTCGTATATCTGTTAGCGATCTTAGAGAAACAAAAAGATGCTCGAAGCCAGATCTGACATATTCAAGGTGTATGAGAAAGAATGTTTAATTTGGGATAATCGCAGCCTAGTGAACTACACCTTCAAGATAGGTTACTGAGTGCGGTAATATGCTTGTAGCATATTATAGAACTGGTCGGGACGGTATTAGGATGCCCCTATTACAAATGTGTTACATAGTTATGTCTGCTTTTCATTGCTATAATTTACATATTTTCTGCAACTTTAACATATATAAAGACTCCAACTCTCCAGGACGCTATTTCTAATTTATGTATAAACCTAAAAGAAAACCGTAAAAAAGAAATATGTTTCTTCGATCAGCCTCATCGAGAATTGCCTACTGCGACTAAATTCATTTGGAACATTTATTATTTTTATAATTAACGTGTGCCATACTTTATCTTATTACTAGCTTTTCGCCGTTTCTATTTGTACACAAATTTCTTGTTTCTTTTTTTCTTATCTCTTTTTCTCAGCCTTTGCTTTCAAAGGTTTGACATGCAATTATTGCGCACCTGCTTTGAAACATAAGACTGCATTTTAGCCTATTATGCTTTTTTTCCTGAAACAGGTCAAGTGCATTGAATCTAGAGCAATACATCTGTTCGGTAAATGATTCCCACTAGCGGCTTCAACGTCAGTTTGGACTACGATATTGAATCTTGTTCTTTCGCATTTTCTATTTACGCAACTTTTCAGTGGTAGTTTTTCAGGCGTTTTACGTACGGTACTTGAGCTGTTCGGCATCGGATTTCAGCGGTATTCCAACTCATTTTAAATATTCCCGCCACCAGAGCGCACACTGTTCCTGTTTCGATTTGCCTTGTTGCGTCGTCCGCATTTTCGAACGACTGTCCTGTCTTTGATATTACTCGTGTACAACAAAGTGGTAGTGATCACAGTGCTTGACGGTGCTATCGATTGTAGCGTGCAATCTGTCGTGTGTTGATAGTGACAACGGGTGAACGCACACTTTGGTGCAACTGACGATCGATCAGCGAACGGGAAAGTTCCGTATAAAATCTGTCTGTCTGTGTGTTGCTATTATAGCGGTGTGTTCTTCAAGACGAGTCGTTCCGGTGAATGCTACTACTGTGCTCGTTTTGTTGTGAGAGTGCTGTTTCGGAATTTTTGGGCAGTTTGAGACGTTGTTCTTGTTGCGTGTGTGCGTTTACAAGTAGTCGTCCAAAGCTGCCGCCGTCTACTCCACAAGCGTCTCCACATACCTCCGCAGTTGTGCGAGCCACCCGGCCGATTCGAAAGCGGACGGCATGGCGAAAGACAAGAAGAAAAACCGCCGCCAGGATGATCAGAGCAGGTTCGTTCGTGTCGGATTGATCTGGCAAGTTCCAAGTCATCCGAGTAAGCCTGATTAATAGATAGACTAGACAAAGCATGTAACCTGTGCAAGTTGCCGGGCCCCATTGTCTAAACGTTCAGTGACCGACAGATGAAGGCGAAACAGTACAGTGCCATGGCTGTCGGTGCACGTTTCAGCAGTAGACGGCGTAGCCTGTGCGGGTAACTGATTGTTGACAATGGGCTCTACTAAAACAGCCTATGGCCTCAATTGTCTCTGATATAAGTTAAGAACTGCTCAAACTACGACGTACTGTGTTTGGCATATGGGTGAAATGTCTCATCAGGGCACAAAAATTTATGTAGAACGGACTAAATCGCGGCATTATAATGAAATTGGTTCAAGGATCTTAGAAAAGAAAGATAAAAAAATCATACCTCTCGTTTCCTATTTTATTTTATTTTAGATTTATATTCATGAAGCCTAGCTGTCTATGAGTTGATCGTAAAATGTGACATTTAAATGGCTCTACTTCACGCCTATAATTAGCTAATCAAAGTACCTATGGAAAATACTTGTATTAAAAGCAGGTAAAGCTCTCACACTAGCCATATGTTGCTAATATTGGTATCGATTGTAGTTTTGATATATTCGTTTTGAAGTGCGGACGTGGATTTAGGACTACGTAAAACTATTATAAAACATCGATAAACATATAAACATCGAGTAGAATGTTCCTTAAGCCATTGCCACTTTATAAAAGTGACATTCATTTATCATACGAAATATTACATTTTCTCAGCTACTATTCTAATGCTAGTACTTTGTAAGTAGAGAACCTTACAATTAAGTTAAGCCAAGTTAATTATAATTAAATTTTTAAAGAAGTTAAATAATTTTATTCAATATAAGCCGCATTTTCTAGTAATTGCAATTTGCTAATTTACCTAAATATTTACACAGAGTGTTTCTGATAATTATACTATGATTCATTTTTTGTTAGTGTTGTTAAGTGTCTTTGCATCTAGTTAGTTCAAAGTATGTAAGTTTATTTACGTATGGATTTGTTGAACTTGAACGTACAAACTGAGCAAAGTCTCCGTATCAAAATTTTTATACAATTTGCAGTGTCTCCGAAATTCAAGTACGATAATTATTGAAAGAAGCCGCAAAAAAGCTTGTATGATAGATCAGCGCAATGATAAATAAGACATCAGACTTATTGCCAGTTTCTCGTTGCAGTTCCCCTAGCCGAGTTTCCATTAGCCTACTACATTGTTTGAACGTTCTGTTATATTGCTGTGTTATTCCACACATACATATAATTTTAGCAGGTAGATAATAATAACTTCAGTAATTCTGTTACCTTGCATTGATTGCTTAGTCATCCTGATTCAGAAAATCGAGTGCCATTTTTTAGCCATCCTGAGCCATGGCGAGCCATTCATTATGTCAATTATTTCGTGCCGTCAGTACAATTGAATCACCGCAATTTTATAACGAATTTTCTGCATGGTTTCCTTTGCAGCGATGACGAAGCAGAGCAGCCCACGGCAGCGGTTGCCAAGGGTTTGGGGGACGACATCGAAAGAGCAAGAAAAGCGAACAAAAAGGACAAGGGCAAAGAAAAACAGGACAAAGATACTGAGCTCGATCAGGCCAACCGGAACACATCTAAAAATGATAACAGTGACGATAATGAGACTCCTGAGCCAGCAAAAGGTTATACATTTGAAAATTTAAATGCCATTTTTGTTCATTCTATCAAATTATACCTTACAACCTGCGTTAGTTTTACTTACTAGCTAAAACCATTTTCGATGTTTGTAGCTAAAAAGAAGGACAAGAAAAAAGCTACCAAAAAAAAGCAGGATTCTTCGGATGATGATATGCTTGACCTTGTTAAAAGGGCGGCCCTTGGTGAAGCCGGAAATAGCGATGACGAAATAGCCGTTATAGCTCCCAAGAGCAAAGCAAAAAAGGTCAAAGGTGGCTTCGCTGCACTTGCTGTAGAGGATGACGATGAAGAAGAAGGTAATCTAAAATATAAATCTACGCTATAATTTTTGTTTTCACTTTATGAAATATGCAAATTTTTGGAGAATACACGACGCCTATTCTGAGACTCTTGAGTGATTATACGTAGTATTAATGAAGCTCCTTTAATATAAAAATTAAAAGAAGATCAGTATTCGAGATGCAATTTTTATTTCCACATATGGGATGTGCATACAAACAGTTCTAGGTATAACTTGGAATAATAATCTCTTTAGCTCATACCCTAAAAGTAACAATAGACTTATCAGCGTGACGCTCGTGACACAGTACGTAAATTCACAGCGTAAAAGGCCCATACATTTTCTTACCATAACACATTTATGTACACATAAATTTACAGTTATGACTGTAACTCCCGCGAAACTAAAGAGCGGGTTTGCGGCACTTATGGACGACGAAAGATCCGACAATGATGACATAGAGACTCAAGACTCCGAAAAGTTCATTGAACCGGTGAAAAAAGAAAAACGGGAGAAGAAAAGAACGAAATTGATTGCGTTTTCACACAACAGTGACGATGATAATGCGAATGTTGTTAAACTCGAGGACTGTCCTGACTCGGACAATGAAAAGGTACAATCTATTATGCTAATACCAACATACCCCATTTCTTTCTGAGAATACTTCATTAATAAGATAAAGATCATTGTGCTGAATTTTGCAGTTTGCTATTTCTCTTATCATAGTTTTTGAGGCAGTACCTATATGCGAATATGGAATAGTCAAAAGGTCTTTTTTATTTATACTAATGTGCTTCTCTAAATCTCATTATACTCTTTATCTGAGCTCAGGCGATCAAAAAAGAAAAAAAAACTAAGGATAAAAAAGGCAGAAAAGGTAAAAAAGACGCCCTTGAAGAGGGCGGTGGAGGCGAAGAGGACCTTGACAAATTATTAGCTGATATGAATATTGAGATTAAGGAGGATCCTGCCAAAAAGGATAAGAAGAAAAAAAAGAAGAACAAAAAAGAGGCCGAAGGCGATGGTGTAGAAACAGAAATTCAGAAGGAAAACGTCATAGAGCAACAAAAAGATCCGGTCAGCACGGAAGATGCTATAAACGATAAAGTTGAACCTGTTGATGACGAAGTAGCGGGTGCTACCGCCGACGATAAGAAGAAAAAGAAAAAGGTTTGTATTATCATGAATACATTTGACGCAAATATGCATTTTGATTTTAAGCGGCGTTCCGATTAACTATAATTAGAGTCAGACTTATCTGATTTCGATTGCTGTATTTTACAGAAAAAAAAGAAGGACGAAAGGGAGACATCTACTGCACCAGGTAACAAGGAAAATGGCGAAGGACAGGAAGTTGCCGAGGAAGAGACTGGTAAAAAGAAGAAAAAAGACGCCAAAGGAGCCAAAGGCAAAAAGCCCGGAAAAGCTGCCGTAAGTTTAAAAATAGGCGGATCCCGCTTTTTGTCTGTTTTTGGATTAATCAGTAATAAACTATGCCATGACAAAGTAGATTTATGCTCACGCGGAAAAACGAACATTTGCGTAATACTTGGCTAGAGGTGGATAACTCATCCAAGGGCTAGCAGAGAAAGACAGATGCGGAAAGCTGGAATCAGTCATGTTCTAGAATCTTGTTGGTGCCAGCTATTTTGAGCTCTACACTCGGTAGTTTTAAACGTGTTTGAATGGAAGTTCCATGACAAAGACAGCTGGTCGTCAGGGTCTTGCCTTAGTAAATTAGGTTTCAGTTTAAGAGTATCATTAGATTTAAATTCGAAAGAATGATCTAAAGGATGAAATTTTTGAGCTAAAGTAGGGGTGATCTTTGCAGATGCCTTATAAAACCATAAAATATAACTGAAACTTGTGCAGTTATATTTTACGGTTACCACTACACTCAGCAACTGGCGTCGGGGACTGAGCCGATGACGTTCTAGCTTTGCTATTATTACTTTGGCCTCATTTTTTCAAGGATCTGATGGCATCCAATTTAACAGATTGGTAAATGGAAGCTTTTATAGCCAGCTGGTGGCTCTTAGGCACTTGGAGACAAGTGTAGTGGCATAAAGACCCTGCGGCAACTTTTCGTATGAGAACAAGGACTGTTTAGTCAGTCCTCCACTATTTGTACAGTAATAATTATTAATTTTAAGTATTTAATGCTGAATTTCTTTAAATGCAAATGCTACTGTTCCAGAGTTGTTCAAGGCTAGGCTGAATGACCGGTAGATTTTGAGTGGAGTCGCAAATAACTTGCTCGTTGCTGTAATGCAGAAGGGGACAGGTCATCTTTCGGTGATTTTAGCTGCGATATTTGTGTCGGTAGTGAAGAATGGATAGTAACATCGCTAGTGTGATTACGTCATCGGAAGAGTATTAACGCGTATCAAATAGAAATAGGTCATGCCACATTACTGCACTATAATTGGCCTTTATTTAATAGCTAGTGCATGCAAAGTATCTAAGGCATGTTTGAGAACCAGTGATGAGAGAATAAAAAACATTGGTGAATGAAAACATTGGTTCCTGAAAAAGATGCACATTAGCCACCCAGATCTTGCCGCCCCTAAGACTGCAGTGTTGACAAAGCTCCCAGAGGTAAAACTTTCACAGATGTGTTTGGATTAATAGTGGTGACACTTCAAGAAAGTATTATCAGAATCAACAACGTAGGGTTCCTGAATGGCCACCACTTCAATGTACCACTGAACGTACACAGGTAGAAAAACTAAGCCATCTTCTTTTCCTATTGAGGGACCTACCCGAAAACGTCTGTGAAAATTGTCAAAGCCTTATTCGCAAATCACTTAATCATCCGTCCATGGGTTAAGTGAGTTCTAGACGAAGCAGACCCTTACTCGGTATTATAGAGTCGCCACTACACAGAACTTAACTGTGAATCTCACGAAAACAAAAGCAATGAGGCTTAGGTAGCTAGGCCGAACAGAATAGCTCCAATACGAAGTAGCTGTCTGTATGGCATAAAAGGTCTCATTATACCCTAATAATTCATCGAACCTACGTCAACAAGTTTCTATGCATATAGCTGCAGATCCGGTAGAACGACTGCGACTTCATATCGGACATAGATAAAAGAAGGAAACGCAATGAGTGCAACGGATACCACAAAGAGTCTGCAACGTCTATGCATCTTAATTGCTTCAACTTTTTTTCCTTCAGTAACAACATATGGCATCAATGTAGAACTGATCGATTTGATCGTAGAGAACTTCGGGTAGTCATATCGGCCGAAAGCGTGTTGTTTCAAAACGTGTGTTGGTAGTACACTGCTCTACATGGAATATACTCGCATATCTCCTTGCCGATATACCGATATGTAGAAGATTTTGGAATACGCCTAACATTCCGCGCAGAGATTCTTTCGAGAAAAAACTCAAAACGTACAAATTTGCATGAATTACTTACAGCACTAGAGTAGTGAGGGGTGACACGTAGATAAATTGTTACAGCCGGCACATTGTGACGTAATCCACAAAAGTTATATATATGTACCAAGAAGAGGCATGAGAGGTATGCATAGATGGATTGTCTTCCATAATATGGAGATGCAAAAGCGTGTAAAAAGCAAAAGCCATACAACTTTTCGCTTTTCACACGCCTTAGTTATGCACGGCGTGGGCAAGACCAAAAGATAAAATAAGGGAAAAGAAGGAAGACCACAGGTTAGAAGAAGCGCATGTTAAGTGTGTCAGGTCTGAGAATTTGTAATTTTCTAAACAAAATGCTTATTTCACCAGTTAAATAGTTTACGATGGATGGAGATTTTGACATCTCTCATTGGAAGTCTGAGTAACTCTAACTTATTTGCTAGCGGCCAGTCAGTGAAGAACAGGTTTTTGTAGAGAACTTTCGAGCTTGGTGTTGTTGTGACCATTTCTCGCATACCGCTATAAAGCGCGTAGTGCAATTAACTTTATACTAAAAAAAATTATACATGTTTTTGTAAAATATAGTAAGACACTCAGCGAAATGTGTCTCGAAACTACAAAGCTTAGTGCTCTCAGTACTGCTTAACAGTAAATCACCGTAACAAATAACATGTTACTAAATGTACCATTGTTTATTCGTAAATAACTGACTTGCAGCTGGCCCACATGCAAGAGACACTCCGCCAGGTGAAAGAGGTGGAGGAACGTTTGAAGGCTGAAGCTGAGGAAAAGGCTCGCCTTGAGGAAGAAGCCGAGCGATTGCGACTGCAAAAATTGCAAGAGGAGAAGGAAAAAAAAGAGCTGAAAAAGCAGCGCGAAAAAGAGAAAAAGGAACAGCTTAGGTTGCAAGGAAAATTGCTCACAAAGGCTCAGAAACAGGCTCAGGCTCGGGCTGTCGCAGCACTTGAAGCTCTACGAATGCACGGTTTGAATGTACCAGACATCAACGACCGCCCGGAGAGTGGCAAACCGGGACGAGCCCCAATTTTCCGACGAAACAAGGATAAGAATAAGGTGACTAAACAAGCAGATGCGTCGCAGCCGGCAGCAGTGTATGAGACAACAGCGAAGGAACCGGAAACGGTTCAAGTGGAAATAAAGGATGCTACACCGTCGACGGGAACAGAGAGCGGTGTCACCGATGAAAAGAAAGCAGGCGACTCCGAAGATGATGTGCGTGAAGCCTGGGATGAGACCAGTGAATCCGAAGGAGAGCCGGGTATGTAACTTCTAAAGCTAGCAGGTGCATAGATTGTTAATAACTGCAAATTAACTCTAAACTAGCTGCAAATTAAACATGTTTAGTTTAAATGTTTTTGTTTTTAGATGATATATCCTTTCAGACGTTGTTTTTTTGTTCTAATAATCACTAGGGACGTAAGAAATTCAATGAGACCAGCATTTCTGTGTCATGTTTGTTTTAATTATGTAGAAAAACCTGCACCCACGACTGTCAGTAGTGGAGACGACACAAAAGTTGATATAAAATCGATCGAAGCAAAGGCAACACTAAAGGTGGCGGCCTCCAAGAAGGTAGAGGTTTCCTCAGGAGATGAAGAAGATGAGAGCGAAGAGGACTCATCAGAAGAAGGATCCTCGGAAGATGAAGAGTCAAGTGAAGATGAAGAAAGCTCCGATGATGACGTAGAAGATCGAAAGGAGAAACTACGTCAAAAGGTTTTGGAAAGAATTAGAAAACGGCGAGAAACGAATGAAAAGAATCGCTCAACGGACCACCTCAGAAGTCCCGTTATCTGCGTGTTGGGTCACGTCGATACGGGAAAAACGAAGATTCTCGATTATGTAAGTATAGTACCCTGACAGAGTTCCTTAGGATACTAGAATTATAAAAATACACAAGCATATTAAAAAGAACCAGCATCAGCATTTTACCTTGTGCACACATACGTGGTTATGTCTAGCTGTGTGCATAAAGTCATTTAAATATTTATGGGCTAGTCATCGAGGGCATAGTGGCCCCTCGCTAATGTTCCCCTATTGTTACTTTTTGTCAATTGTATTGCAGATTCGCCGAACGCATGTACAAGACAACGAGGCCGGCGGAATCACACAACAGATTGGTGCAACACAGGTTCCTGTCGAAGCCATCAAGGAGCAATGCAAAGCAGTGAAGGATTTTGCCAGCAAACCGCTGCGAATTCCTGGCGCATTAATTATCGATACGCCCGGTCACGAGTCGTTTTCAAATCTCCGTTCACGAGGTTCATCACTCTGCGATATGGCAATCCTCGTGGTCGATATAATGCATGGTCTTCAACCGCAGACGATAGAAAGTATCAATCTGTTAAAGAGTAAAAAAACACCATTCGTCGTTGCATTAAATAAAATTGATCGCTTATACGACTGGAAGGGTAACAAACACAAGGACATAGTAGATGTTATCAAAGCACAACGAAGTAATACGAAGATGGAGTTTGAAAAGCGTGCCCGTAGCGTAATAACGCAATTTGCCGAGCAGGGTCTCAATGCAGCTCTTTTCTACGAAAACCCCGACCAAAAGTCGTTTATTTCGCTTGTACCTACTTCGGCATTCAGTGGCGACGGAATGGGCAACTTAATCTCACTTGTTGTGGAGCTTACTCACAGTGAGTGTTTACTTTTCTCAGTCGCCGTATCTTCTCTTATCCATATACTTCCCTTTCATCTAACAAAATTATAACATATTCTATTTCTATATAACTTTAGTTGTTGTCCCTTAGTTACATAGTTGTCATTTGGACGCCATACGAATGAATACATTACTACGTTAATGAGTGGTACACATGTTAATAAAACTAATGTTAAGGTATAACCAGTCTAAACCTGCCAACATCGATATAATCTTAACAAGTTTCCTCTATATGTTTGCATGAATCTTCATGTTGCTCCTAAGAGTTCGCGTGTAACTTTAGTGCCGCTTAGGTGCATATTGCAGGTTTCGAAACTAACTTTATTATGATTTGTTTCGGTAAGGCTCAGCGACTTTTGCGTTAACAATTACACCAAGGCAGTCATTTTATTCGTATAATGTATCCTTTTTACCAACTACTTTTATCGTGATTGGTCATCGCAGAGATGTTGGCTTCAAGGATCGCGTACAGTGCGGAGTTGCAGGCTACAGTGCTTGAAGTTAAAGCAATTCCAGGTCTAGGGACGACCATCGACGTGATTGTTGTAAATGGGGAACTCAAGGAAGGTGACACGATGGTGCTTGCGGGTCACGAGGGGCCATTGGTTACTCAAATCCGGTCGTTGTTAATGCCCCAACCGCTTAAAGAGTTACGTGTCAAAAACGCGTACCAAGAGTTTAAAACCGTTAAGGGTGCCCAGGGAGTAAAGATTGCCGCTAAGGACCTAGATAAGGCCATCGCCGGCCTGAATGTTCTAGTGGCTCATCATCCAGATGAGATTGATATTCTAAAAGAGGAGATTGCGCGTTCCGTTAAGGAAGTAATGAGTAGTTTCAAACTACAGGAGCAGGGTGTCTACGTGCAAGCGTCTACGCTTGGCTCGCTCGAAGCACTTCTTGTATTTCTACGCGAGTCAAAAATTCCCTATTCCGGTATCCGAATTGGGCCTGTTGCTAAGAAAGACGTCATGAAGGCTTCTGTCATGCTTGAGCACGACAGCCAATACGCCGTCATTCTAGCTTTCGATGTTAAGACTGATCGCGATGCCCAGGAGCTTGCAGACCACGTCGGTGTGAAGATCTTCTCTGCTGACATCATCTACCACTTGTTCGACAAATTTACGGCATATAGGTTAGTACGCATAGTAGTGTAACTCGCATCATGGAAGTAGTCGCAGTTGCTAACGCCGAAGTAGATGCACCGGTTTTCTACATAGTTGTCAACTGCAACTAAGGCTTGATAGTATAATACTATTCGCATCGTGTATTATTTTTCGTGCATTTCATGTTCCTATCGTAAATGTTTGATACGGCCGCTTTGTTTAGTGAAGCAATCTTTAATGGATTGACGTACTGTACTCAATTAGGCAATCCAAAGCAAATTTGTGCCAATTAGGCGCAAAGCAAGTTTGTGTGTCATTATGGAGTTTTGGAGAGCTCGTCGAGAATTTTCATGTTCACTAAGTAAATTCAGTTCAACAGATCCAAAAGAGCAGCTAATGCGGCTATCTATGAAACCCATATCTCACAAAAGTATGAATAAGTGTTAAAGAGTAACTATTTCTGTTCCTATCGATTTTTGATAGAGAGGACCTTCGTGCCAGAAAACGCGAGGAATTCAAAAACATTGCTGTTTTCCCGTGTAAACTTCGAGTGTTACCCGACTGCATCTTCAACAAACGCGATCCCATTATAATAGGTGTGGTGGTTGAGGGGGGTATAGTGAAATTGGGCACCCCGCTCTGTGTGCCAACCAGAGAGAATCTTTTCATTGGGACAGTTTCCAGTATCGAAATCTATCACAAACAGCAGGAAACAGCTAGAAAGGGTGAGTTTTTCAAGTGAAATTCTGCTTGGCCTTGGTGCCGTGCCATTACAAAAACTCGTTTAGACTTAGGTATGACAATTACAAACTGAAAAAGCCTGTTGTAGCTTAATGTCATTGGAGAGATAGAGTAAAATCAATGTTTTCTATTTACTTTTTAGGCACAAGTATCCATTGAAAAAGGATCAGTTTTGTTTGAACGAATGAGCATATACACTAAGATTTCCATGGAGTTATTGTTGACTTTACTGTGGTTCCCTTCTGATCATCATCCTGTGACTTGAAAGCTGCATTTGCTTTTACGATTCTGTTCGTATCTTAAGCGGTATCGTGCGTACTTTTAGAACAGTAGGTATAATCCGTCTCTGATCTAGAGTTAGATACTAGACCGACCCGCGGGCTTCGCCCTACGCTTTGCAGCTCATTTTGCGTGAGTAGAAATAAATTATGAATGCGATGAGGTTAACGTTGAATAACCCCCGTTTTATCTCAAAGCTCGGCTCGTTGTTGCGCTTAAAATCCGTTTGACCTTTCAGTTTTGGGGGACCGTAAAAAAGACCGTTATTTCTGCTTTGGATTTCGTTCTGTTTTTTTTTCGTTTTATTGAAAGATTTTTTTTTGCTGTAGGAATAGAGGCAATGTTGTCGATTTTCAGATCCTACCCTTCAAGTTCCAAGCCATGTATATAAGAAGCTTTTACAATGTGTGGAGTGGTACAAATGACGATATTTTTAGTTCTTGTGCTTTCTTTTATGAACACCATAGGAAGCATTTTGGGGGCATAATACTGAGAGCAACGCATTAATGACATTAATTATATACTGATTCTTCTTCGAAAGATTAGGATGTTTTCGACTTTTGTCCTTGTGCTTGTGATGGTACTTGAAATTGATACCGTAGTGATAAATCATCCTCCTCTGGAAAATGGAAAGCATTCCTCGAAAGTATGACGATATGGTCTTTGATTTTACCGCTAATAATCCTCGCGACAAGAAGATGACTGTATAGATCATTAGTGCCGCAGAGATTGGTAGGGTTCAAGTTCTTCATTAGCATGATCTTGGGCTCATCTTTCTTTAGTTGCAACTTATAACGCGGCAATGTGAGTCCTTCAAGGCTATCAAGAAATTTTGAGGCTTATAGTGGTTTATAGTTATCTCGACCATTGTATTAATAAGAAATAATATGCATTTCTTCGGAAAAGTAGTAATTCTCGAATGATGTTGACAGATAGATAAGGTCGATACACTATGCAATGAAATCATTTCCTCACAATTTTTTCAGTTAGTGTATTTTCACTAACAGTTGTCCTCCTTAACGTCGAATAAAAACTTGGGAGTACTCGGCGTTAGTATTGCTTAGTCGTATATTAGTAATTAAGTTGTAAGTATTTGGACGTGCCCTCATGGGTGTAATTTTTCTATACAGGCGTCCTCGTACATTGTAAGCTTGTTTGACTACTGGCGACAGTTGAAAAAATGTCCTGAGAATATAGTTAAGATTTCTTTAGAAGATTCATTTTTATTGCATATCACGGAGCATTCGAGCAGCGGCTTCAAAGATTTCTTGTTTAATGATAAGACTTTTATACCAAACGATAGGTTTTGTCGTATGAAATAAATTTATACTTTCAGAATTTTCTTTATTACATACTGAATTCCTTTTGACATGAATAGAAATCTTGAAACGGGACTGCAGTTTTTTTCTCCAGGTAAATTGCTGCAATTCCTGGCGATGCTAATGCAATGGCCATTCTTCATCTCGTCTTACTTTGCCAAAATTAAATTGGTAACGGAGGTTTTATCTGCTCTTCCTGGAGCGTCGACGAAGATAATTGAAACATTGTTCTTGCTTTGACAGTCAGACATATATGTAAAGTTTTTATACGGTAAGGTGTTGCCGTAGACCAATAAACGTTACGCTTTATACGAAAAAGTGTTTGACGAATCGGCCTCGTCTTCGCGTCACGAAAGAAAACTCTAGCGACCCGGAAAGATCTGCTCAATTTAACTACTTTAAAAAAGTCGTTTTAAGTTTAGTAAATAAACAGACAAACGGACAGACTTAGTGGTGTAGTATATATACAACATAGGCAACATAACATACACTGGATAAAATTACGTGTAGAAACTTGATGCCTGGAACACCACTGGCTTAATTTTAAACTTCAGATCATTTATTAGAAAAATTCGCGTTATTTAGACACTAGTCCAGTGATTTCGTTTTGTCTAGTTGTTTGTGCGCAGGATCACTTAAAACCAAAGATCAACCTGAAATTTCTGTTGTTCCAGGTCAAGAGGTATGCGTCCGAATTGAGAATACGACAGGAGATGCACCGAAGCTGTATGGACGGCATTTTGACTACACAGACCTGCTGGTATCAAAGATCACCCGAGAATCAATTGACGCCTGCAAGAATCATTTTAGGACTGACCTCACCAAACAGGACTGGCAGCTCATGGTTGAACTCAAGAAGGTTTTCGAGATTATGTGAACAACAGTGGAATTTAGACTTGGGCATCGTACCGTACATGGGGCGAATATTCCACCTTCCCTGTCTATTAGGCCCTCGTTAAGTAACGAAGAAATTAAGCCTCTGATAAAGATGATATATCAAATCGAACAGAATTGAGATTCCCGACTCATTACATGAAGAAAGAAATGAAATTACGGAATCAAAAGTGGTCGCGTATCAAGCCTAATCGCAACGGTTTGTGCGCTACTAGCTAACTTGACAATATATATATATATACATATATATTTAGGAAGATACTATATCTTATAAATGTATGCCTGATGTGATTTTGTGTAGCCTGGCTGTTTTCAAACATCCATGTTAGCGGGGAATAACATGTCGTTGAAGAAATAAAGTGGTTTATACATATTCGTGCAAAAACGAGGGTTTCTGAACCATCCATAACGAATTACAGATAATGAAAAAACTATTACAAAGCGCACCTATAATGGTTAGGAATCAAACGTAAATGGGATCTGCATATGTGACGACGCAAAGATTGTACAGCGTTAGAGATATCCCCGGTGTATGACGTACAACTGCGCTTGGGGTCCGCCAGCAAAAATATCAAATTCCTGCCTATTGACAGATTTATAAGGCTTGCCTGCAAGAGGGTAGGTAAGATAGCTATACACAAAGAATTATAAATTCAAGAATGTGTGATTATAGTTATATCTCTGTTGAATTTGCAGAAGATATTTGTTGTTGGTAAGGGCAAACGTAGGGTAACAGAACACGGTGAAAGATGGTTATGTTAAAGTCTCTTTCGTTCGCTGTGAAGAACAGATGATGAACGTGATTACTTTAACATTCAATAAATAAATGTTGTATTATCTTTGTACAGAACCTCTAAGATGTGTGTAATTTGTTCATGTGCGCACGTAATAGATAATTGGGCTTACAGCTCTTTATTTCAGCGATAAAGCCCTAATTTTAAAAAAATGAATAGATCGATTAATGTTAACCTTTGATGAGGCAATCAGATTGCGATTGATAATGTCAATAGTTTATTTTGTAGAAAAATATGGATAGCCCCAAAAGTACTTTTCACAGAATTTTTATTAAAACTTACTGCTACCAGGAGCGTTAGAAAAGCGTAGCTAGAATAACCTAAATCGAACACACTGAAAACATTTACTGAAATACAATAATTTATTCTGTGTATATAAATTTTTCATCTATATAGTTTTGCGACAGCCCTAAGGAGTACATCGCGTGGTACATCACAGAATAGGTAGCCTACAGTATATCGGTTTTAGCAAACAAACGTGTTCATTACTCAGAGGTTACCCAATTCGCCAGACACGTTTTCTCTTGGCTTCTACCAACTCCACCACGTTTTTCTGGCTCTAATCGTCACTTGGTTTTTATGTATACTACAGACATATCTCTGAAGTGGCCATTAATAATTGTCCTATATATTTTGCGTCAATTATAGCTGTTGCTATGCTCTTTTACATTTACATAATCATATTCGTGCACTCTCTTATAACCCCGCTAGAAGTGCTTGTTCCCCTGAAGTCGGAAGGCAGCCGTTGAACGTATGACAGTCACAAGATACCGCGCAGTGTCCCAGTATTACAACTAGTAGACGATATAAGTAGTATTTCCACTATCCTTCTGCCATGATCGTCTCTTATGTGATCCTTCAGGACGTGTCGTTCTCGTCGTCGGTCTCATGGATTCAATATAGCAAAACACCAAAAAGGCCAGTAGTATACATTTATCTACCGTACCACACTCTATAGGGTTGATGTTGAAGTAGCACTTAATTATGCTTCCCACTCTTCTTTCATTTTAATACAGTATGGTGGATAAGCGCCTCCTAACTATTCGATTCAATCAGTGACTTCCTGGTGTTACTGTCTCAAGAAAAAGGGGGTAATAACATTTAGACATACAGCCTTTCTAAATTCACATAACCTGCGTGAACGAAGAAAGTTAAATATTCGGATATAGGCTGCTGCGAGGCGTAAGTGTCACGCCGTAATGTCAAAAAGGTACCCTATGTGTTATATAAAGGTTTTGAAGAAGAGAGGCGTAGCGGACCACAAAAAATCGTTTTCCAATAGAATTACAGTCGTTTTTCCTAATATTTTACTGCTAGAACACAGAGTTGCGTTTTTTATGGTTAGAGGTGGTGACTATGTCACTAGGCGTCCGCCGTTTTCTCACTTTTTATCTAATGAATGAATTTATTCAAATATGCCATCCCTATTTACTAATCATTAGTATTTTTAACAGAGACTATGATTGTGGCTGTAATTTGGTGGCTGTGGTTGGCTTTTTTCAGGCAGTGAGATCGAGCATTACGATGGCTCTCTATACAGCGTACATGCATCGTGCTGGCGCAATTTCATGCAATCGGACGGATGTGAACGGTGAAAACCAGGCTAGACTGAATCGACCAAACACGGCCCGAAAGCTCGACCATGCTGTACGACGACGCCAACGGATTGCCTCCTTCTTCAGCTGTTCGATACCGGTCTCATCACTTAAGATTGCCTGAATTTGAGAGCCGAACATCACCATCGTAAAAATAGCAAACAAGAGAGCTTCAAATATAAGAAGAATCAGCAGGATGACAGTAGCTGCTGGCGAGCCCTGTTGTGAGCACAGACGCCACTCCTCGTTGACGCAACTAACGAAGTGCTGAATCGCGAGGAACAGCGAATGGCTTGATACCAAAGTAATGTATAATGTGAACAAAACGAAAAATTTCTGATTGTTCTCCCCGATGCAATTGTTCACCCAAGGACAGTGATGATCCATCTTGCGCACGCAACGATTACACACAGAACAATGGTGAGCCCGCTCCGGTTTAATGCAGCAACACTTTGGACATTTGTAAACAACCTGATTCTCGCGAAGGCCGAGGCTGTCGACAGCCTCCCGGGTGGCGGTGCCCTGCGGTACTACGCCGGGATCTGTCACCATAGTGCGAATATGCGAAGCACACGCTAGGAAACACAGTGATTCGAACACAACGAGGTTAACGACGCCGAACAACGTGTTAAAGATAGGACTGATAATAATGATAAGGACGACGCACTGCGCGTATAGGATCAATAGCCAAGTCATTACAGCACAAATAATCCCGCAGATGTCTCTTACGAACCAAACTTGACATAGACGAGGATGGGCAGCGTACGCCACACCGCCCAACGACGAGGACCCGATGCCTCGCGGGCTATTTCGGCTACGGCAATCCAGGATGGCAGCTGAAGTCGGGCAGCAGCGATGATCACTTTTCTAACAGAATTGTTAGTAAACGAGGTTGTAAGGGCAAATGCCACAACCGGGTGTTTGTTCCTGGAAACAGCTAGTTTTGTTGCTGTTTTTATCGCCGGTAGTGTCGCTATTACGTTGGTCAATTTATTTCAGTCATCTAACAGTAGCTAAAGTTACTACACAATGCTTTTTACCAAAAAACTGATATCCGTCCTCTAATCAACAGTCGACTTGCCGCCCAAGATCATTGAAATTCTGGTGGCAACATTCAGCATAACCACCTCGACGTTATTGCAATGCGACCAGTATGACAGATTACACGATTCTTGCAGCTGACTGCCGCAGTTTCTTTCGGCTGAAAACTTAATCAAGCCTTTTCTCGATGGTAATGTTACCGTCTGACGGGAATAGTTGCTCGCAATGAGCTCCAGCGAACCTTGCCATCGTACTCCCGCTGCAGTCCGTAGTCGTATTCTTTTTCCATTTCATGAAACAGTTCAGTCCGCCAGCCTTTGCTGGCGACCAGCGCGGCATACGCACTCCGCTTCTGTTTTGCAGTTGAGAATTGCGATCACCACACAACGAGGACAGCTCGACCAACTAGCGTTATTATTATTATTATTACAGTTCTCCCTGCCTACACTTCCCGCCCTATCTATCTAGCTATCTACAAAACAAGATCGCCGGGACATCACATATAGAGTACCGCAACAATAACAGAACAGCAGAACGTTGGATGCATTCACTTGGATAATCAAAACAGTTCTGCACGGTCGGGCGGCTGAGCGGACCATAAGGTAAAGAAGCCACAACAGGTGAGGTATCTGCGTACGCATTTATGCGCGCAAGGCCATCTTTTGATAAAACAGACTTCTTGGCAGCACATATTATTGGTCGCTCAACCTCTATACCTTTAAGTAAGTGCAGTTGTTGTAAGAATACTATCACTCATTGATTTTCATGTTTGAAATTGTGTTGAGATCCTCATCGAATTTTTATTGATTTAACCGGCTCGAGGTTCTGCGTTGACTTGCTATGACATAATGCTCTGCACTGAAACCGGATATCCGCCCAAAATCCGTTCAGTTGCTCCAGATAGCTGCACGAAACAAGGTTTTCCTATGGTTACTATTACTCTTTACTTTATTTAGGTAAGGCTGCTTATAATTGTTTAGCAGTGAATGTGTATCGTGTGCTTAAATGAACTTGTAAGCGTTATTAGAGCTTAATATAACAAAGCGTAGCAGCTTACCCATAGACATACGCTAAATTATAAAAGTGGAAAAAACAAATACATATTGTAAATTTGCGTTATTATTAGCGCCTTAATATGATTTTCCCATAATTTTTTCTATTGTTGTCATAAATCATAGCGAAGCTCTGCTACCATTAATCAGTGATCATAATTTATTGAAGTATGAGACGGTATATGCAAGTTTTTCTAGATAGAGTTATTTGCAGTAGAATTGAAAGGAATAAATATTTGAACAATTATGTCTGATGACACTATGTTTAATATTTAAAGAGCCTGGTTTATTTTGTCTACACGTAATGCGAGCCGCTACAGTGCGGGAGCCAATGGAGATATTTGCTGAAATTTTCTGGATACTGAAATAGAAAGCATAGATCAGATAATGAACGAGTGCAAGACAATTCCTTCGCTGCATTGTATGTGGGTTGCAAAATTGGCAGTGTACCTTGGTTTATAGATATATTTTTTATTATTAAAGTATATATAATTATTACTACTACTATGAAATTCCGTTGTTCACAGTTTTCTGTTGGATAATTAATGTAACTTAGAAGTTCGTTTATTCTTAATTCATGTTCAGAGTTGTACCATAATTGACTATATGCTACATAGGCATGATGAACAATTGGATAGGTACCTTCGATAAGAAACTTGAGCAAAATTCCCAGCCTTAAAACTACACTAACGACTTTTTTGCAAAAATTTTGTATGATTTTTTCGAAAAGCGCTCAAAAGGAGTTTCAGCTTGCGCTATTCATGAAACGAGTATAGCGAGTAAGGCTGTCTTAGTGTTTTTGTCCTCGAGATTTATACAAAAGTAAATTACATTCAGCCAGTGTTATAAACATGCAATTAGAACTGCTTGTCCTACTCCATCACCGATTTAAGTGATATATCTAGATAATGATTCCGTTCAGATGGCTTCGTATCAGGTGTAGGCCGCTGATTAACCTATATGAAACTAGCAAGTATGTCATCTAGGTGCATTCAAGCGTGGCAGTAGTTGCCCTTTAAGAGGTTCAGCTGACGGAGCGCATGCCCAGCTGGACCCACTTTCCATCGAAGTGCACATGCTGATCACACATAGTTTAGATAATGTCACCTTTAAGCCGTTTGACGACATTTGTATTGAATGTTTTTGGAGTCATTCTAGGTAAGGTTAAGTTTTCCACCAATGGAATCCGTTTGTTTGGCCAACACGGGTAGAATAGGCCGTGAACATCCGCCCTTTCATTGTTAAAAAACCACAAAGCAGCCAGCCAAAATACTGACGATTTCGATAACTCGCCTATTTCGTCTGTCATAGATTAGGCTCGCCCCCAGGATTTTAAACATATGACAGCTCCATTGTGATCATCCGGGATAAAAAATCGCTCTTTAGTTCTACATCGCGCAAAAAAACTCCGTAGAACCGCAACCGCTCCCGAAGCTCGCGCCACCATCGCGACAGCGAATTCTACCACAGCACTACCTGTAGCAGCAATCACTTCCTCCTTACCACCGACATCGTGGCCGTGTTGCGGGAGAGCTAGTATGCCTTTTAGCTGCTGCAAACGTTAGGGCAGCGAGCGCTTTGTTCGTAGCGGCACCATATCAATTATCTGAACAGTCTATCGTATTGTGTCAACGTCGGCTACACGATTGAAACTTTTTCGATTCTTATGGAAACGATGTAACATCTGCGATACTTTGTTACTACTCATCGACTGCATCGCCGTCGCTGCTATCGACATTGTTTTAGAGTAGACAGGTGACCGTGACTTAAATTTGCTGCCGTTGTTGTAGTAGCAAGGATGGCGCCGACGCTCAGTAAACAATTTCTCAACGGACTTAACCAGGCCAAACAACCAGCGGTTATTGCTGCTGTTGCCACTGCAGTTTACATTTATTCGTATTCACGATTTTTAGCAAAACAGAGGCGTACACAAAAAGGCCACGATGTGGTCAAAGTCTCGTTCGATAGGAAGGACAACAAAAAACAGAAGGCATATGTCGATGGTCGATTTTTCAGGCAGCTCCGGGAACTGTTTAGTATTGTGTGCCCTGGAGTGTTCACGGCGGAGTTCGGTTATATGGTACTCGTAGCAGTAACGCTACTAGGACGAACCTCTTGTGATATCTGGATGATCAACAATGGCACAGTCATAGAGCGGGCCATTATATCGCGAAATTTCGAACTATTCCGCCAAAAGTTGCTTGAGTTCATTTTGGCCATGCCGACTTTATCACTTGTCAACAACCTGATGAAATACGGTCTGAAAGAGATTAACCTACGCTTCCGAACACGCCTGTCTTACGCACTGTACGAAAAGTACCTAGGTGGTATAACCTACTATAAGATGTGCAATCTAGATAATCGTATTTCAAATCCTGATCATCTGCTTACTAAAGATGTCGAGAAATTCTGTTCGTCGTTGACGGACCTATATTCGAATCTCAGCAAACCGATCCTTGATATCATCCTGTACGTTCGATGGCTGTCGGTATCAATCGGCGCTAAGGCGCCAGGATTTATGTTACTTTACTTGCTATTTGCGGGCTTTCTGCTGACCAATATGAGGCGGCCAGTCGGTAAATTGACAATGGATGAGCAGAAACTTGAAGGTGAACTGCATTATGTGCACTCGAGGCTAATTACAAACTCGGAAGAAATTGCTTTCTACAACGGCAATAGGCGTGAGAAAAAGACAATTGACTTAACGTTCCAGCGTCTCGTGAACCATTTGCGCAATTTTTTAGAGTACCGCTTCTCGCTTGGAATGATCGACGACATTGTGGCCAAATATCTTGCGACTGTCGTTGGTTATTTGCTCATATCTAGACCATTTCTTGGAACGAAGCACATTCAACTAAGTCACAACAAGAGACTTGAAGAGTACTATAAAAGTGGTCGTATGCTGGTTAAGTTAGCCGAAGCGATCGGTCGAGTTGTTCTTGCGGGCCGCGAAATGACTAGATTGGCAGGGTATACTGCCAGGGTAGCCGAACTCAATAAGGTACTACAGGATGTCAATAGAGGCCAATACGTGCGAGGTATGATCAAGGATGAGCAGGAGAAAAGCGGTCGAAAGCTTGAGCTCATCCCTGGAGCTGGTAGGATCATCACACAGGATAAAATTATCCGTTTCACACGGGTACCGTTGGTCACCCCCAATGGCGATGTGCTTGTTGAGGAGCTCACTTTTGAAGTAAAATCTGGCAAGAACGTGCTTATCTGCGGCCCCAACGGCTGCGGCAAAAGCTCTCTGTTCAGAATCTTAGGTGAGTTGTGGCCATTGTTTGGTGGTACCATAGTGAAGCCGGCGAAGAACAAGCTGTTCTATGTGCCTCAGAAGCCGTATATGACGCTGGGAACGCTTCGAGACCAGGTGATTTACCCCGACACAAAACATGATATGATTAAGAATGGCTTCACCGACGATAAGCTTGAAGAGCTACTGGACGTGGTGCAACTTAGATATCTGCTTGAACGTGAAGGTGGCTGGGAATCGGTGCAAGATTGGCTAGACATTCTATCAGGCGGGGAGAAACAACGTATAGCTATGGCTCGTCTATTCTACAAACGTCCACAGTTCGCCATCTTAGACGAATGTACTAGCGCAGTGTCGGTCGATGTTGAAGGAGCAATGTACAGTTACTGTCGTAACGAGGGGATCACCCTCTTCACCGTATCGCACCGCAAGTCCCTCTGGAAGTATCACGAGTACTGCCTGCATATCGATGGCCGAGGAGGATATGAATTCTCAGAGATTACGCCTGACACCATGCAATTTGGGTCCTAACCATTGGCTAACAGAATTGTGTATTTACGTACCGATTTGTTAACAGTATTTTTTATTTTTATCATAACTATTTGTGTACTTTAGTGAATTGGTGAAACCACCCGTAAGAGGCTACTGGCAGTGAGACACAACAACAGTTGATAACAAAAAAAAACCCGTGGAGTAAACCATTAACGCTGCGACATCATGTTTCGCTGTTTATGGAAACACAGGCTGTAAGCCTCATTGGACGTCGAAACGGATGCCTCCCTGAAGTTTATTAGACTCAAATGTGGTTACAGTAGAAAAGGTGGTGGTATGGGACCGTCCTATTTGTATTAATGCTTGTCGTGACGATGCTTTTGATACTCCTATAGGAAAAGTATACCACACAGCTAGGTAACAACTGTTATTATTAGTGTTGTTGCATTATAAACATATGATATAATGGGCACATACTGCGATGGTTTTGTAATAAATAAGTGTATTTTGTCGTTAGATGAGTCTTCATTCTTTAGTGGGGTCCCTATACTGTCAGCAATGAAACATCCGTCCCTTGCAAAGCCGGCATAAATATGTATATGCGTGTTAATTTCTTTTAACCTATGTAAATTTAGGTTGCGGCTTATGGACAACTGTACGTAAATTTAGTGGAGGCGATAGATTCTGTTTTTTTAATGTTAGGCCTCTGGCGTTCAGGTCGAGATAATTATGATTGTTGTTTATTTATATTGTTATTTATCGTTATTTATTGCTTACGACTGACCGGTTCATGACCATGAGTGGATTTCTTTCGCTTGAATCTGTTTTCTAACGAATTCCCTAGCATGCATGGTATCCACGCAGGATCGCACGAGATTCTGTGTGGGCGCAAATCGAATGAGGCACCTGTAACTTAACAAAATTGCCCTTGCTTCGGAAGCTTGAGACAAAACTATCAAATTTATTGTAGTGTTTTAATTTATGGCATCGCATTAACATTGTGTTTGATTCGAATATTCCCCTTACTGGCAAAATAATAAGTCAAGTTTCGAAAAAAACGTCAATTTTTGATACGCATTTTTCTTTACCTATTTATTTAATAAACGAGGCATTGTAAAAATTTTAAAGACCTATAGAATTACGGTATCATTACACCCATAACGTGTTTCTCTTATGTTGTTATGTACAGTTATTAAGGTTATTAATATACGACATCAGTTTGCTATACCAAAAAAATAAAGGATATATATTAATAACAACAGACGTCTTTCAAATAGCGTTTTACCGAAAGACTATATATTAACACATTCGTAAAATATTTTGTTACATCGAAAGAAAGTTTGGCTCCTCCTATATTGAATCTAACCATGTTGAGTTTAAATATATTTAATATGCTACAGATCGCATTTTGAGTTAAGCACAGATTAAGATGATTTTGAGATGTAGGTACACATTGCGTTTAATACTAGATATATATGCATGAATGGAGTTACGTTTGTTTTGTTATATTTTTGATTCAATATCTTAGTCAGTTTATAACTACATTTACCTTATTACACAAATACAATGCCAGAAGATGGAGGAAATTACTCTGGTTCTTCACTTTTCAAAATGGTTTTATCATCTTGTTTCTCAAAACTTATAAACAGCATCAAACGGTGTCATTTCATATTGCCGACCCAATTTGTGATCTGAGAGCGTACGGTGTATTAGAAAAATATCGTCGAAAGGGCCCGTCTCGTGCCACTGCTGATTGTGGCAACGAATCACAACTGAGCCGCCACTCCATTGAACGACATCGCGACGTGATCTTGATGTGTAGATGCATGTATCGTATGTGCCTTATACTATCAGTTCTAGTGTCTAGCAGCACAAGGAAGCTAGCACACAATTTCAATGCGGAAGGCTACGCCAACTCAGCCATGAGCTTGTCGATGGGTGACCATCGTCCTAATTAATGAGTTAGTCACACTCGTTTTTCATGCTTGACATCACCTCGATGTGGTCTTCCTACGTGCTTTGCCTTGTTCCCTCGTCAAAACATCACTAAATTATGCTAAATCGTTATTGCGGCCATCGATCGATGATGGTAGCGCAGCCCAGCTAGCATTGCACAAAAGAAACTACTCAATAAATTTAACAGACAACGTTTTGATATTTTGCTTTACGAGGGATCGTATTATCAAATACATATAATACGTTCTTCTCTTGCCTTCTTCATTTACTGTATTTATTTTCGGAACGCATTATCTATACAATTTCGTATCGGAAAAACGTGTGAGGATTTAACGTGGTTTGTAATACTGAGTCAAAAAGAGAGAAATCAACAGATTTTCACGATTTTCAGTTACCAAGACGGGTCAATGCACAAATATTTTCGTAAAAAAGTGTCATTCAATTTAACACAATGTGCATTTGTGAGCCTCGTACTTATTATTGTAGATCACGTCTCCGCACGTTTTTTTTCACTATGTACTACGTAAGTCTGAAACACGGTTTAGCTTAATAACTTATGTCTCAATAAACCAATTAATATAACCTACTTGGTAATAGATATTAGTAACTACAGGTTTTTGGGTTAGTTACAGATATTCTGCGTTTTCATAGTGGCTTAGAGAAATGTACTATATCGGCACTAAATACAGAGTGTATAAGAAATAACTGGTTTGCAAAGCACTACGCAAGAGATCCGATATTTTTAGCCAATCAAAAAGTATCTTGTATTGATATTCCCTCGTTAATAATAGCTTTGCGATAGAATCGTAAGATTCAAATGCAAAAAAGTAATAAACATGACATATTTAACACACGCTGTACATTGAGTACTACAACTTCGCTACGCACACACTTAGTGGCACACATCACATGTTGATCAATTTAATCGTATTTTTTTTCTAGCAAAACGAAAATAACGTTATTTTCGTTTTTGTGCGAAAAAACTTACATACAATATATGAGCGCAATTCAAATAACAAGGGGTTAGGCATCAGAATCATAGAAACGATTAATGTCCTTCTTTCTCCCGAAGCTGCTAGAACTTCTGTTCTCTAAAAAAATCAATAAGCCTTGACACCAGATCAGAATATCGGCACAGTTTCTTTACGTGAATCCGTTGTTTGCTTTAGTTAAAGTTCCTCGTTGTTCAGTTTGTGTGACAGATATGGTAGTCGTGCTTTGGGCTGGATCGGCGGCTTTTTTTAAAGCAAAATATCGCTAAATACACCGTAAGAGCGATCAGCAGGAACAAAAATGCGACCAGGCCCAACACTCCATAGATGCTAATACGCACTAAAAAATAAAAAAAAAACAGATGGAGGTTAAAAAGCTACGTGCTCATAAAAAGAGTAGGCTAAAATCAATAACTGCCGAGAGTTCTATTCTATAGAGCTTCAATTTCAATTTACACGTTAACAAATTCCACTGCTTTATGGATTTACTTGATTGTTATAAAGACGTAATAGTTCTGATTGCTGTCAATATTTTAGCATAATGTAGTCACCGTATTCGCCGTTATTAATAAGATTAAGTTTTGGTTCACTTATATGGGTGCAATGATCTTTTTAGGATAATTTGTATCAATACCGATAGTTTCACAGCGCAAAGAGTAAGTAATCTATCCATATAAATGTGCTAAACAAAATGAGAGCTAACAATACTACTTACGGCAGTCCTTCTCGTCGGTTCCGTCACTGCAGTCCTCGATGCCATCACACCAGAGATCCTCTGAGATGCACATCTGGTCCAGCTTGCAGTAAAAATCCTGCTCCTCTGGGCAGATACCGAGCTCGTTGCCTAAGGATTGGGCCATAGCATCGAACGGTAACGATCCATTCAGATGGTACCGGTCAAGTCGATTCTCATAAACTCCTGTTCAGCATCAACATTACTGGTATGGAATATGATGAGAAGTGACAAAGTAATTCAGTGGCAAAACTACGAACAGAAGCCGAGTTAAATTTATGCGCGCCAAGAATTTGTAAGCCGTGGTCATGTTACCAGGAGCTGTCCTATTAGCTTTTGGGTATCCTTAGACATAGACGATTCCTTCCTCCCTCTATACATTTTACAAAAATTCCAAGCGTTTATTATCTGAACTCACGTCGAGCGGCGAAGACGCGAATTATCATTCGGAAGCTCGGGTCAAAGAAGCTGCCTCGGTGGTACTTGATTGATGTATGGTTTCTCGAAGTAGCAAACGTGATCTTCTCATCGTCCTTTAGTTCCTCGTAGCGTCCGCATATCCGTCGATCGTTAATCTGCCGATACTCGCCAGCAGGACAACACCAAATACAACCGGTATACAACACAGGCACGCAGTCTCTGTCTGTTACATAATCTGATTGCAAAGATAAATCTCATATCACAGTTGGGCTTACTGATAAACGCATCAACCCATAACTGTTAGAAAAAAATCTATTCATATGAGGCGTTAACCAAAGAATGGATAGATGTCCATAATCGTGTAGCAGAAGTATTGCAAAGTTGCACTGTACAATATTGACGTTGCCTATGGGTAATTTGCCTAATGATAGGCTGGATTTTGCTAAGAATATTTCATAGTAGAAATCGAATTGTCAGTACCGTGAGGTGTTCAGTTGTACAAGGCACACTTCCGAAGTTAAAGTCAGCTATTCGGATAACAAGGATGTTCGAGCTTCCTGTCATGTTAAAAGGAAAATGGAAGGCAACGCTGCGTTGATACTCGAACATGAGTCGCCACGCAGTCTGAGTTAAGTAGATCGTGGCGTAGTTCGTCAAGTCAATGCATTGGGATATTGAATCCGGCGGGCCGTAGTTTTCCAGGTAGACTGCAAATAACCAACACATGCAAAAAACTTACGTTGTATTTTACGTTCGGAGAGAACCTCTATGTATTCTTTGGCTCGTGTATTTTGTGCTGTTGTTGTGCGTTTGCGCAAGGCCACATGTTAAATACCTAGATTTTTTATCAGGACCGAAATTTTCCTGCAATAATATTCTGCTGTAAATTCATCGTTAGCATTATAGGGACCCATTTCGGGAAATGGGGGGATCGGGGGCAATAGTAGGGATATACAACACGATCGTTGCGTAACATCTTCGTGCTAGTCAAAAACCAAATAAGCGACGAGCTGTTATTAACAGAAATCATTTGGAATGGCCACATCTATACTATTTCTTAAGGTTACTTTTAAACATCGGAATCGTTGCATTTGGGGCTATTTTTTATCGCGTTGGAAATTTCTAATCGTTGGTATCGTATCAGTCTACAGTAGACGGTTAATTTGGTCAACTCATACCCATGAACGAAGTTGAGGTACGCAAACCTAAAACGCTTATCAAACTTACACTCATGTTCCGTTCCCCGAGCTGCAAATACGATACAACCAAGCAGGAGTGCTAGCGAAATCATTATCTTGTTTTCCGTTACAGCTAGATTTATAGTCTTGCAAATAGAAGGCACAGCACCGTTCACAGCGCCTACAGTGGCTCCTTCAGCAGTTCGTGAATCGTCAGAGATTTTGGAGAACCCACAATAGAGCCTTGACCATGTTGAGATTCGTATTAACTTCTACTGCCCGTACTTGTTTCTCAGATACAACTGTCGGAGACTGGTGGAGAACACGGAGGCGTCTCACCTTTTTCACATGCCAACGCACCCTCTCAAACTCCGCCTTTCTACGGCAATATGAGCCGAGTCCGTCATGCTGTTACAATGCAGCATAATAAACTCAAAGGTACAAACAGCCATTTTCATGAAGAATTGACGTGGTTGCAGAAACCTCATCGAGGTGACGCTTGATGATGAGATTGTCCGGCCTCCGGCCTTCTAACGCAGTAACGCACGAATCACAGGCTGTATGGATCGTGACACATCACTCGTAGGTAGTGTAGGAATTCGTTTTATCGAAGGAAATATGTGGAATATACCAATTGAAGCTTCTTTTATCTGAGTCAGCGGAAGACATAGGAAATGTGATGTGTAATAGAAAGAGACTACAGAATTCCCAGATGGAAGATGCAATTTGCTACAGCTAACTGTCATGTTGGTGAGTGCATCGACAGTGAGCCATTCATGATGGGGACGTATTGGGAGTCAATATTGGGTCAGATGGGCAGAGATGATACTGGCCGTCAATCTACCAGCATGCCTATGCTGATATATATGCGCACTAGAAAAATCTAAACAGACTTATATTATGGCCAAAAAAGCATTGCTTGTTTAAAAAGAAAAGATTATTTTTCAAGTTAGTGTCAAATATTGTTCAACCAGGCTGGACAATAGATGCAAAATTTAGGCACATAGAGCCAATGATTGCGTAGATTTCGTACTACTTCGTGAAAAGGGCTGGTTTATTCTTATGATTAAGTTTGTTGCTACAGGCTACAGCTTTGATTTCATCCAAAGTGGAAAGTGTAAAATTAATATTTATTATTATTGTTTAATCGACATATACGAAATTCGTTTAAACCAACTAATATATATATATGATTAACTAACTAAAATATATATATATATATATATATATATGTAAATGAAAATCCAAACATTACGGCATATATGTCTTCTTATTATTAAATAATTTATACATTTACTAAATCAATGCAAAAATACTGTGTGGGATGGTGGCAACGTCGAAAGTGACGACGATTTACCACTGGCCACTGACGGAGTTATCGACACTTTTTTGGTGCATGTACACTCGAATACTCTTTGCTATGCTCTAATAACGTTATTTTTTTTATGTAAGCTTTCCTTGATCTCTTCCACCTTTATCAAGTATTTGTCGGAAGTTTAAATCGTCAGATCCAGTGGCTGTTCTATCATTGTTTAGAACGGCCATAGTTGTTGCTGAGCTCTCATAGCTATTAGTGGGTTTAGTTGCTTGAATATGCAGCTTCTTAAAACTGGGTGATATGACAAATGAATGAATAAAGCAATGAATTAATTCATGGAGAGATAACCCGGATTTGTCCACAATATTACTAGGTGTTGCCGCCAACCGCCCCCGCGGTTCATACGCGCGCATTCGGACACACTTGTTTCGTCACATGAATAAGATGTTTTTCCATTTGATATCTATATATTTATATTGATATATACATTGAACACGACAAGTAGTATGAAACAGTTTGGCTATGATTACACAGGTGATAGCCTTTCTTCAGCTACCTAATATATAATCTATAGGTATCATGGCTTCCAAGTAAATGTAATAGATCATCCTCTCAATCATTTCTGTTTTCTGAATTCGAATTTGTAATATCTGTACGGGTGTTCTTGTACTTATAGGGACCTTATAGAATCAATAAGTAGAGAACATAAACCTGTTTTTTTATCCAAGTAGCTGCGTCATTTTTAATCAGCTCCAACACGCTTTATTATCAAAAAAACAGCTTCATTTTTATTTGTCGTCTACGAAAATGTCGGTCTTATTCTATAAGTGCCTTTCACGATACATGCGTATCCTTAACTCAAACTTCCATTTTGGTTTAAAACACCACCTTCGGTCATGCCTGCTTTTAGATCATGGCCTTATCAGCGCTGCGGTGATGGTTCCAAATAGCCCATTTAGAAGCACTGTTCAAATTTTATTATAATGCTGTTTGATGATATTTAATGATGCTGCCGGTTGTGGTGCAACTGTGATGTGTTATCCTGCCCCTGCTGAGAGGTATACTGCTGATACAGAATCTTTTCCTGCTGATCCTGATACATGTGGCGCTGTTGTTGCTGTTGCTGAGTTGAGTACATTGTTTGAGAACCCCACGAATAGCGGCCCTAAAAAGGTAGATGGCGAGAGCATTAGGCAAAACGCACGTAGATCTACCTCGAATACATATACCAGTATATGTTTCTTTTTATATATATATATATATATATATATATATATATATATATATATATATATATATAGAGCAACTTGTAACGACTCTACCAAATGCCACACTTGCAACATTTAGACTCGTCTTGATGCATTGTGAGTTAGAATAGTACTGTATATTCATCATTGACTAGAAGAAGTACATCATATAGCGATAATAATCTCTAGTGGGGAAAAGCAGTAAAGCTCAAAAATAGCTAACAACAAAATGCTTTGAACTATAGGGAACCTAAATACCTTTTGAAAACTGTTTCCATTTAGCAATACATATGAGCTATGCGGAAGATAAAGAACCAAGTATAGCAGAGAAGCTATATTGTAACAAATGCAATTATCTGCCTAAGACTTTGGCTGTCTTCTCGCCTTTATTTACCGATTGTGACACCGGAGTGGGGTGGGCGACCTGTGGCACGGATGAATTCAATGCCGCCTGACGCTGCAGTTGTTGTGATTGTTGTGACGTAGACTGCTGGTGAGTTGAGTTCTGATAAACGGACGTCGCTACTGCAGCCGAGGCTGCTGCTGCTGCTGATGATGTGTAATATGAAGGGATCGTTGTCGCGGGAGAAGCCGCTTGGGAATGAGAAGTCATCGACGACGGGAAGGACTTCATACCCTCCAAATTAGATGAGCTTCTGTAATGTAAGAACATTTGGCAGAATATGTGAATTACCAATGCTGGGAAACTAGTACATTGTAACGAAAATGTGTTTCACCCACGCACGAGGTCTCCTTGCAAGAGTTCAATAAAAAAAAAAACTGCTAAATTACTAGCTCCTATGTATAGTATCAAAATTTAGTGTCTTCTCTTTTCTTCTGACAACTATTTTTATTATTAGTGATTTCAGAAAACAGTTTTTAGCCAACCTGTCCATCCGAAGACCTTCAAATTCTAGTACAAGGAAATAAATTGTCTAATTATTTTCGTTCGGCATCTTTTTCTTTTCCCTTCTTGCATTTCGTATATATATGACCATTCTCTATGATGAAGGATATCAGTCTCTTACGAAATCGAATAGAAGTTATACCTCTGCTGCTGCTGCACCTGCATCCCTTGTTGCTGTGATGAACAGTTAGTGCCGCTGCTGCTGTTGGAGCTTCTGTTGTTAGCTGAAGAGCTTGTATTCTTATGAGGCTGCTGTAGTGCCTCGTAGATATTGTATGAGGACGGCATTGATGCACGCGGTAACTGGGGTGATTTATGTTGCTGCTGCTGCGACTGCTGCGACTGCTGGTGCGAGGAACGGTGCGACGGGGGTGACATTAGCGAAGCAGCTCCTCCCAATGTATAACTTCCAACAGAATTGCCGCCGGACGTTGTTGTAGGATAGTTGCTGCCGCTACCACCGGTGGTCGCGCTTCCAAAAACAGCTGCGGTTACCGAACTGCCTGTAGATGACAGGTGTAGCGTGTTGCCTCCACTGCTCGGGTATGAGTTTGTGGCTGCGAACGTTTTTAGGCGCATATCGTTATATTTTTGAAGGCCTACATTCTGATGGGCGCATTATAAATACGGGATAGTAGTATCGCATAGAAGTTGTTAAGCAACTCCAGAACATTTCCTCTTTAAAAATTCTTGAGTCTTCTAAATAAGATAGGTAGAGTTGGCAATCGGACGACCCCGCTCTTCCTACGTACTTACCAAGTTGCTGCGTAATTATTCGATCCAACACTTGTGATGCCATGAGGGGTTCTTTGTCGCGCGGTAATGTTGACTGGTGACCACTATTGCTCGTGTGCGTTCCAGCGCCACCTGCGTGGTTGCTGTGAGATCCTCCGCCTCCCCCTAGACTACCGCTGCCACTGCCGTGCTGCTGCTGCTGCTGTCCACCAGATTGACCGCTTGATCCACTGTAGTAATTGTTATGAGATGAGCCCCCATAATGGCTATTGTTGCCATTGTTTGCCCCCTGGTGGCCTGCCTGAGGCGTCGATTGCTGTTGGCTGTTATTCCCTGATTGTTGTTGCTGGTATTTGTGCTGCTGTTGTTGATAGGTCGGCGTGGCAGATTTCGACTGATGGTATTGTCCGCTGTTATTGCTGCTACTGTTGTTCGTAGCCGCCGTATGAGTTGCTCCAGATGACGCCATCGTCGTGGACGATTGGGTCGACTTGTGGGTTGTGCCTGATGAAGGGTAGCTGATAGAGCCAGCGTTCGAGGCCGCTGCAGCTGCTGCCGCCGCAGCTGCGGCCACCTTCTGCGAAAACTGAGAAAAGAGAGAAAACAGCTTGCGTATTAAAGCTCTACTTTAAAAAAACGAACACTTGTGTTTAGTTGTTGAATCCGAGCATTCAAACGATATCCTACGTATTATCGAATTTTATATATAGACATATGTTTTTATTTATCGTATTCTGGAACACTAAATTATTGGTAAGTGCAGTGTTGTTAACTTCGTACCTGAGCAAAGGCTTGCGCCGCGGACGGCGACGTGACGGCAGAAGTTGATGAACCGACGCCTGTCGATGCATTTGCCAATGCGCCGCCCGACGTGCCAAAAGGTGGGCTTTTCTGTAATGCCGCTTGGTAGTTTGCTTTTAGCAGAGGCGTGGCCGAGTGCTGCTTTTTTGGTGGAGCAGGAGTCTGGGCTGTAGCCGATGACGCATGGTTGGCAGAGTTAGTGCCTGTCGTCGTCACATTTGCTGTCGTGGCAATGAGAGGAGCAAATGAATCGCCGAACGAAGGAGTCTCCACCTGTGGCAGAAGTTGTGACGCCGTTTGTGACGGCTGTTGTTGCTTGGCAGGAGATGAGGTGATGACACTCATGTGAACAGGGGTTGTAGCAGAATCGGAATGGGCTGCGGCTGACGCCGCTAACGGGGTGCTGGTAATACCTATAGGAGAGCATCGATCGTTTATAGCGCTCGATGTTGGTGGACTCACTGCGGGTGACGGTACCCGCTCTTCTTTCACTAGTACGGAAGGCGAATCTGAAATGGTAGACGATAATAACAGAGCGAGTAAGTAAAGGCTACAACCACTCCACTTCCTCCAAATTGTCTTTTTTACGTATGGCTCGTATGCTGACAATGCTATAACTGCTCTGACAGGATTCGTAAGATAAGATGTTGAGATGTAATTGAGGGATGTCATGAGCGGACCAATATGAATATATACTTTCAGAAGTGACTTGCTTGTCAGGGCTTGTCAGAAATCGTAACTCGATGGAACAATCCAATTAAGCATTATGGTGCCGGTGTGTTGCGTAGGTGAACTGACCAGAGATCACAGAAAGAACGGAATGGCCGGAGTCACGATGCTCGCGAGAAGCAGCAGACGAAGTGCCAGTTCCTAATCCCGGCGTTAACGGATGACTTCGGAGCCCGCTAGGCGGGTCTTCGGGCGTCCGTGTATTTGCACCTGACGAACCTTTCTCACGAATGACTGAAGTGTTTCCTGGGGTAGTGGAACGCGAGGACGGTGTCACGTCCAGCTGCTGAAATCGACAAAACGACGCACAATGAACTTTCTGTCAGCGCATGCGCAATTATTGCTACCTTCAGCAATGCCTTAACTTGAGCATTAGCGTAAAATATTGTGATTTACCGGTGTATTACATGAGATGCGTGGTTTCATATCATAGAGCACGTAGATGATTAGACAAAGGTCTCTTACCTGCATGGCATCCTTATACGAATCCTTTAATGGCGTTTCGATCGACGAGTATGAATTATTCGCACGGAGAGCTCCAAGAGGCGTCGTTGGTGTGTGCGGGGCGCTAGGTACAACTTCCACGCCAGGTGTGCCATTGGCTCCCCCGAAGTTTTGCAGCTGGGTGAGTTTCCGGGGAGCAGAACCGATAGAATCAGAGCGAGCTCTCTGAAAAAGTTGCTCCTCGCGAGCCATCCGCAACAGGGTCCGGACATTCATCCAGCCACGAGGCCACAAAATAATCATCTGTCGAGGACAAACGAAACACTTAAATAATGCGTGGTATAGGATTCGCAACCGCTTGAATTATCAATGTTCGATGAATCGTTCTGTCAGTTATGAGGGTAAGGAAATCACTTCTAACATGTACAGGAAAATTTATGAACCGTTTAGCGCTACTTACATCAATTTCGAAAAAGTTTCTGACGTAGTCTTCGGCAGATGTCGCCCGTAGTTTGGACACTTCATACGTTTTGAGCTTGAGCGAGACGACTTCTCGGAAAAGACGTCTTAGGGCATCTGTCCATTCAAATATCCGGTGAACGCGGACATCGTTATCCTCGGCTTCCGAGTCAGAAACACCACAAGGTGTCTGACCCGCCTCTTTACACCGGCGTCGATACCTTTCCAGTTGCTCCTCAACCATATGATTTAATTCGGCTTTAAATCTGTAATTCAACACGATAACATCAACCAGTTTATTAACTTTTTTTTCGATAAGGTTTATAAATACCTGCTTAAGCATTTGCCACATTTACACCCTGTCTCCTCGATTATGAAAGAACTAAGTGATTACAGGCCAGCTTTTACTTACATTATCCTTTAGTTACAAAAACAAAACTTGAAATAATACGAGCGTTTCATGAATTATAAGTTTATTCTTCAAACCCCATTCTAAAACTGTTGACGCATCCTACCTCGCCATAGGTTCTTTGACTTTCATATCCTCTTCGTCCAATCGCAGTTTTTTTATTCTTTTGAGCAAGGTTTCTTTACTGCAAGGCAGGTGTGCCGTCAGATAGGCGTATAACTGAGTACGTTGTGAACACGGAAGGGATTGACGTGCCATTCGATCAATATGAAGTAAGGTTTCATTGACGCCTGTAGGAAAATACGAAAACAAATTCAATTTACTGAAGAATTATGAACAAATAAAGTGTGTTGTACTGAAAATTGTCATTTCTGGGAAGCTTAGAATTTTTCTACTGCAGTTTGCCTATTGTGCGCGGCCATCTCAGTGGTCGACTTACCGTTTGCCTGGAAAAACTTGCTCTTTCCAAGGTTTTCTCTGGCCACTGCTGTAATGTCTGCGATCATTTTCTCAAGATCGCGTGGCATACGGTCAGGCAACCTGACGGCAGCGTCAGGTAGCCTATGAAGAGCGAATTCATTGGCCGCCCCAGCAACTGATGCAGAATAATCAATTTTCTGTTCGATCATCATTCGTTCCTTGTCCCTTGAGTCACCTCGGTCCCGTGGTTGATCTATTCGTTGTTGCTGTTGCGATTGCTGCTGACTACTGACTTGTTGCTGCGACTGTTGCTGCTGTTGTGACTGAAGTTGCTGTTGCAACACGACCCGCTGTTGATCTCGTTCACGGTCCTTTTCGGGTTCGCGATCCTTTTGGTGAATTTGTATACGATCTCGAGCTTCTCGATTGTTGTCTTTCTCCCGTTGTAATAGTAACCGCTCCTTGTTGTCCCGGTTACTAGTATCTTTATTATCCTTCGGTACGGTGAGCTGTTGTTGTTGGCGTTCTTTTTCGATTCGTTCGAGACGTTCCTTGTTTTGTCGTCGTTCCTTTTGGCGTTCCTCGCGTTCCATTTCTTCTTCCTGCTGACGCAGTAACTCCAGTTCCTCCTACAAATAAAATACCGAAACAAGTTAAAGCATAATCAGCAAATATCCAAAAATCTCGTCCCTTGTATGACTTGAACCGACTAATGATAAAACAATAATCCCGTGCCACTTATTGCACTTAGCTCATCTAGGTCGTACCTCTTCAACTTCTTTTTTGTTTTGTTCACGGGCTTTTCGTACTACAGACTCAATTGCATCATCCAGTTGTCGCTCCTGCTTGACACTCATCCTCTCTAACAATTTTTCTTTCATTTCCTTGTCCTTATCCCGATCCACTCGGTTCAAGTTGTCTCTGATTTCGTCCTTGACAGCTTTTTCTCTATCCGTTTGTCCTGCGTCATCCGGACTTCTATCGCCATCAGCGTCTTCATCGGAACTACTTTCAATCCGCTTAATCTTTTTCTTCAGCATAAGCATTTTTTCTTTTCGTTTTTGCCTGCGGTCCTCACGCTCCTTTTCACCCAACCCTTGATCTCGATTATCCTTTGAGTCATCCGAATCTAATCGCTTGCGTTTTCGCCGTCTTTTAACCTTCAAGGGACTCCGCTGTTTTTCCTCTTTCGGCGATCGGGCTCGTTCGCTTTCTACAAAATAAAAAAAAATTGACAAATATATTTTTAGTGACATGTTGCCTATATATTCAACTGAATAAAGGGGATTAACTTTAAAAGGCTAACCTTAGGGATGAGCTTACTGAAATTACACCAGTATTCATTATCATGCAATAATATAGACAACATCGTCTATCTAACTGACCTTGCTCGGAGTCTTCGTCGGGTGGCGAGTCTTCTAACGTCACCTTGTTTTTATTGGCCTCGTTCTGCTGATGATAATGCATGTACTGGAGAGGTGGAGCGTGAACAAACTCGAGCTCACCAGAATTAATGTAGAATCCACCATGCTTTGTGTTCAGGTCCAACGGCACTACTTCATCATATGCCTCTCCATTGTCGATAAACGAATCGTCTTCATCATAGCTGACGAATTACAATGCCCGAATTCGAGACGTTAAGTTCGATCAAGGATCTTTAAATAGTATTTAAGGGGGGTACGCATATATTCTCGAGGCTTACGTAGCAATTTCAGTTTTTTAATCAGTACGAAACAAAGGAAAACTCATCTACCTGCTGTCTTACCTGTATGTATGCAACTGAACTCAAATCATATACGTCAATATCTGTATTAGCCATATTTTCAGCTTAACGAGAAATAAATTTCCCTAAAAAATGTCAGATTTACACCCCATAACGTTGATTCATAAATGCGCATATCTTATTATATACGCATAATCTACAGGTACTGAAAACTAGCAGAACTAGTTCTTGCATCAAAACCACTTACCCTTGACCTCTATCGACGTCATCGTCCCAGGCCACTTTCACCGAGCCATATTTCTCTTCCATTTTTCTAGCAATCGCTGCCACTTCGTCCTCATCTGACTCTTCAAAAGGATCATCGCCTTCTGGAGGTTCCGGTTTGCACCTCTGTAAAGCAGAAAACACAATACAAAGCTAGCATATTAAGTTTGCGTAGTTTTCTCCAAATATTGGGAAAAAAGGCGAGCAATAATGAATAATCACCAAACAAACAAGCTATTGCGCGTGCGATAGTTGTCATTTGTTGCATGGATCTATTCATTGCACATTGTACGCACGCTTAAATCAATAGGATCTAAATCGACTATTACGTTCTTATCCAATCGATAAAATCACAAAATCAATAATTGGATTTGAGTGAAGTCTTATATAAATCAGTCCAATGTCATGTTGCAAGTTATCATATTTAAGCAACGCATTTTTTCTGGAAATGTAAGTGTGAGATGTTTTATGTATTAACCCTGGTTTTCATCATTATAGTACTTGCTCAAGAGTATTCACCGAATTTCAGATGTCTGCTTCACTTTCCCAGTTTTCACTGGGCCATTTCCATACAATTTACTTACTATACTTAAGACACTGGTTAAAGACAATATTACTGCCAATTTAAAATTTTAATTGTTCACTGCAACGACTTTATATATAAAGGTCACTAGGGCAAAAAATATGTATTTTGTGTACATTCAGGTCTGAAGACTTAAGAGACTCAAAAAATAGAGACAAATATAGCAAGGTGTTTGTATGACGGCTAGTTGACGCAAGAGCTCGCCCTGCTACGAAAAAGTTCTGTATTTAAAAAAATTAGCACAAAACTTTCTACCAGGAAATGACATCAATTCGACCTAACTTTCCTGTTAGTGAATTTGCACATACGAATTTTCTATGCAGGCACCATATAAAAAGGTAACAATAGAGATTCAGCAAATAGAGCGTCGCAAACTATTTGGCAATTGTTGTAGCTTATAAAGTAACCACGAGATTCGATTTCCATATTCTGTAGTTGCCTGCCGAATCGTTAGTATTCTATATAATGATAGCAAATCAGTAAACAAGGACGCAAACAACTGAAAAACATTAACATGTTTTTAAGTAAAGTACTTTAAGCTCTCCATTAAATGCATTAGGAATTTCGAGCAACATGCGTTATTATTAAGCACGCACGTATAGTGGTGACAGAAAATACAAGGACAACGAAAAAAAATATATTTATGATTCAAAATTTATTTAAACACGTTAACATTTTAAACAAACATCAGAATTTGTCTTTTACCTCACCTGATTAGTTATTTCATAAAGACAAAAGTACACTGCCGATGACAACATTAAACTTTGCAACAGGTGCATAAAGAAAAATATGGGAGGCAGTTACAAATATCTGTCTATCTAATACCTTTATCTACTTATTACTATTACAGCTCTGCCGTTCAGAACAACTAATGGTAGTCTAACAAGAACTTTTATACTATAACAGATAAAATATATAAATAAAAATCATAATCATACATATGTAATGTGGCGTTCAGTGTTTCAAAACACAGATCTCTTAATTTCTTGTAAATTTCTTGGAATCGTGATCAATAGTCGACAGACATGTAGTATGCACAAAATTTCCAGTAAGTTGCGGTGCTACATACACCTATAGACCCACAAATGAAAGTAATCAATGCTATCGTGTTGTCGGTTAAGATTCTTGTTGGTCCCTTTTCGCCGCCTGTTATACTACGTTTACCGGGTTCACTCGGCCTTTTTTCTTATTTTTCAGCCGGAGGCTCCGTACTTTCCTTTTCAGTTGAGAAAGTTTCACCTTGTATAACATCACTGCTGACTTTGGCTTCAAGCTGTTCTGGAACGCATAATCCGGCCATACACTTTCCCGGAATTAGATAGCGTGTGCCAAGTACGGACACCTCCTTAGTTTCACGGACAGGTATCTTGCATTTGGTCAATTCTGGTAACTTTTCCTCTACTATGCGCACATCTCCACGGATCTCAACCTGCCCTAAAACACCTACAACTTGGCAGGCTTGCCTGCAGTCATCATCCGGATTTTGGGTCAGCACGGAAGGGTTAACCACTGCACTCTCATAGGGTTCACACCCAGAGGCGTTTCGCATTCCCACTGGTGGAACTGTGATCCGAAGATTGAACACTTCAATATGGCCATCGAGGTATGAGCGAGGACTATAGGGAACGTGCTTTCGGAGATCTTTTTGAAACGGTGTGTTTTGATATTCTGACAACTTGACCGGAACACATTGGCAGTGATCGTTGCAACGACCAAAACTGTACGTAACATTGAACCCGCTGAGGCGTGACTCAACTGGGTTCCGACAGTAATGACCCTTTGGACGGCACGCAGCCCGAGCGCGACGGGGTTGTTCGTCGGCAATCTGCACTCCTCCGAAGTATCCATCCATGATACAGACCAATGAGCAACCTACATCGCCCGATACCTCCAGCTCCCTCTCATAGAGCTCACAACGGTGCTGGTTTCGAGATTGCGCCTCTGGAACTGAGATCTCGATCCGGGACCACACCGGCCGCCATTCGATTATCAAAAACGACAGGAGGATGGCAGATAGGAATCCCATCGCAATTGGAGATTTCTTTTCAGTGGCTGAAGAACGTTTGGCCCAATACGATACTGTGCTTGAATGCGCTGATTCAGCGGACTCATTGCAGACAAACGAAGCTGGTCGCAACGAAGAGCTTCAGAAGGATCACCTTGGATTGGAAGGTCACACCCAGCTTTTACGTCACCATTTACACGTTGCGACGCGCTAACATCAAAATTTATTACCGCGAGAGCAGAGAAGCTGAATGTGGCAGCTTTAAAGCAGCAGAACTTGCTAATGCTAATAGTGTGTCTATACAATAATGGGAAAACAGGGTGAGATTATCAATCACAGGGCCATCACGGAACACTTCAACTTAATCAAACAATCATAACAGCACAGAAATTGACGAACTGCCGCACGAAGTAACTACAGTTGAATTATCAGCTATACACATTACAGAATAATAAGCTGATCAAAAGCGTTCGTAACTTGGCGAATGCAAAGAGGTGCTTACTGGCTGTCATACGTTCTAACAATGGCATGATCGCACTTTTCCCACTTTCTGACTAAAGTCTTTCTCAGCGGCCCACTCTCCGGCGGCTTGCACTGCTTTGTTTCCTTTTTCTGTCGGACAAGTTTCAGTACTCCTGCGGTTAGCGCAGCTCGCCCTCGAAGCGGTCAATAAAACAAGTTAGAGGCAGCAGGCACGTAAAGCACATATAGCTGGCAGTGAAGGTTTCTGTCTGCATTTAATTGCCTCGTCGACATAGTGAACAATATTGGAGACAAGCACAAATACGTCAAAATACGACCGTTCGTCTTCCCGTCTCCCCTCTGCCCTAGGCTGCTTTTGTGCTTCTAGACATAACATTGTCCGACATACAACACGCACATACTCGCAGACAAAGTTACCACCAAATGAGGAAGCCTTGCCCCAGTCGCTTCTTCAACTACTACTACTACAGGCATTAGAGTGGTTACGACTGCTCTTACTATTATTACTAGGTCACAATACTAGTCCCTATAGCAAATACGGGTCTCCACCGGAGAAACACTGACGGCCCTCCCTACCTAGCCGATCTCCCGTCAGATATGGATAATTCACAGCAAATGAGCACTTCACTCGTTTTTTTTGGTTCTTTTAACACGAACGACTTCTTTAATACTGTGGTCTATTTTAAGAAATTGTTTTCGCTCAATAAAAGGCAAATTAGTTAATATCATCCCATCTAAATGTTTTCAAAATTTTTAAAGCTGTTATAATTTGTACTATACAACGGTACATTGCATTTGCTAGAAACGAAACTAGAATCTTATTTATTAGTAACCCTTGTCTTATACTGCAAGAAATCTATCTTCAACAATACCAGAGTTTAATAATTGATTGTTCAACAGGTTATTCAATTACCAATAGCACAATTTGCTATACTTCAAGCAGCTTTTCGTACGCGTTGTTAACATCATATTGTGATTTTTCAGCATGTCAACGAGGCGACCAATATATGTATCGGTAATAATAATTGACACATAATTTTTAAGCATTGTTATTGTGACGACAAATGAAGAAATGTCCTTTAAGTTATTTGTGCTGCTTTTCGTCAAATGGTGAAATCCAACTATTAATTAACTAGTTTGCAGAGATACGCCTGAGCCTTAAAGAAGAAGTTTAATTAATTTCAAGCACAGAGCCATAGGCTCTAGTAAAAAAATTGTTCTTTAATAGCCTTAAATCTTTATAGAGGTGATCGATTAATATTTCATTTGGTATCTTGTTATGAGCTAAATAGGATGAATATCCAAGCATACTCGAACACCGTCTGAGTCATTGCAGAACAAAACAAAAAAAGAAATGCCACCCTATACTCAACTAAAGTTTTCGAGGGGTTCTTGACCAATGCAAAAAGAAAGAACACCGCTACACAACTATAACAATTGTGATGACTACAGTAACATACGACATTTATGTCGTAAGTAATGATGTACCATTTAATAGACGTGTCTGCAAATAAGGCGGCAACGGTTACGCTAAGCGGGGGATGGCGCACAGCTATCCAATGATTTCAATAACTGAGTTGATTTCATTATCATCATTCTTATCACACAATTGTTATCGTAGGACACTGTCACTTGACAAGAAGACGCAGAAGTCAACTGGCGTTACCTAATCTAGATAAAGAATAACATGCGCTGTATGCTAACCTGTCTCAACAAAATATATCTAAATTGACATCGGAGATGGACATAACTGGACTTCCGTAATACAAACCCTGAACTTTGTGCACATTTGACTTGTACAGCTATCCAATGCCAGAAACACTGAATAGTAAGAACTAAATCTTGAAACAGTAGTGAGACAATCAGTGTATCTATCCAGAATTTATAGTCACGAAAAAACATTATTTTTTCGTAAGAGTAGATAGTCAGGCCTGAGCTTACTTTGCAACGACAATACAAGCAGAATAGCCGAAATCAAATATCCAATGGAAGGATCAGATACTAACGGCAATGACAATGATCTGATTTAGTAATCTGCCCGGTTTGACTGCACTAGTCTAGTTATGTCGCGTCTATTAGGGGCTTTCTGTATAGGTGTAATATACCTTGTGATTTCGAACGAGTTCGATATAGTTAAACTCGTGGCAGACGTCCTCGTTGGGATCGCCGAGATCCAAGTTGAAACGCATCGTCAGGCGTTTCTTTCTCTTGGAAGAGGCCGGTTTCGAGCCGACAGCGCCGCCGCCTGCTGGATCACCGACTCGCTCGGCTAATCGGTCAACCGCCGGCTGCAGCGACACTCTCCTGGGCTCGGACATGACTATTTGCTTGGCAGACTAAGCAAGGCTAGCTGTCCTAGCTGGCTAGAGCCAGCTGTGCTAATGGTATTAATTTGTTTTGATGTTGCCGATGATAGTAGAGCTGCGGCGGCTGTATCACCAGCCCCAAATGTCGCGCTATTGAACAACACGGCACATAACTTATCGCTTCGACGACAAACAGTTCTTGCTTTAAACCACCATTGCTCTCGTCGTCACACATACAGGCGATCTCGGCACACACTCGCACGGTTTGTATTAGGGGGGTGGGTGGGGGCGGCAGCTATACGCTCAGTAGTGGGTTGTTCTTCTTGCATTCGACTGCACTACTCACACAACAACAACTACTATCACGCAACAACAACAACACCACCGACAAGTGTTCACACACTTCTTGCACTATTGCTGCTGCTCCTGCTGTTGCCGTTGCCCCTGCCGCTGCGACTGCTGCTGCTGCTGCTGGTCGCACTTGAATAAGGCCAGCTTTTTTCGAACGCACTCTCTCTATTTGTTGACATCGGACGCCTAACCACTACTGGAAGGAACATCCATTGCCAATATGATGATGGCGCGCAATTTGAAACGACCTCTTCAAGGTGGTCTGCTACCGTAAATTGTCTTCGAATGCATTAAGGCGGTTGATATCGGAAGTAGGGTTCGCCTAGTTGCAGTCATTTGGCTGGTCGACACGTTTTGTTTTGGTAAAGTTCATCAATTTCTATATGCCTGTAGCCAATTGAATCGTAAGTTGAAGTTATCACTATGATATATATATATATATATATATAGATATACATATACATATATATATATATATATATAGGGAACTGAGCTAAGAAGCCGCGGTGCCAGCTGGTGGATAAATAAACAAAGATTGTGACGATAACACCATAAGTAAAGAAGTGAAAAGGCCACTTAGTTGGCTGGTGTTTCCTTTGAAGGAGAGAGCATCAAATGTGATAGTCGTTAGAGAACGATGAGCGCTTGCGGTGAACAGGCGTGCGACTAGTAGGACGTAGAGGTTCTGCTCCGCGGCACGGAATCTCATATTTGTCAGTTCTTGCGGTGGTCGCCTATAATAAGATCTGTAGCTGATTCGTAGTTAATCGTGCAGCAGGCGCATAATAGGAAGCAATACCCATTATGAGTTTCAACCCCATATAATTTTACTTAAGTAGTGTTATGATTTATTAAGTAATACAACTTTAATTTTATAAATTCTCCGCAGTATTAATAGCAACAAATACAGGACACATTCGAGTGGTGCTGTTTTTTTTTATTATGCTTTTATAGCGTTCGTTCATTTGCAAACTAGTTTGATTGCGTTAGGCTTTGATTGGACAGTTAATGAAGCTCAAAGACTATAGTATATACACATATATGTATAAATGTATACATCTTTATACTTTTTTTTGATAAATAAAAATTAAAGGGTTGCCGATACTTCGTCAAAAATAAGTTCATAATGACATGAACTAAGTTAATCTGTCGTTTAATTTACGTTTTATGACGGCGTTTTTTAAAGCGTTTTGCTCCACTTTTCAGCATGACAAGAATAGCGTCTAATGGAATGATAAAGAATACAGAATGTTAAGGGATTTTAGCGTCTTCCGCGGTAGGTAAGTTTTTGTAACCTTATTTTTGCCCATAAGGAATCTTTGTTATATTAGCTAATTTTATTGACAAGGAAACAACTTTTGTCTACAGGTAGCCAAATAGAGCTAACGTGTTGTCCAAAAGTGGAACATTCATACGCTGTCCTCCGCTTAGTTAGTGCAATCGGCTAATAATTAAGGACCATGTACGTTGTATTAATATTTCTAAACAATATTCATTATACTGGGGAGTATTAATAGAATTAGGATTGAAAGATCAAAATTACTGCAGAAATTCATAGGAATGTCTGCCACCATTCCGCAAAGTTTTTGGAGCTTTGTAAAAATACTTGCAAAAAAATCAATTCCGATTAATTAAAGGGGGTCTGTTCGTACCTCAAACCCTTGCTGCTTGGTTGGCTGGCCCTAGCGGCGAGTTTCCTCGTTCCATACATTGCAATCCAGATTATCTAAAATGAGCATTAGTTGCTTGTGCTTATGTTACGTCCAGATAATCAAATTATGTAGAATAAGATTAATGAATAAAAGAAAAATATATCTTTCGCAGATCACTGGAATTGTAGAAAGGCAAATGAAATTACGTAACTACTGAACAGGCCCGTGGGTTTGCCCCGCGCCTGTCTTGCCATAATCTAAAGAAAATCGGACCCCCCTTCCGAAATGTAATGTTGAACTTGTATGTATGAAAGAGTACACAACTTTCCGAGATAAATATGTCCTAAATTTTCGGCGAGTGTTGAGCAAATTGCTAAAAGCAAAGTCAGCTTGCTTGAATAGACATGACGCAAAAGAAAAAGTTTCTTTAGACAGAACTTGAAAAAAGAAAAATTAAAAGTATCATCCAGTTGAGAAAAATAAATCGTGTATACCGAAATGGTTTAGATGTTATCAACCTTAACCAACAAATCAACCAAATTAGCATCCCTACTTCCAAACGAAAAGTAAACTACTTTTCCGGAAAAAAGCAATTCAAGTTAAATATTATAAATATTTTCTTTAAATAAAAAAAATATATTATGTATATATATATATATTCATTAGTAATAATTTGAGCGAAAATCACCACTTAACGGTTAAATCAAAGGAGTGTAAAAAATCAGTCAATTTTCTTGAAGTCTAATATCTCATCCACTGTGTAGAACTGGAAAAGACAATTTATACATGAATAATCCAGAAATTCTTCACGGTCGGTGGGCGATTTAAGAAAATGACAAGCTTGCTCAAATTAACAGTACACTATATAGAAAAGATAATCACCAAGAAGAAAATGGCATTCACGCGCACAGATGGCTAGACCTGCAGAGTAGGCAGACCCGGGGATTTGGTTTGTTCATGTTACACCCTGCCTAGTATAACCACTATAGTATACACCAGCAGTTATCTTGTCGCAATTACCTTGCCTACTAATCCCTTTATCCTTTTGCAACCTGTTTTTATACGAGCGTATTGGATTCGCGCTCACCCTAGCCTAACGTAAACTACTGTTGGATTGTATATCCACATCCACACAGTTATTCGGTTAAAACTTTTTTCAGACTCTGCACAATAAATTTCATTATTCCGTAGCTGATAGTTTGTTCCTCTAATTCTATTTCTCAGATTCAATCAATCTATGAGCAATATCGATCCCGTTTCCTCACTGAAACATTTCAACGGCTGCAGTGATCACATTAATATTATTATGAATTAGTATTAATAACGGTCGGCTAGTATTCGATCCGTATTATACCTAATCTGAGATTCATTATTCTGTCTTCTCATTTACTGATTATAGTAATTATTATCTTCTTAGTTTAGTAAACCCTTTCTTGGGGATTTCGTAAGCTTGGTGCAGTTATATAACCCATTAGTCTTGCTTATAATAACTTTGCTATGTATGTCTTAGTGTTTTTATTGCCTCGTTCTCGTTTATCCGTTAACCCATTACGTGTAACTGAGCCAAGTTGAAAATCTCCCACTATCAACCCAAGAAAAATTTACTTCATTTGCATGTGGAAAACTATTTGATATCGTCGCCTCGATAATTCTACCACCCGGAGAAAATCATACAAATTATATCTAAAAATGGTTCATATATAATCAGTCTTTTGTAAGCTACCCAAATTAACATTACGCCTGCCTTTGGGACATGAAATTAGGCACCGAAAAAAGTATTTACCCTATAAAGCGGTCCTATAAGACATGAGTTCGTATTAAAAAAAATATGAACCACATAGGCCAAGAATCACCATTTTATACCTCAACAGTCAACAGAAAATGTTTTATTTCATTATATCATATTTAGCTGGCCAAAACTTTAATAAATGCTGAGATCGTTTGTATTTTATTAACCATTTCGCAAATTCTCCAAATTGACATTACGCCCCCTATGAGAAGAAGAAGCTATTCCTTAGAAGAAGTATGTATGCCCCCTAAAAGAAAATGAATTGATATAGTTTATATTTCAGGTTCTAACAATTTCGGGAAAACTATTTTTTACCGCCAAATCGTAAAAATGTAAAATTTACCCTTCACATGTAAAAATGCGTGTGTTGTTTAGAGCTTGAAAAACAATATACAAATTATTGACGGTTTTCAGGCAAATTGCTCCGGCGTGCCTAAATTAACATTCCGCTTTATCGGAAAAAGGCCGACAACTATAAGGAGTCGATTTGGGTTGCACAGACAGACCGACACATTCATATTCAGAAAAACGGAAAGTAATTGCAGGGCGCAGGAGTACGCGTTTACCGCTGGTGTCCCGCAGAGCTCGATCCTTGCACTATTGCCGTGGAACCTGACCTATGACGGGTTCTTAGATCTAGAAGAGTTTCTGGAGGGAGTCGAAATGCTGGCCTGCACCGATGGTTTACACCGATGGTGGTGCGTCAATTTACAACCAACCAACAATTAATATTAAGCTTTATAGAAAAAGCTTTTTCCTTTAGGAAAAAATAACATCTAGCCAACCGTCCTCTAGAAAAAGTATTCGGCCAATGAAAAATCAGCCCAACGCAATATACCTTGAAGGATCAACGTGGGTCCGAGAAATGGGCGGACACAGATTCTTAGTGGTAGAAATAGAATGAATGCATGTGGTAGATGTACTATGCAGATGGGATATAGGTTATTATTTTCACTAAATTTATTGCGAAAACACTTTCCATACTCTATGCATGTGTTGTAGGTCACTTCAGGATAATATTACATTTCAGCGTCGTGGTCTTTGTGTAACAAGCCCATGGCATCATTCACACGAATAGAATCCGCAGATAACACTGGATGCGCAGCTCAAATAGTACGATGATCTCTATTATGCTTGGGAAACAAAGCTTAAGGTCAACGTCGATAAAGTTGTTACGCGTATGTGTCAACCGTAATCAACTTTAGCAGATTTAAAGGAGTAGCCCGTACGCTTTACTTAAAACCATCCATTCTTTCTAGATTCGGCTAGAATACACGACACAAAACCATGTGGCGAGTAGATCCTGATGGGCACGTATAGCAATTGTCCAGACGTCATCTATATTCTTCCACCTTCACTTCAGTTATAAGTTCCTCAGTTATAATCTTGTTGCATAATAATAAATTTAAGCCTAATCAAATAGGCTTCTTAAAAGTAAAAATAATCATTTGTTTTTTAAATTGATCGATTAAATCTTCGAAATTTGATTAAAGGTTAGTTTTGCTTTGGCCGTTTTCATTAATACTGCAACTGCGATTGACACGAATCGGATAGCGTTTTTGGTAAAGAATAAAAAGAAAAACAATCAATTGAGTGCTTTGAATTTCCATAAAACTGACACGTGTCGGTAATACGTTGTCGCAGTAAGTTTTTCTTAAGCGAGTCAAGTTTAAGGTTCACGTTTACTTGAAAAATTATAGTTAAATAAAAATGTAGCTTTTCTGTCAGAAAGCTAAACTCGTAAATCGAAACAAGAAGACGATGTGTTTTGCTCATCGGAACGTATAATGTTTCGGCCATGACCGCCTACAACTCTTTTGCACCACATGATGCACTAAAATGATGCCATGCTGGGTGTTGGCCTCTTTTCCGGCGGCTCGTCGACCTTGATGTATCTTCCGCACAAATTGGCCAAGCAGAAAAGATTAATACGAAATCAATACCTATCAGCGTAGAATATAGGTCAGCATTTTAAGCTAGTATTATTTTATCATCATTTAGAATCATTATTAGCTAAATTATTCGCCGCCGCTTGCTTTAATTTATTGTTGCTTCCACCGGTCGTTGGTTTAAGGTCAACTATGCTTCAATCAGATTTGGACACACAGTATCAGGTAAAATGATTGAACCGGGAAAAGGATTGTGAGTGTCAAGTTTTTTTAATAGTAATCTTACCTTTCTACAACTAATGGTACTGTCCAGATATTATAATGTGATATGCTACAGCTGACTGAGTAACATTTGTTTAAATAAATATCTTTATTTAATTGATATGGGATTCTTTGGGGTTCTCCGTGTGGCAAAGGCAAGTGCCTGCACGTATTCTCTCATTAAAATGCGCGTACATATGTTCATTTGATGTCTATTCATTTGGTACCCCTAAGTGTTTTGTCTATATCTACGAACAAATCTTCGGAATCTTTTTTTTTTTTAGAACGGCATCAAGCTCTCACTAAAGGTCTAACCGAAATGGTTCTTGCTGAATTAATCTAGGGTTTCTCTAATGGACCACTGCAACTGCATCGCAATCACACAAGCAGCTATTAGTGTAGATGATAATTTCATATTTACCTTCTTAATATCTTATTTTCCTCGCTATGCATTCGAGGTAATCACTTCTGCCAACGCTGGTATTTGAACCATGCTTGTTCGTTAATGTTTACCATGGCAACGCATTTAAAGAAATCCATATGAGCCTGCCAGATCACACCTTTACCCGTTTACTGTTTATGAATATATAGCGCAAGATGGTGATTTTTTTAACAACATGTGCGGTGTGTAAGATGCTTGTATTACAATAAACATTGACCGGTATCATGGATTGTTTATGTTAAGTGTCTTGTTTATCATTACTTGTGATAGCTATACATCTGTTAATATCGATCGGTACATGTACAATCCTTTTGTCTCTCCAAGCGTGTTCGAGAAAGTCCCAACTTGGGTCCTTTTGGCTAAGTTTGGTCAGCTACGCTAGTCGGCTAAGTGGGCTGTCGACGTTGTGATTCCTGTGACCAGACTGCGTCGTGCTTTTGAAACTCGTCAGTGGCACTTGCAGATATCTTGTTAACGGCAGTATTTTCGTTCTATTGTACCATGGCGCTACTATGTACTTCGTGTTTACCAAAGCAACTCTTCTAACAGATATTTTCTAGTAGTTCTGGTGGCTTTAGAGTAATCGGAAAAGCGGGTACCTACGACAAAAATAATGTATCGAATCTAATTCAAATATGGTTCTGTGTACAATTTTGCCCATTGCTAGATTAATCGGTTTACATGTTTTTGCCGAATGTGAAATTATAGCCTTCTTTATGTTTTAACGTGCTCATGATATATATACCTCTGCCAGGATAATTTCCTATTTGGTCTGACTCCAAGGTGTTTTGTCTTTGTAGTGTTACTGACCACGGGGCCGTCGGATGCGTTCCTTGACTGAGCTTCACATGTTGTTCTGTAAATTCCTAGTCTCTTTTCGGCACATTCCGGAACTACCAGAAGAAGTCATGTATTGAGAACCATTTGTTGTATGGGATACATCCGCTTATCTGAGCATTACATTGTTAATTCTGTAGTGTAAGTAAGGTAACATTTATACACGATGCATATTGTTAGCGTATTCGATGCGAATTTCGTTTTTCGCTACTAAGATAAGCCATCATTTCTATTGGTTCCATAGTTTCCCCGTGGGGTACGCTGTAATTGATAGAACGTATTTTTGGGGCTTATTTACTTAACGATTTGATTTTATTCATTGATGAATGGTTTGTAAGTTGGAATGCTACTTTTGAACACCCATCTTTCAAGTTTGTTTACAAAATCGTCTTTCAGGGCCGTGTGAAAACCACTATTGAATTCTTTGAATATTTTTTTTTTAAATTTCCTGAATTTGTCTTCGTAAGCAACGTGCTACTTCTTGTGTCCTAACCGTTCGTAAAGCCAAACCGTCTGTAGAGTTACGTGTTCATGGTTCTACTACCAGACGTTCTATTACTTAGAACCCAGAGGTGCAATAGGTCTGAACTGTGACAGTTACATTTTTAACGAAATTTCGTAATGTCGTTTCTAACTCCTTGTTGTTGTCGTCATTGTATTGAACCTTTCCTTGAATAGAACCTTTTATCGCCGCAAGGACATTTCAATATGGACTTTTTTGCTGTGTAATTTTACGGTTGATGTCGCACCCTTTGTTGCTTCAAAGGGTTGCCATGACTCCTTCGATTCGTTCGAAAAGGATTTACTTCGGCGCGATGACAAGAAGCCAGTACGTAAGATGATGTTAATCGTACAGGATGCTGCACTATGCTAGCATCTTCACTATGTATGGCTATTGCATATCGCTGCCGAGTATATGAACAAACTTATTCGAGGCAAGTTGCAGAACGCGTCATGAAAACGTGTTGTTATTTTTGTCTACGTATAACTAATGATGTAACGTTAACGGCAATAGTGGTGTTTGTTTGGCCTGATGTTTAGCGTACGCGCGCGGTGTTACCTGTATAATGGAACTTTTTTCATTAAATACTATTTCTTCTTTTCCATATGAATGACTAATTCATTGGTAAAACCGGCGCAGTTGATGAGCAGTTCCGTATTTGTCCTGGTGGTCTTTTGACTAATATCCTGAAGGCACTGAATCTTAGCATGAGACAGCATGCTAATATTGCACGGCTATTACAGTTCTATCGTGACGCACTGGGGTCCTACTAAGAACTGAACGGCTCACTTACTGACCTGCATAACCGAACTCCTTCCTTCCAAGCCACGAGAAGGGCTTTCGTTAATCAAACACAACTAATGAAACCTTTATATAATGAAAGCCTAGATTAGTATACAGCCTATCCCACTTGTCGTCGTGGTAATCATTAGAAACTCCACGAAGTTCATTCTGCGAATAAGGATTCGCTTAACAAACTCTGTCAAGACTGCGGAAACGTCGATTTAAAATTTACGCTATTTCATCTATTTATTTAACTATAGGCTTTAGCAAATGTACTGCTTCCTAATTCTATCCTGAAAAGACTAAAAATTAATGTTTGTTCATTAAAATTCGTGTCTATTTTAGAGCAAGTGTATTTCATGCATGAAGCGTACTTGCCGATCGACAGATGGCGATGACTTCTTTGACCTTGAAACCAATTTCTAGCTATTAGTGTGCTGAAAAAAAAAGATTTTTGTACGTATTAGATTTTTTTTTGGCTATTTGGGTTACTCGTTAAATATCATCTGCCGCTGGATAAGAGTAATAACAAGGCTTACATATGCTTGTCGTTTGTGAGACGTGCCCATTTTCGCAGGGCTTCTGCCACTCAAGAACGCCTAATTTCATCCGATGCAATCTCGAGTTTTCCGGTGAGATTGAGTAAACCCGTATAGTAAGTGTTTTGCTTTTCCCAAATCGACAGGCAACGGACCTGAATTGGAGTTTTGGGTGGAAAATAAGGTCAAACGCACAGGCACTTGGTGGGTGTTACAGAATATCTACGGAAACCACATAGTAAGCAGTTAGTTTAAATATTTCAGGAACAAAGGTGAGTTCAACGCAGGACAGTCCTGCGACTGCTATCGTGAACAAGAACTTGGTTAGGGTGAAACTATTCACTTGCCGAGCACTGAGCCACCACAAAAACCTAACAGAAAAGATGGAGTTATTGTTAGGCCATTTTAACCTGTTCACTAGGTACCAAAAAGCGTACGATAAAGCTTGTGCCGAGACAACTGAATATCTAGGTATTTGTGAAGAACTTTATCACGAAAAACCTTTGGCAATTCCGAAATAGCCAAGCTTAATTGAACACGTCATTACGGGTGACCAGACACAAACGTATGGCTATTAGGAAGAGACCACGATTCAACCTTTTGGATATCGGTTTAGACTGAAAAAAATCGCACATCGAAATACAAGACTAAGGTTCACCTCACGAGTTTTTTCGGCCTTTGGGGCATTTTTAGTTATGAGTTTATGCTTCTTAGATCCACGATAATCACAGAATACTATCAAGAAGCCTTAAACAAATTCGGCAGGCGTCTCCGACATAAGGGATCAGCACTCTAGCACAACAAGCCTCCGATGCTCCGTCATAAAAATGCATCACCTACACAAAATGCACGTCATCACTCGTGCAGTAAAAAAAACTGCGTGTTGCCGCCAACATTTCCATACAACAGACCTAGCTCTATGCAGGTTTAAGGAAAAATATGAAAGAAGTGTTTCGACGCTAAAAGCAGTTTGCGATATTGTAGTTCAGAGCGCAAGTACATCGAACCGGTGTGCTAGTCTTAATATCAGTCAACATAGAATAATAAGGTTTTGAAAATTTTTGGAGCGTAAAATTGACCTATACCATTGAGCGTAGGACTTAACCACGACCCGTTTGCACAGAAAGCATCAATAGCATCTTGAAAATGGTATTCAACACTGAAATTATGGAAACTGGAGACACACGAAGAATTCTTGTTCCAACCAATGTGTCTGTAGTGTATACGTGACAGAAAAACCTGGAATTGATTTATAAATAGTGGAGTTTTTTCAAAGAATCCCTTTACCTATCTACTGCTTTTTTATTCTTAAATAGTAATTGGGAGGGGAGGGGGTCCCCCTCCGTAAGTTCGTTTAACTTTATTGGACTGTTAGCTCGCGTTGATGGTTGTAAAGATACGTTTTTGGTAGAAAAATGCATTTTTTAGATCTGTTTTGACATCTAGCAATGTCGAAAAGCTATGGAAGCTACCGGAGGCAATTTTGCCGTATGCGGCCTCATGGCTGAAAGAGCTCCTATGTAAAAGTGCTTTGCTTAGCTCAATAATTGCACCTTTGGACCTGAGAGTTTACCCTTTTGGTCGGACCGCCCGAAGGCATTTCTAAACGAAGACCGCTGGCACAAACGCAAAAATTACTCGAGAATATGAATTGCAGTGTCTTGATTATCGTGAAGTATCTTCAACCTATGAGGTACCCTTGAACATTTCTCCCGATACTGAGCCGTAATAGTATCGGTATGTTAACGTAAAGCAGGGAAGCGAGTTGGCAGCTCCGGATACGAATAGAAACCCCCTGATACACGGATGTTCAGGAGAAAGCCGGAGATTTGAAGCCGGATGAACTTATGTTTGGCTAAACTGGAAGGGTTTTGAACACTTAAAAGAGCTTTGAACACTGCAAGAAGAGAGCGTTTTATCCTCCAAACTTTGCGCTGACGGCATAGCATTTTTTACAATCTCTGAAAAATGGAGCTCGCCTCAGAACAGGTGATAGTAAAAAAGGGCTTGAGAACGATCCGCTTTTGAGTTCTTCAACATCAGACCTGATAATTCGTGGTAAGACGACAAATTGGTTGACAAATGGGTGAACGTCATAAACATTTACGCAAACGCGCAACTAATGGATTGCTGAAGTTTTGTTAGACTTCTGTTTTCAGCCGATTGATTTGGGTTGGTTGTCTATACCTTTCAAAATGTGCTGCTTCAAGTTCAGCTAGGAGACATGGACGTACACGCTATATAGCTGAAAAATGCATGTTTTAAACGCAATGAAGGGCACATTGCGAGCTCTACTCGCTCAATTTTAAATGTTGCCCTTATTTACTAGACGTTTTTTCGATACATAGTAATCAAACAGGTATCTTCATGACACTAGCCTGCAGTTTTCTGACATCTCCTTCTTAACTTCTTTACGGAAATGCCTGTGCTGCTATAAGGAATACAGCATTGGATCTATCCAAAGAGGCTTCTGGATAAACGGATACAATTTTCAGAATCAAAAACCTTAGCCTATTTATCTAACGGAAACATAGCGTTCAGTTTTCCAATTTACATTAATACACATGAAGAAAAGGAAAGCATTACTACTATTAGTTGCTAGTCGACGTACGTATATGCCGCTGCAGTAATTATCGGAGCTGGTCGTACCATTCAACGCCTGTCATTTGACATTTGAAATGTATCAGTTGTTCTGTTTTGTGGCACCTTCATAACATTTGGTATGGCTGTCTATGCCATCTAAATAATGCAACGAACAGCGTACACACAACTATTAAATTTGATTTGATTTTTAACGTCCGTTCTCTATTAGCTATACAATTATTGTCGTGCGAGAAAACCTATAATAACACCTCATACTTAATCACTATTGTCATGACATATATGATAGTCGTTTTATGCCGTTCTCTTTTATGCCGCCTCAGTGACCTCAGCAAGGGTACCGTTTAAGGTCATGCCAGTTACGAACCTAATACATGTCGGTTTATACCAACCGTTCAATGTGCATAGTGAGTGCTATTATTATATTATATTTATTATAATTTATATATATATATATTATATTATATATATTAGATCATATTGACGCATCGATCACGTACACTCGTGTCCTATAACCAGAAGAACTGTGCAGCGTCCAAAGGTTTTCGCTGAGCTTAGTTAGGTTTTGCATATTCATTTGGCGTAAGGTAGGTCAATGAAGAGGATTTTAATTGGCAGACAATAGGGTGTTGGTGATGCAATATACTTAGACATACAGACCTGTAGAATATCCCGATAGATGAAAACTTCAGTCAGAGGAAAGCCTATGTAAGTTCACAATATTTGAAAAATTATAGTTATATTTGCTTCGTTGTTGAGGCAGTCTGACTATGTTGTTTACAATTTCTCTCTTAATTAGGCAGAACTATTCGAATAGTTAGTTCTAAGTACGGATTTATTATGCCACTATGGGCTAATGGCTGCCATTTTATGCTGATAATTTAGTTACAGAATACTCGTATTTTTTATCCTTCGTCGATTTAATGGCAGGCTGCTAATAGTTCAATTCGTTAGGCAACAAATTAATCCCATAAGTTAAGTTATCCTGAATAAGTCTTCAGTCATTGGTAGTAATAATTATTGATTCATAGGTGAGCTAATGTGGTTTGAAACAATTTGACTGACGAAGTTTATTGCATCGTGGCGCTGAAATCAGAAATATATCGTTATGATAGAGGACGCGAACTCATAATACTTCGGGCGTTAACAAGTTCAGTGCTCTAAATACAACCAGCTCAATGATTTTCCAGCAGTCTCGATTTCACGATACAACGAGTTAGGGGAATGGGATTTAGCTAGTTACTTCTGTTTTTGCCGTGCAGTGCCCGTTAACCCGATCAGTTCTGTATTCAATAACCAGCTATAGGACCTGTTGCAACGATCTGGGCGTTAGGTTGGCTCACATTAGGAGATCACCACTTCCATCTTTACACTATTCGTGTGTGCCACGGTTAACTGGTATTCTCCCAGCGGGTTGATCAATACGATAACTGGGCGAAGTTTTAGCCAGTTCCACGCAACTTCGATACGCGCTGGCGGAGTAGAGCTACGGTGAGATTATCTATTGAGATCAAGAGTCGTATCATATCCAGTTGTTCCTTGCAAAATCGTCTCGGTTGTATTCGTTTGCCTGCCTTTACACTGACGATATTCGCACATATTGAACAAGTATTTAGAACGAGGCGGAACTATTAAGGATAGGCACAATGGAGGACGGCACGGAGGCTAATAGCAACAGGAGTTATGTTCCGTGTGTATGTATATTTGTGTGTGTGTGTGTGTATATACATATGTATGTATATATCAATAGTCGAACAGACCTTCTCAGACATCTGAGAGAGGGCAAAGGAGGAGAATAGCAAACAGAACTATTTAAAGTACACGAATGCCGTACAAAGCAGCAGCAAAGGTTGAGCAACGGCACCAGCCCCAGCGGTTTCGAGTCATTTGAGATCCAGCAGTGGCAACGAAAGCGTCAATAACGCTGGAACGCACAAAGATAACGCCCTCTCTCTCCCTCTCTCTCGCTCTCTCTGAGAAGACGCTCCATGTGGATACCTCGGAGACATACAACGTTGAGTTGAATGAAGCGTTTCGTAGAAATAAGAAATTCAGTTCCCAAAACTTGGAAAGTAATGGAGAGCCACCGCGAACGGCCAAATTCTACTCGTTGAACACGCAAATGGCGGTTTTCGTTCAGCTCTGAAAACAGGCGGATTTCGACGCCTAATGCAGCTGCGCGTGCAAGTTAAGCAACTATCGATTTCACCTATAGTAACAGGCAGAACTTAGATGACGGAGTAAAACGTAAGACACTCTCCCTGTGAAGTTTATATAGAGTTTTTGTAAGAGATAAACGATGCAAAATGATAAGCGTGTACGTCGTACGTTCGGAGGTGCTGTTAGGTCACTTCAACATAAACTGAACATTGTTAGATAAAAAAAAAAAGACAGTTGAATATATTGTGTTTAGGCAACGATAATTATCTAAAATAACACAGGTGTTGTTTGGGTGACACACTTGTTAATTCTTGGAAGACAGTTCTTTTGGTACATTACACGATGTGGAACTTTTGCAAATATAAACTGAGACGTCAAGTTTTCAACGCGTAAGCGAATAACAAGAAGACTTCGAACAAGCCGTGTGTATCGCTGAGCAATTGGTTTATAGAAACGCCGGCTATTGTTTGATGTTTAGGACTTGAAAAGCCGTCTCTAGTACTTGTAACGTCTTGTTACGTATATAAGAATCAAAGTTCGTCGACAATGGAGACAGTCCATCTGAATCGTAACTTTAACTTTCAGAGCATTCTTAACTTTGTTCTAGAATCATAGTACTTTGTACTGTTTTACTCTAGAATGTCGCCACAACAGCCTATAAAATTTCGGAAATCCAAAATATGTCGAATGGTGGTGATCTGTGTGGGCTTCTATGACACGAATTATAAAGCTAAAGTAAGTTTAAGAAATTCTAATTGGAATGACCTGATCGTTTGTTTACGACATTAAAATAGCATAATATTTGCTACCAATACAACTCTATAAGATAAAAAAAAAAACCCGTACGTCTGCGGCCCTCTAATCTAATTGTTCATGTTCTAATTATAATCATTTTGCAGAAATCTACTGTTGGATCGTGATGCTCGAAGCTAAACAGAGGGTTCGCATCACAGTTCTTGGGCCAAGGAAGGCTGGAAAAACTGGTGGGTGAAAATCGACATTGGTACTTTCGCTGCGTTTTCCACCATCACAGAGATTGATATAGAAAGCTATGTTGTATAATAAATAGAAGCAGCTTAGAAATTGCGATGAGTCAGTTGAACATCGGTGTACGTTAGATAACGTATATGCGTTACCGCTATATGTGCGTAAAGTAAACGGACCAAATTGTATTAGTTAGATAAATATAGTTTCGTGTCTATGAATTTCAGGCCATTGAAGCATGAGATACTCAACAGTGCACGCATAAATATGTCATTCGAAGTATAAGGCTACTGAGAATCGCAAAAAAAATCGTTGAAATGGGAATCAGTTGTTCATGATCGTTGAGTCGATTGCATGTATCAGCTTTCGTTAAAACCGTTACCCTTGCAGCAATGAAAACGGTACACGCTTGCGAGTGTGAGTCGCTGGCCGAAACACGGGACGCCATACGCTAATGACTGAATTAGTAAAAGTATTACCTTTAACTCTATGCCGGTGGTGCTTTTGTCTCTGTGGGTACGTCGGCAAAAACTGTTTGATCACTGCTACTGCTGCTACCAGCTGAATAGGGCAGCAGCTTTTATTAGTTGTTATTTGTTGTTAGAAAGGATAAAAAAGTAGATTAAAGGGCTTTTTTGATCTACTTTTTTGTCCTTCTCTGTCATCACGAATTTGTGGTGGCTTTTTGGCATGAACAAACTGTAGATCGGACGACCTTTGAAATCAGGACTCTGGAAATCGGAGTGCTACGAGACTTTGTAGGTTGTCAACCCTAGGCAGATCATCACTTCCCGCAGTGTCTAATACGATCTGTCTTTGCGACCTCTGTTGTATAGCTGTTTATTTTAAGCGTAATATTATCTCGGTATTTATTTGTAGAGTCCGTTGATCCCGAAATCGGCTTGCCTATAAAGAAAGTTCGATGTCCACATGACCGTAAATTGTACAAATACGGTTACAGCCATTTCGCATCGTTATATATCGCAGTAATATCTAGCGGAACGTAGATCATTCGCCTTACCCTAACTCTCTCTCTCCCCTTTCCCCTCTCTCCTCTCCCTCTCCCTTTTGTCAGGCTTGTTGATGTTTCGTGGCAAGCTATAAGCAAACTTTTTTGTCGAATGTGATCGTGGTGACGATGGTGGAGTTCTAGGTATTATTGTTTTTTCAATAATTTCAAACACTGGTACTAGTGAGCCGGCATATGAGAAAAGACCGTCAAAATAGAAAGGATTCGATACTATATGTCGTAGCGTCGATACGACCGTTGGTCTCAGTAGGGGCTTTTATTTAGCGTCGTGTTTTTGCAAGTTTGCTTGTAGCTCATTATGTATCGACCTATGACGAAACAGCACTCAGACGCTGATGTCACTGCGTCCCAGTCGATCCGTCAGCTCAGAGTCGTCTATGAAATCTGTCTGATTTACAGCGCTTGTTTTCCGATATATGGCCAGGCTATTCGTGGCTACCGACAGAGGGGGCAACAATGCAACTGGCGCTAGCAGCGGCAGCAGCAGCAGCGACAGCAGCAGCAGCGACAACAAGAATAGCAGTTCACGCTCGTATTCAGGCGCTCTGGATAATCTATACTATCACTGTGTCTGTTTGGATAACGTCTTATACGACCTCGAAATACTTGACTTGGCACAGTCGAAGGTAAAGAACGTGTTCTCTACACATGTTTAATGATTGTAAACACGTGGTCGTTCATATCCGGGCTGACACAGTCCAGAGTGATCAGTCAACTGGCGGCTATTGTATCTACAATCTAATAGCATCTACAAGATAGCACTTAGAGCAGACACGTTTGAATGTTTTTATTCGAAAATTTTAATTCACCTGCCATTTGCGGGCGGTCTGTAGCAGCTCGATCTACGAGATAATAATACATTCGCAGTTGACGGGTATTTCTGGCATCGATACAGCTACGTAGAAGACGTTACAAGTAAAATTATAGCTTCTAAAAGGTGGGTTTTCTCAACAAACGATTATCCCTTTGATCGCCTCATAGCTATCGTATTATATGTATCGTTAATATAGGCAACAGGAGAGCCTTAGGTTTATGTAAACTTCTGGTGGACGCCGAGCCTAAGAAATGTAGTAATGGAAAGGGCCAGAAGGCGTGCACTAATATGCAGTGTTTCTGCTATAATACTAAATGTACGTGCTTGTATCAAGAGCACCACTTAAGCGGATTTTAGCCAGTTTATGATATAACTTCGTAACCACCGGTTAAATGTATTTTTTCATGCACACAAGCTTATGCACGACGGTGTAGTAGCTTCTATTACGGTACCGTTCCACACACCGCACATTATACAGCCTCCATCACAAAGTGACAATCGTGTGCGATACGGACATTATAGTCACAAACGCTTTTCTTTGTACGCAGAAATTTGATATTATGATTGTAGTGTTAGACATGACATAACTGTTATATGGAGAAGCGGTCAAAAAATATGCATAAATATATAAAGCTTACTCCGTTTTAGCACCCTGACAAGTCGTAACCTCAGTCGGTCGTGCGCTGCCGTGTAATTTCAGAACGTGTTAAAATTTGAACGTTGCTCCGACGCATTTATAGTTGTGTATTCCGTTGCTCTGCGATCCGATTTCGAAGAAGCGGTTCTACTGTGTAATAGGCTCCGAGCTATTTACCCACGAAAACCTCTATTGCTTGTCGGCAATAAGACAGATCTGACTCGACAGGTGACCACAAGCGAAGGACAAAAGGTACATTGAGACCAAGCTACTGTCAAAACTAGTATCTTAAACGTCGTTGAACAAATTCTGTGGCATATAGAAAGCTAATCTATAGTGAAATGTCGCATAGTTCTACTGTGGCATAATTTCTGTCGTTATTTTCCAAAATGTGTTGCTTGATTCTAACGGATCACTTTATTTCACGTCATTTTTCATACCTTCATAGGTTGGGGGCGTGTTATTCGCTGAGGTAAGTGTGGCTCATGTGGGGAGCTGGGAGGTCCACCAGGCGATGTATCGACTTCTGCGACGGGTATCAGAGATAAGAGCTGAGCAAGCAGCGTCAAACAAGTGCCATTTTGTTGTTCAAAATGCAGAAGAGGCCTTCGGCCGAAGAGATTCAATGGATACATCCTCAGCTTAATGTGAATACAGATATTGAAATATTTAAGCCTCGAGATTGGTTTTTGCCAAGATATGTTCGGTTTGGCCAGAAGCTCATACGGTTATTCATGAGATAAATTATTTTTTAATTATCTTAAGGCTGTTTATCGTAGATTTTATTTTGTATCAATAAACTCGTTGTTTTTTATAACAAATTACCGATAAAACGTCTGCAACGTCAATAAAGTTCATAAGAATTCAAGATCAATTCGATATTCAATATTCAAGAGTTCTCTTCAATTTTTTAGTTATTTTTCATCCGTGTTTGCTGCTGTTTTGCTTTATTTACTTACACGTAAATAATAGCGTACAATCGAAAGCTTTTCTACTATCAACAATGTCTATACGTGTGATCGAACACTGTACGATTTCAGCTAATTCATAAAGATTTTTGTATCTAGGAGTCCAAACAAGCCCCATCAAACCATTTTTCAAAATGCACGTTTTTCATCCAGCATCAGGCAAGGAGGCGTATCACACGCGCTATCAGCGAGAAATGTTGCATCATTTGTAATGTAAATAAGCCGTAACACCATTGTTAGGATAAAGCAATTTCGATATACTTTAGAATCATGTAATAGCTACCGTAGCTAATTACCCTACAAAATTGCATTAGTGCTAACAGGAATTATTGTTAAACAATAATTCAGACGGATATATAATATGAGCTATAGCTTTATCTGTCTTTTTCTTCGCCACTAAACTCCTTGATAAGGACAAAGTCTTTTTTGTCCACCCTAGATTCACTATGGAATTCGCACTTAACAAACGGAACCAGTTTTGCTGAGGATAAGTTGCCAAACGGCAATCAGCTGGGACAACAGCCGAAGTACATCCGTAGCAGGCCACTGCCGCACGCTGTTACGGTTTCGTATGTTTCTGTCATAGATCATAAAGGCCACATAATTTAGAACAATGCAAAAATCAATCTACGATATCTTCATACACGCTGCTTTTATATTTTGACTTTCAGTTTGCTCCGTCTCGCTAGCTTTAGGTATTTACCATCATTTTTGTATCGCGAGTCAGATAAACTCAAGTTGAATACGTCACCTCTTTTGTCAGCCATATCTGTGCAATTCCAATGAAGCTCAAAATCATTGTACGTTGAACAATTTCAAAACATAAAACTGGAGTACATGGTAGCGTATAAGCATTCAGTTGGTGGACATTGCTTTCTTATGTATAAAATCTATGTGCCTGGGATAATTATAAAAAATATATCATTAAGGTTTGATACTACGATGTCTAAGGTCGTTAAGATATGCGTTGTAGCATTGTAAAATATATATATATATATATATATATATATATATATATATATATACTTTATTATTTACTTTGTACTATTTGCAAGAGTTATAATTCAGTGAACTTGATGCGGCTTGACATTGTGCCTACATAATTATCAGGCACGAAGCACACGCAACTAGACGTAGATAGGAAATGCGACAGAAACGACCCCTTGTAATGATTAGAGGGATCAATAACCAGCAGAGATCGAAAATTATACCTCTGCTCACACCAGCTCTGAAAACACCACGCAATATAGCTGCATGCATTGCCCTGCGTCATGAAAATGAAAACGTTATTTATGATTAGAACTCGATTTTCAAAGCTTTTTTTTTTTTTTTTTTTTTTTATAAAAACACTCAAAATAACGCAATTAGAAGCTTCAGCTAAAATTGCTATATTGAAAATTTTCGTTATACGATGTTGAATCTTGCACATAAGCTATTTTTAGAAATCCCGTGGTAGCATAACGACTTTGAACAACTTTATTTGATTTAAAAAAAAAGCATTTTTATTAATATAAAAATGTTATTTTTGATAGCATGGACTCATAGCGATGCCTGTAACTATAGTGATACAGTTTTTAAATTATAATTAATTATTAATTGGTTGGAATGAATGAAGAATTAATTTCCATGGTTACTGCGGTGAAGCCATGCTTAATGGGTCCTTGCCATACTTCGCAGGAATTTGTTTGAGGTCGATAATTGTGGCCCATTCCTCAGAGCGTTACAATGAAAAGCCTTAGACGCCTCAACCCTTTTTTGGTTTGTCGACCTCACATCTGAGTGCCAGGTGGTGGTGCTAGCTGATCAGTTTGTTTACCGTAATCGCCTACAGCGCTGAGGTACCTTTAGCATTTCGACAAATTTTTAGCTTTTGTTTGCCGTATAACTAACTAGGACACTTGTATATATATACATATATATGTATATAAATATATATATGTGTCCTAGTTTGCGCTTGTTCGATTTAATTATGTCGCAAAAATAATCATACTGATTATTAAATTATTACAACAAATATTCATAGTGCAATTCTAACAAGAAAAAATCCTAAACCCGGTAAAAATTTTGAAGAAATGCTCATTTGGAGTGAAATGCGCCTTTGAGTCGATCCCAAAAGTTGACGGATTCATATATTAGTTTATAACATAATTTTAACACAGTTTGTCACATAACAACATTTGCTAATTAGCTTAACCCTTGGCCAAAGTGAAACGTAAAAAAACCTGAGCAATAGCTTAAATTCAATGGGAAAGCACCAAGGAATAACAGAATCAACGGTTTACTCACCAGTCACCCTACAATGTTTTATCGTTAATTTATTGAAAAATCTTTTCATCATCGTCTTAATAACGATTCTCTTTAACGCTTTAATCATATCTATTTATCACTGAAGAGGTATGGTGGGGGTTATGAAAAATTGTTCATATTCTAAGCCATGCCTTCCTAATTCAACAATTCTACAAAGTAAGGTATGTCCAAAACGAGAATGACTTATACGTAGAAGGCTACCCCCTATAGAGTGTGTGTGTGTACAATTTTTTCGTTGTCGATTTCATTATAAACAAGTACATGTAATTACCAAAATGGTTGTTTACCGGTATGTATGTGTTTGGATCGGCAAGTGAAGCTCAACGGCATCCTAAAAAATGACGCGATCTACTAGGGGGATCTACGTCAAATGATTAAATTGCTTTACTAGCTGCAAAGAACAACATAGATAACTGAGTCATTTTAGAAATTGTGAAAAGCTTCGCAACTGACCTGCGTTTAATTTCGGTGACTGTTTAAACGTAATGCGGGGTATTTATGACCCCAAGCCATTTGCCATTCGTGTTACGCGTACAGCCGAGCTGGATAACCCTGGTAGTTGAATCACAGGCCAAAATGGGCGAATCGGGCTCAGCCAGCTTAGAGACGGGACGCTAATAGATCGCAGAACAGTTTCTCTAGTGGCCATTTGAAATATTTTCTCACCTAACTGATCAAAGCCCTCCTTGCCAATCAATAGGCAAACAAAATAAAAGTAATAAATTGAATAGGGTCAACTACTAACGAAACAATCTATTAAAACCTAAGGCACCAGAAAGAATCGTTTTGTACTTTTGAAAATATTTTTTGTGGTGAAAATGTTGCTGGATCAATTTTTTTTTAAAGGCGTCATGTGGTTAGAATGAAATGAATCCTGATGACGCTAACCTAGTGTACTTCTCGGGTGTGAAACATGCAGAGCTTCTGTTTTTGGAGCTGTTCCCCCTTTTGGCTTTTCTTTGATCAAAGGTAGCCTGAATTGGCATGTTAGCTTTCTTAGCTGTGATTCATCTACTTCTATTTCGGTTAGGCCAAGATCCGTTTCGAAATTTGCCTGTCTTTGCATCCTCAGCATTGGCTGCACTGCCTAATACTTGGCGAATGTCATTAGTTGAACCGGTCGAAGTTTCATTGTGAGCGGTGACGTTTAAAAGTTCAATCCAAGTCCATACGTCATGGAAACTAGGAATGCTCAGATTGTTTTGACCGCTAGCACTCGTTAGAGAATCTGGCATTTCTTCAGCAGGGAAAATAAAGAGTGTACATATCAAGCATAATAAAGGCAAAATAATCATTGCAATTTGTAAGATTCGTAAAGTTTGATCTAGATTAGAACACATACCGTCCTCAGCTTTATGATTCATATTTCACAACATAGTTATTAAGTACCGAACTACGTAAGGCGGCTATATAATACCAGGCGATTGATACTACGAAGTACATAGAATGGAACACGCCATAGGTATGCTCTTCGTAGTAACTAAATTTTAGGTCTGTCGCAGTTAACTCTTCCAAGTTCTATTACTCTATTTATCTAATAACTTCGAGCCTGACATAAGACAATCACTCTATTCATTGCATCTGATATCCAATAGAGTGCTATGACTAGAACAAAGGTACACTACATTCATTGTTTATGTTCTACGAAGTGAATAAACGCGTTTTGCGCACCTAACCTAACCTAACCTTAGTACCCTAGCGAATTTCGAATTTAGAAACCATTTTAAGTATCGCTTATTGTTGGATAAACTACAAAATCGTATAGATTTTTTGTGTTTTTCGTTGCTCTTCGTGCCGCTTGACGACTCATAGATTTAAAATCAATGACACAAGCTACATTTATAAGCGTATAACGAATCGAATATGACCTAATTTCTCTACGGTTTCGGTCATATGTCGTTGGTTCGGGAGCCGGTCAAATGTCGAAAACTAATTTTCAAGTAATTTTTGTCTCTTTTTAGAAATAAGACGATATTTACCAGGCGTCATCGTTAGAGTTTTTTGCCGGTTCGGCAGCTATGAATATCAATGATTGTATTAATATGTTTCAAAATAGTATATTCATAATAAAACCAGTGAAAATAATCACGAAGGGTTATTATGATTTGACAGAAAACGTGCAGAGTAGCGATATTTCATAAATCACTGCCATATCAGTGACTGAACCATGGAGCAACCACCTTTTGCCTTTCAAAAACGATACAAGTTAATTCGAGTTGTCAATAATAATGATGGTCAGTAAACGTACCATACGAAGCAAAATTCGAAGTTGACTAGAAATTTCACTTGGTCTAAAAGATGAATTAGAGTTTGCCATATAAACAAATTTTCAATAGCCATATTATTAGAAAACTTTTTTTCGATTATTAGAAGTTTTCGTT